TCAGCCAATTTCGTTGTTATTGGTAGGTTCTCATTGCTTTTTGCATGGATCTGGCTGACTCTCTAGGTCATGTGGATGCTGGAAAGAGTACCTTGATGGGGCGTTTGTTGGCAGATCAAGGTGCTATCGACAAAAGAACACTCGACAAGTATCGACAAGAAGCTGAGAAGATTGGTAAGGGATCATTTGCGCTAGCTTGGGTTATGGATCAAGGATCAGAGGAAAGAGCTCGAGGTGTGACGATAGACATTGCCACCAATAAGTTCGAGACGGAGAAAACAGCGTTCACGATTGTTGATGCACCAGGTCATCGTGACTTTGTGCCAAACATGATTGCTGGTGCTAGTCAGGCGGACTTTGCAGTTCTGGTCATCGACTCCAGTATTGGCAAGTTTGAGTCTGGTTTGAAAGGTCAGACCAAGGAGCATGCTCTATTAGTACGCAGCATGGGCACTCAAAAGATTGTGGTGGCTGTCAACAAAATGGATACTGTGCAGTGGAATCATGACCGTTTCGAAGAAATCGAGCAACAGATTTCCTCGTTCCTGACTACTGCAGGCTTCCAAGAGAAGAACATCTCTTTCGTGCCTTGCTCCGGTGTTCTCGGTGACAACATCACTCGTCGCAGCGAAGATCCTCATGCCTCTTGGTACTCTGGTCGAACATTGATCGAAGAATTGGAAGATTCAGAGCCCTACACTCACGCCCTTGAAAAGCCACTTCGCATGACCATCGGCGATGTCTTCCGAGGCGGCGTGCAAAACCCACTCTCGATCTCTGGCCGTCTTGATGCCGGCAGTTTGCAAGTGGGCGATCAAATCCTGACTATGCCAAGTGGTGAAACAGCCATGGTCCGCGGTATTGAGGTAGACAGTGACCCAAGTGACTGGGCTGTAGCGGGTCAAAATGTTGTCTTGCATATTGCCAACATCGACCCGATTCATCTTCGGTCTGGTGACGTTGTTTGCCGCTCTTCTTCTCCGATTCCTACCATCACGACCTTTACCACGAAGGTCCTGGCCTTTGAACATTTGATGCCTATGCAGGTGGATGTCCACCGTGGTCGACTTCATGTTCCTGCCCGTATCAGCAAGCTGGTTGCCTCACTGGACAAGGCATCAGGTGCGGCTATCAAAAAACGGCCCAAGATCGTGGCTCCTGGTACTGTTGCACGAATTGTGGTCGAGATGGATCATGCTGTGCCGCTGGAAGCTCCCACGAGGGTTGTCTTACGTTCCGGTGGATCCACGGTGGCAGCTGGATTATTAGAGTAGCAACGTATAACGTTAGAATAATTTCTAAAAATACATTCTGCACAAAGAGTACTCAGTTTCCTGGTATATGTACCATCTCTCATAGTCAACGTTCATATTCATCAGCTGCTCACTGTCGGTATATACAAAACCGTTTCTGATTAAGGCTCAACAATGTTACACAGTACCTTCTCCCTGTTCCCATCTGGGACGATCTATATGGACCCTGTGCCCTGTGCTACCCCTGCTCGGCAGATCCCCGGCTTCTTCCAGGCCCGCAGTATACCTTGAAGCATGCTGATCTGTTATAGCAACCCACTGCGGAGCTATGCGTTTTGAATAAATGACATGTAAGCCTGACTTGTCTACGTGGCCAAAACGTTTCTTATTTTGAGGCCAGACTACTCTACACCAAATGCACCATTGACGAGGCTAAACCTGAACAAGGGACAAGTGTTTGGCCCCTTCTAGCAAGTTCGATCATCTGGCAGCCTCTGATTGGTGGGATTTAAGGGGAATCCCTGGGTGGCCCCTGCCGCTAGTTCTTTTTGGGCTGTATATTGCCCTAAATGGAAGGCGGTGACACGACAAAGCGGACTCTGAGTCAGCCACTGCCGAACGGGCGGCAGCCAATCAGAGACCGAGAAGTGACCTGAACTGGGAAAAGGCCATGCTGGCCGCTGGGCCATATTTCGCGTACAAGAAGTCCGCATCTTCTTGCAACTTCTTCCTTTCCACATCGCCTCGGGTCCCTCTCCCGCTTACATTTTAAAGGGTTGAGTATAACACGTCTTTTGTGTTAACTCCGCGTCGCATTACGGCACGCACGAAGCTTCTCGACAGCTTCCCCATCCTGTGATTTGAACAGCTCTTTTCTCAACACTCACATATACCCCCTTCACAATGGCACGAATCTCCGCACGCGACGGCGCGTCCAAGCCTTTTGCCTGGACCACCGTCTTCTACCTCCTCTTCGTTTTCCTCGCCCCCTTGGCCTTCTTTGGCAACACCGCTCACGCTCAGGAGGATAACTCCCCCGAGAGCTACGGCAATGTTATTGGTATTGATTTGGGAACCACCTACTCGTATGTATCCAATTCATGAGACAGCCATTGAGCCATGCTAACTTGTCTCAGTTGTGTTGGTGTGATGCAGAATGGCAAGGTCGAGATCCTCGTCAACGACCAAGGAAACCGTATTACTCCCTCTTACGTCGCTTTCACCGATGAGGAGCGCCTCGTTGGTGACGCCGCCAAGAACCAGTACGCTGCCAACCCCGAGCGCACCGTCTTCGACGTCAAGTAAGTTGCCATCTGTTATCACACTCGATTTGTTTTTTGGATACTAACAAACGCAGGCGTATGATTGGTCGCAAGTTTGATGACAAGGATATCCAGAAGGACCTTAAGAACTACCCCTTCAAGGTTGTCAAGAAGGAGGGCAAGCCCCAGGTCAAGGTCGATGTCAACAAGTCCGCCAAGACCTTCACCCCGGAGGAGATTTCCGCCATGGTTCTCGGTAAGATGAAGGAGATTGCTGAGGGTTACCTCGGCAAGACCGTCACTCACGCCGTTGTTACCGTTCCCGCCTACTTCAACGACGCTCAGCGTCAGGCTACCAAGGATGCCGGTACCATCGCCGGTCTCAACGTCCTCCGTGTTGTCAACGAGCCCACCGCCGCCGCTATCGCCTACGGTCTGGACAAGACTGGTGACGAGCGCCAGGTTATCGTCTACGATCTTGGTGGTGGTACTTTCGATGTTTCCCTTCTGTCCATCGACAACGGTGTCTTCGAGGTCCTGGCTACCGCTGGTGACACCCACCTTGGTGGTGAGGATTTCGACCACCGTGTCATGGACTACTTCGTGAAGCAGTACAACAAGAAGAACAACGCCGATGTCAAGAAGGACCTCAAGGCTATGGGTAAGCTCAAGCGCGAGGTCGAGAAGGCCAAGCGTACTCTGTCTTCCCAGATGTCTACTCGCATTGAGATTGAGGCCTTCCACAACGGTGATGACTTCTCCGAGACCCTTACCCGGGCTAAGTTCGAAGAGCTCAACATTGATCTTTTCAAGAAGACCCTCAAGCCCGTTGAGCAGGTCCTCAAGGACGCCAAGGTCAAGAAGTCCGAGGTCGATGACATCGTTCTTGTCGGTGGTTCTACCCGTATCCCCAAGGTTCAGGCTCTCCTCGAGGAGTTCTTCGCCGGAAAGAAGGCCAGCAAGGGTATCAACCCCGATGAGGCCGTCGCTTTCGGTGCCGCCGTTCAGGGTGGTATTCTCTCCGGTGACGAGGAGATGGTCGACATGGTTCTCATGGATGTCAACCCCCTCACTCTCGGTATCGAGACCACTGGTGGTGTCATGACCAAGCTCATTCCCCGTAACACTGTCATCCCTACCCGCAAGTCGCAGATCTTCTCCACTGCTGCCGACAACCAGCCCACCGTCCTGATCCAGGTGTTCGAGGGTGAGCGCTCGATGACCAAGGACAACAACATGCTCGGCAAGTTCGAGCTGACCAACATCCCCCCTGCCCCTCGTGGCGTTCCCCAGATCGAGGTCGCTTTCGACCTTGACGCCAACGGAATCCTCAAGGTCTCCGCCTCCGACAAGGGCACCGGCAAGGCCGAGTCCATCACCATCACCAACGACAAGGGTCGTCTCTCCCAGGAGGAGATCGACCGCATGGTTCAGGAAGCCGAGCAGTACGCCGAGGAGGACAAGGCCATCAAGGGCAAGATTGAGGCCCGTAACGGCCTCGAGAACTACGCCTTCTCCCTCAAGAACCAGGTCAACGACGAGAACGGTCTCGGTGGCCAGATTGATGAGGATGACAAGCAGTCCATCCTTGACGCTGTCAAGGAGGTCAACGACTGGCTCGAGGACAACGCTGCCACTGCTACCATGGAGGACTTCGAGGAGCAGAAGGAGCAGCTCTCCGGTGTCGCTTACCCCATCACCAGCAAGCTCTACGGCTCTGCCGCTCCCAACGAGGATGATGATGAGCCCCTGGACCACGACGAACTGTAAAATTATCTTGAGGCATTATTCATGGAGTTCATTTTTTCTTACTTGATTTTGTCTTGATATCTGTTAAAGTAACTGTAGACCTGGCTATGCCGGTCAAGAATACATCATGATACCTTGCATTTCCGAAGAAACCATAAACCACATATTCCGTAGAAATTAATTTAACTTAAATGGTAAGTTTATAAATCACAGTGCCTTCTCCAAGTCCTTCAACATGCGCCCTGCTTGGTTAAAAATGCCGGCATTTAGCCGTACACTGCCTTTCTGTTGTACGCCCAATTTCTGCGGGGCAAATGGTATCACATCTTTTACTACCATTAGCATTAACTGATGACAACCTTTTAACTTGAATCATCTTGTCCGAGAATGCCCGTAATGCAATGGTGAACTCTGTTCTACTTCAGCCTCTTGTCTTCATTTCTTCCTATAACAAGTCAGGTAACAGCTGTCGGTATACCCAGGTAAGATGTACCACTGCATCTGTACCTGCACTCACCTAGAACGAACCAAACTGTCTACCATGGCTATGCGTCAGAAGAGAGTGAAGCGGATATCCAGCCCAGTGGAGTATAGATCTATGCCGGGGAAGGTCCAGGCGATTGGACGACGTCATGGTGTCCCCCACTCGATCTTTCTGACATCCCCAATTCCCCAACTTCCTTTCTTTTCCTCTTTGACAGTAACAGAGCAATACAAAGCAATTCACACCTTCAACATGGCTCTCGCAAACCCCAGCACGGACGTAAGACCACCCAATGCCATATACAAAGCAAGACGCCGACTGACTCCCATCAGGCCCAAGTCCTCATCGCAGCAGAGATAAGCCCAGAACAAACATTCCGCACTTTCACAACAGACACAGCCTGGACACTCGGCAATGCGCTCCGCGAGCGAATCCTCTCTCTCCCCTCCGGTCAACGCAAGCCAGCCCTGATCTCCATTGCACTGGCAACCGCAACATCAGGTGGTGTCCCACTGCACGTCCTCTTTCAGAGTGCCACAGAAAGCGGCACAATCCCCGATAATGAGAACTGGGTGCGTCGCAAGCGCAACACCGTCTTGCGCTGGGGCGTTTCCAGCTGGGCGATGAGGCAGAAGACCATTGGCGGACTGGCAGCCAATGCCTCGGCCGACCAGATTGAGGCTGCATTTGTCAAGAAGTATGCTGTTGCCAGTGCTAATGGTAGCGCTGTTGCTGATGAGTATGCCATTCATGGTGGTGGATATCCTATTCGGGTCCGGGGTGTTGAGGGCGTTGTTGCTGTTGTTGTTGTTAGTGGGCTGAAGCAGGAGGATGATCATCAGGTTGTTGCTGAGACTATTCGGGAGGTTGTTGCCCAGCAGAATTAAATCAAAGGTTGAGGGTTATGAACGGCTATAGAATGAATGGATATAGATGTGTCAAGACAAATATGATGATAACATAGGCATAATGCCGTCTTCACAGGTGACAAATGGTATCAGGGAGCCATCAGACCTATAATTCCGTTGCTCTCTTCGCTATGGCCCAGACACGCACTCTGGGCCTTAATACAAGCCAGTGTCTGAATCAGTCCGAGATGAGGCCCAGTCATCGCTTAGTCTCACTAGCTGTCCTTGGCGCCTGGGCGCTAACCATTTCGTCTATTTCTCACCTCGGCCTGGAGGCTCGTCGTGATGTTAGTATGAAAGGTCTTCCTTTGGCGCTTGACTAGCTTTGAGAAGCATGACGTAGAAGTCAAAGAATACTATCTCTGTATCTTCCTTATTGGCGGTCTTCTAGCCTCCATCTTGGGTCAGCACAAATCATGGCATCCAACTCGGCTCTTTATATCACGGGTCTTGGATCCCAATACCCTCCCTACTCTCTGGCACCAGAAAGTCTTGATGAACTTGCAGAGCGGTTTAGTGATACTACCAGCCCAGGGTATTCACACCTACTTGATCCATATCACAAACGAACCCTAATCAATAAGTTATGACTAGGATAAAAAAGCTACTTCAAATCAACCGCTCAACAGGCATTGAAACCCGATCAGCCATCCACTCATATGAAAATGGATTCGCCACTCAAGAAGAACGACCCTCAGTACAGGAAGTTGACGAATTCTTTCGACAAGCAGGAGTCAACCTCACAGTCCAAGCATGTCAGAAGGCTCTCCAGGAGGCATGCATTGTCCCCAGTGATATAACGCATACCATTGGAGTCACATGCACCAACCACGGCAGTCCAGGCTACGATCTCCTCGTGGCTCGCCAACTAGGCTTACCAGCCGATGTCGATCGCACGCTCCTCCAAGGCGTCGGATGTGCAGGCGGTCTCTCCATCATGCGTGCTGCAGCGCAACTAGCCAGCGGAGCGAGTCTGCGGAAAAGGCCGGCTCGCTTGCTCGCCTTTGCCTGTGAGCTGTGCACGCCTAACTTCCGGAATGAACTAGCGCATGCGGAGAACTGTGCAGATCCGGATCAGGTTTGTATTGCTGCGGCTTTGTTCTCGGATGCTGCTGCTGCTTTTGTTCTCATTAATGAATATGCAATGATTATGGATGAACCTGGTACTCCGGTTTTTGAGTTGGTCGAGTGGGGGACGAGTTTGATTCCTGATACGATTGATCAGTTGTCTTTCTATGCCGATAAAGAGGGTATGTTGTGCTATGATGTTCTTCATTGACTGCGGATATCGATTCTATAACTCTGATTTGGACTGATATCTGGCTCGATTCTCCTACAAACAGGGTATCGGACTGTTCTCTCTCGCGAAGTTTCCACCTACGCAAAGAATGCTATCAAACCAATGTTTGAGAGACTTCTTCCGTCATACATGGAACAAAATAGCTCTCCACCCGGTGCTGGAGGAGAGCCATTACAAACATCGCTAGGCTCTAGTGACTTCGACTGGGCTTTGCATCCTGGTGGGCAGGCCATCATAAACGGTGCTCAACGGGTCCTTAGCCTAACAGACGATCAACTGCAAGCAAGTCGGGAGATCTATCGCACGCGAGGAAATTCGTCAAGTGCAACGATTCTGATTGTTTTGGATCGACTTCGAGAAATAGGTAGAAGAGAGCATGTTGTTGCTACTTCGTTTGGTCCAGGGATGGCAATTGAGATGGCGATGCTGAGGAGATGCAAGAATTTTGAATAGAGTAATTTTATCATGGGTTTAGATTCTGTTGTTAGATTCAATGTTGGAAGATCTAGAATGCCGCGAGAACTAGTTGGAATGCAAATGAAACGCTAGGCAGGTTCAAGTGAGAATCTTGCCTTCTGTGAAAGTTACAAATATAATCGTTTTTTAAGGTTGACAGGGTATACAAGATGGCTAGTGAGTGGAGTTTGGGCAAGTATGATCCTTCTTGAAAGAATGATTGGAATCATAGGCTGAATGTTTTGGGCATTTATAAGGGATTCTATCAAGGGAAGATCTAGATAATGTTCAAATGATTATTGCTATGAGAATTCCCAGTAAAAGGAACCAAGCATATGACTTCGGATACTGTCCCATTTCGTGATATTGCTTCATCCAATTCACAAAGTGATAGACCTGAGTATGACATCGGTCATAGATAACAGACTTTCCTCATTGAGCTTGCGACCAACCAGTTGCAGACCAACTGGCATTCCATGCACAGAATCTGCAGAGTCTGATTCGGTTAGTAACTTAGTACGTCTAAAATTCAAGTATGGACCACTAACAGTTGTTCTGAATCTGCGCATCCAAGTCACTCAATGCCTGGTGATTGACATATGCCGTATCAACAGCTTTATCAGATTTGATACCGCAAGGGAAGGAGACAGCCGGGTAATCAAGCAGATTGAAGACAGCGGTATACCCAGCGTAGGTGAATTTGTCGTGCTCGGCACTACTGAATGGAGTCGTCGGGCCTGAAGAAATCGATCAATAAGAAATACTATTTCTTTGACGTCGGGGAACTTACATAAAATTGCATCAATCTCCGTCTCATTCCATCGGTCCAAGTAAGATTTGCAGATCGTATTGCGCTGAACGTGCATCTGCCATAGATCGTACACGCCAAGTTCACTTGCCTTCTCATAGGGCTTCATTTCCGGGCGGAAAGGCTCACCTGTTGGCTCGAGAAGTTTCCGAACAGACTTCCCCCCATCTGCGAGGAATAAGCCTCCAAGCAGGACGAGCATTTCCATATGCCCGATTGATGCCCATGTGATGATTTCGTGACCCGCTGTCTCTAATCTCTCGACAGTTTCTTTGAGGGCACGAGCAACAGGAGGAGTTGGGGTCACAACTCCATCGTCCCAGAGGACTGCAATTTTGAGCCGCTTTTTCGTCTCCACGGATCGCCAGGGGATGGGAAGGCACTTTGGGTCGCGAATCCAGGGTTTTTGGCCGACAATCACGCTTGCCCAGAGATCGAGTTCTTCTAGACTTTTCGCTATCGGACCGATAACACCGTTGATAGTTTCCTGTCCTTCTAGACAGGCTCGCGACTGAAAATTGGGGAAGCGGCCGGCAGAGGGGCGGATAGTGAAGATGCCTGTGCACGCAGCGGGCATGCGAAGAGAGCCGCCTAGTAGAACGATTAGGGTTGGACGGTGTGGTAGCACTCTGGCCTGAATCCATACCTATATCACTCCCCACGCCAATCCGGCTACCACCAAATGCAACCAAGGCGGCTTCTCCACCACTTGATCCTCCCGTGGTAAGATTTCGATTCAGCGGATTGACTGTGCGGCCGAAAAGATTGTTCACTGTCTCCGAGATCATCATGGCAGTTGGTACATTGGTCTTGCAGTAGATCACAGCGCCAGTCTCAAGGAGATAGTCCACGATTGTGCTGTTCTTGGTGGCGGGTTGGTTGACCAGAGATGTGAACCCAATGGTTGAATCATAGCCAATAACGTTGATGTTATCCTTGAGGGATATAGGCAATCCATGCAACGGACCTTTTGTCTTGCCTGTGTTTTGGAAGTAGTTGTCGAGTTCCTTAGCCTGCGAAATGGCTCTGTCAAAAAATATTTCCGACAGGCAGTTTGTCTGGTCACTATTAGTGATCTTTTCCTGCTTTACTTTGGGCTAGGGCTGATACCAATTGCTGAGCTACAGCTGCAGTCTTACAGAACGCCTTGGTCACTTTCTCCGAAGTCCATGACCCCGAAGTTATCTGAGAAAGAATAGTTGGGGCCGGAGACGAGATGATTGCCAATTCTTGTTCGGTGAAGAATCCAGATTCCTGAGGAAAGGTTGTCACATCCAACTGATCTTCGGCTGGGAAAATAGCAGCAGGGATTAACCATTCGGCTGGGATGGAATCCTTCAGCGCTTGGCGCTTTGTGGCAGCAATTGATTCCCACGACATGGTGCTAGTAGCAGAAAGTTGTTAGTTCGATCACGGGAAACAAATTACCCATGAGAACCGAAGTGCAGCCTTTTGTATCTCACTTGAACATTTACCTCGGTAGCTGCGAATCTATGGATTCTGCTAAAATGGCTACAGAACCTGAGTGGAAGACGTGATTGGGGCGTTGTCGGTAAATCCTGACATATCGGAGTCTAGGAATGCATTGTCGAGGCCAGAACTATTTTCTATTAATTGAATATCGAGTAAAAGAGTGATAGAACCGAAGTTGAAGGCGGGATTGGGGCTTCGTCGGTAAACTCGAGCGTATCAGGATTCAGCATTGTGTCCTCATTATCAGAGAAAAGACAACATCAATTTAACGAGGGAATGAAAGAACCTTGCTTTAACAGAGAACTAGATAAGGAAGGTTAACCTGATTTGATATACTATCTGCAAGAGTTTGTGAGAATTCTATGATAATACTCACGCTGGTGATTCGTAGACTCTCTGCCAGGAATCTTTTTCAAAAAGATAGTAATTCAAAAGCAAGCCAAACAGAAAATTGTCTCAATAGATAGTGTGATAGATTGTAAAATATCAGATACAGATTCAAAGCAAGTACATCGACGCTCAGAATAAAATAGTAATGTAGCCGCAAGAACATAAAATCAACCCATTACAGATAATAACGAAAATTTGGGTTCTCCCAGTCAGTCTCATCCTTACTGAGTACAACCAGTTCTTCGGTTTCATCAGACTCGCCAGATTCAGGGTCGATGATTACATTCTGCTGGCTGTTGCGGCGCTGGTTTTGAAAGTGAAGTATTTGACGTAAAAGAAGTATTGCGACAAAGGCAATGGCAAGCGAGATCATAATCCCAATCCAGGCGCTCTACTCATGATCAGACTCTATCACTCGGCGTTGAGATTGAAGAACTCACCTCGTAATTGGGCATTTCATCGGAAAAAAAGAGGAAAGGCCCAGTGATATTTCCAGCGCAATTTCCAATAAACATCACGGCACTCACTGTCGTTCTTTTGGTATATCCTCCCACGTTCGAGGCAATAATACTCAGTATAATAGGAACTCCAGCGGAATATGCAGGAAATAGCCACATACCGGCTAATCGAGCCACCTTTTTGCTGGGATCGATTCGAGATACCATAAGACAGCCCGCTAGACTTATGAGCGATAGACAAGCAGCGGTAATACAACGCGATTTGCGGACTTTGGATGTAATGATCGTGGCCAGAACAACCCAAATGAAAGTAAACACCGAAATGGGTAATGAGACGAGGATAGTGTTGAAGTTGGAGTATCCGAACCCGGCAATAACGATGCCTCCGAACTGCAAGATATAAAGTGTGAGCAACACTTCACGAAATGTGGTCGAACAATAATTACACTTGTAAGACCTCCATTGGGGATGCAGGATCCCATGGCATACACGAAGAGAAGCCAAGTCTTGGGGTCAATGAGCGCTTCAATACATTGACTTCTCGACCACCTCTTTGAATACTCGGTGTGCGTCTCCTGCTGAGCGCGTTGGTGGATGAATTCTCCCTCCTCTTTGGAAATGAATCGGGCATTGCGAGGGCCATCTGGCAAGCAAATCAAGAAGACAATTCCATAGGCGAAGGTGACAATGCCAAATATGATGAAGATCCACTATATCAGTCAGTCTGGGCCTAGAGATGAACTGTGCGAAAGGCTGCGAGACTCAGGTAACATACTCGCCATGGCTCAACTGAATTGTTGATGTGACCGATCCCATAAGTCAACAATCCGCCGAAAATAGACGAAATGCTATTTCCTGCGAACCAGATGCCATGTCTTGATGCATGCTCGGATCGTTTGTACCACAAACTAGTGACTAGTGACAAGCCTGGACTGATTGTACTCTCAAAAACCCCAAGGAGGACACGAAGGGCCGCGAGACCGGCAAAATTGGATACTGTGCCAAGGCACGCCACGACAACAGCCCATATCAGGCTAGAAGTTTTCATCGTCAGTTTGGGACAGGAGGTCGGAGAAACAGTCTGGTCTCACGTACAAGGAAATGGACAAAAATTTGCCAATTGGGAATTTGACGAAGCAAAGGGAGATCGGATAGGATGCCACCAAGAACCCAAAGTAGAAAGCGCTGGAGGCCCATGAATATTGTCCACTGCTCATATGCTGTTTACACTGTCAGTCATGGTTCCTGGACTTGATTCAGGATAGTATATACCAGTGACTGCATGATTCCAAAGATTGCTGTATTTCCCAGCGCAGCCTTATCCAGGTATTGAAGCATGTAAGCCGTGAACATCAGAGGAAGAAGACTAGAATCGCAGGTCAGTTGGAACTTGGCTCTGCTCATGTTGATCTAGATTCTCGTGTACTGCCAGTCAACCCTCCGCATCAGCGCTTTCTCGTCTGGACAATGAAGGACTGTCGCTTCTTGCACATCCGACACGGCCTTTCCCTCTTCCTGTAGTAAATCCATATTGTTATCTTGCCTATGGTGGTCCATGATGGTGTTGACGTCCAAAATCAAAATATGGTCGATACTGCCTGGTTGTCCAGGACGCCGATATGAAGGTATTTATAACTTGATGGCGAAACCGCGTCAACGACTCCATGTCAAGAAGACCACAGCATCCACGATCTATAAAACTTACAGACTGCAGACCAGCCTATCAAACTTAGATATGGCGACAGAAGACGCCATTGCCCCGGCGGATGAGAAGGGGGAAATTGCTGGCTTGGGATTGGCCATCGGGAAACTCGTCCAATCAAAGCTGGGATAGACATGGTTCCATCTATTCCCCAACTTATCTCCTGTCTTGGTTTCCTGTCGCATATCACCATGCAAACGTCGGACAATCATCGCTGGCGTTGCCCTACAATCTGTGTTGATAATGGGCAATCTGTCGCAATCCATTGCCTCAGATCGGCGACCAGGACGACCGAGGACACTGGCCTGTGAGGTGTGTCGCGCAGCCAAGGTGAAATGCGACCAACGGCACCCACACTGCTCGCGATGTTCTCGCTTGAATCTGCACTGCCTTTGGCTACCCAAAAGGGCCGGGTTGTTGGTGACGCGAGAATCGAATAAGAAAATAAGGAAGATTCTTCCAAAGCCCCCGCAGGAAACAACCGTCAATGGCAAAGTCTCAGAGATGAACCATGAACCAATAAACCCTCAAAATGCTAATGATACCCTTCAAGGCGTTCCAAATACGTCGGAGGGTACCATCTCCACGCAGGATCCAAGTGAGATCACTGTACCTTTCCAAGTGGAAGGGAATTTGGATATCTCCTGGCCCAGTCCGTGTCCAGATTTTAGCAGTCTTCTTTATTCGCCAATTTCAATTATACATGATATTGTTCTCGACGATTCTCTGATTCTCAGCGGAGATGAATACCAGGCTTTGCGCCACTACCAAGATAGATTCATATCAGACCGTCTCCTCAAGACTCCTCAATGGTCTATGTTCGGCTGTATTCTGCAGTCCATCTGCCACATACCCATGGCCATGCATCTCCTGATTGCAGCATCTTCTATGGACCTGAATCGACGATCCCCTACCCCAGCTATCCGTCTAGGTGTAACCAGAGCCCACTTCCGCAAAGGCTCAGAAATGCTCATACAGCTCATGAACGTCGACGCCGAACCACATCATTTCAGCACTCTGAGCTCGTGGTTTTTTCTATACTTGTGTATGGGTCGTCGTGACATCCTTGACAAAAAGGCTGTTGACCAGCTCAGTCAAGCGATTCTAAGGTACATACAACAATACGATTTAGACAGCCTGAGTACAAATATCAAGTCAGAACAAAGCCTCCTTTCCTCTACCTGGCACGACTCATCTCAATCAACCGAACCAGGCCTGATTGGACGGTTACTGCTCTTCTTAGCATCGGAAGACATCGAGATGGGATTCGAAGGATGCGGTGGCCATGTCGCGAATCACCTATTTGGTAGTGACGATCTACATTGGCGAATATTCTCCCAACAACGGTACATATTGGAGCAGCATTGGGGGGAATCATATCCCGAATACGAAGCCGTGCATGATATTCAAGTGACAACAGTAATAGAGTTGGGAAATAAAGTCGGCATGATCTTCCAAAAGCTGAACAAGCTCAGTAAAAGAGCCGTGGAGGAGTTAATACCGCGTGACCTTGACATCGAAGACAGGATCTTGCGAACAGAAACGGTACTGTCCTTCACATCTAATAGCAGCCTTTGCCTGCAGTTGATTGGAGCTGACAATCACACTAACATGCTCTACATAGCAATATTGTTCCATCATACGAATGACACGATCTTCAACGACGCCGAGATCTACTTTCCTCCGAACTGCCGATGTCGCCGTGACCAACTTTTACTTCGTAAAACTCTACTATTTCCGTCTCACTCTGGGCGATTTTTCCCAACCAACTCCGCCCCACATCATATCCGTCATGACTGACCTGATGAACATCGCCCACCGTGCATTCGGCGAGCAAGACACCTGGGGCCACGAACTACTCCAGCTCCCCCTCTTCATGACTGGCCTTGAAACCAGAGATCGAATTCATGTCGAGTGGATCATCTCCAAAATGAGCAGGCTGCGCTTTCGTACAGCCTTGTGTCAAATCATAGATACCCAAGATCGAATTGGGAGTCGTCTTTCTATATATCGCATCAGACAAACCCTACAAGGTCTAACGGGATCAGAAATACTGGGGCCGAGTTTAAATAACGGATGGAATCACGCTTGAAATGAAATCAACACGCTGATCTGGATAACCTCGTTTGCTATCCAGGATGTACCGTTAATAGAGGACTAGGGCTTAATGTCACTTGGGGACCTAATCTAACCTGTTATTCTGCAATTCACGGGGAAAGGGTAGCCATGTTTTTGATCCGGTAGACTTCTTACTAGATGGTCAAGAAGATAGATCGTACTTGAATCCAGAAGAGACCAATAAAATGATATTCAGGGTAAGACTAATTCTTCGACAAGAACAAGCGCAGCACTGCTAGGATCGGGATATTCGAAGTACTGTCTAGTTTTAGCGATCAATTTTACTAGATAAACAACAATAATCTTCTACGAACCTAGTATTGATCAGCGGCTGGATGTATGGCATAAAACCCTCGGCGTGGTTATATAGCTCTAGTGGGAGACTTGGATATCAGCAGCCAATCAGCAATTCCAGCTGTTTGATGTCACAGCATCATTGGTCTAGTGGTAGAATTCGTCGTTGCCATCGACGAGGCCCGTGTTCGATTCACGGATGATGCACATCTTTTTTTGTTCTTTTTTGGGGCCCACAAGCGATGTCGATAGAGAACTACTTGTATATTTTAGATTATGATTTTCTGAACTTGTGTCTCGGAAATAAATTGACAGAGCTAACGGTTGAAGGTGGAAGATGCTGTGCCGTATATGTGAACAGTCTCGTTTTCTAGCAGCAACTATAATGTGAATCGCCTGCCTTTAGCACCATATATCCCTCTGCAGCCGTTGAAGTAGGACCGTGAATGTCAATGTCTGCAGCGCTATCAAAAACAACAGCGTGAGGTGGTCAAGGTGACTAGGGCTTAGCGATATCACGCACGGAGGATTTCCGAACCGGCAATTTTGTTAATTTGACCAGTATAACGTCGATTGGATGGATTTCTGACTTTGCTGGTATTCTCTGCCCAGTTAATATCTAGTTGGTATCCAATTCATATCTCAGGACGCATCCACGAATGTTTCTTGCCATGTATACCAAACTGCCCTAAGCCGTATTGGGACACTCCACCGCAGAACGCGGACTCAGTCACAGTATCGCCTTAATGCTTACTTTCTCCCCTCATCTCACATCTCCAAAAATTCAATAACGGTCTATAAAATGGTGAATAGTCTTGTATTGCCTCGTCCAGGGACAGCCAAGTCCAACCAACCCCCAATCCAAGCACCATCCGAAGCCGACTTCGGCGCAGCATTCGGCAACCTGCTCCCATCAGCCTCATACCTCCAGACACCAAACGGCAGAATCGCCTATTATGAGCTCTCACCCTCATCTGCTGCACCAACAGACCTCAAACAGCCAATCTCCCGCGTCCTTTTTGTGCACGGGGTCCAAACACCCGCAATCGGTCTGCAGCCATTAGCAAGCGCGCTCTCTTCCCGTTTCCCATATGCGCACTGTGTGCTGGTAGACCTGTGGGGCCACGGACTCACTGAAACACCAATTGCACCGCATGAAGCAGCACTCTTCCATTCATTACTCGAGGATGTGATGGTGCATCTGGAGTGGGAGACTGCCCATTTCGTTGGGTACTCGTTTGGTGGATCCACCACTGCCAGCTTTGCGGCTGCGTATCCCCACCGTGTGGAGGCTATGGTGCTGGTTGCGCCTGCGGGTTTACTGCGCTCCGGGCAATTTGATGAGGTGCAGAGAAGCTATCTGCGGGGTGGTGATGGGTTAGAGGAGGACGCGCGCAGGTGGATTATGGAATTCCTTGAAGGGGGGCAGTTGGTTGTTCCGTCGGATTGGAAGGAGAGGGTTGGCCGAGGCGAGGTCGTTGCGGAGGCGGTTCGGGACTGGGAAATGAGGGAGCATCAGGGCCATGCGGCAAGTGTAGTTGGTATTTTCAGAGATGGCGGAGTCTTGGATAAACATGCTGAATTTGCCGAAGCGGCGAAAAAGGGCATTGAGAGTCTATGTATCTTGGGAGAGCTGGATGACTTGTGCACTGTACAGGACTTGCATGATGTTGGCTTGCGGAATGTTTCTGTTGTCCCACAGGTGGGACATGGTGTTGTGAGGCAGAAAGTCCCAGAGGTTGCCCAGCTCATTGAGGATTTCTGGCATAGGCTCGAGTAGTGGTGCTTCTCTCTTTATAAACGAGCACGGATATATCTGGCTAGAAGTAATTCAACGGCAAAGCTTAGAACTTTCATCGATATTGCTATGAATTGCAACATCAGCTTCATATTACGCCAAAACCTGTATCTATACACCCCTCCACTCTCGCAGTACATTTGTATCAAGCTTCCATCCAAAGAGCCGCTCCTCAACGCTAGGTCTAGAAAAGGCCCTCTTGAACCCAGGCGGGAAAAACTCAGTCCCAAGAGCAACAACATAAGGCTCAATCACAAGCCCCGAATCCACCAAACGTCCCACATCCCAAAAGACATAACCCATGTCTCGAAGTATGGCATTTGACGGAGAATCTGGCTTGACATCCGTGTCAAAACTAGTCCCCCATTCCCACCCCAGATTGTGCGAATCAACTTCATCGCGATCAATGGAAACCACTTTGCCGTAATAGAACGACTTTCTAGATATCTTGTCGATGTTCTCGTCTATCATAGTCCCCGTAACGAAGTAATCATTTACATCCAAATCATTGGAATAACGCTGAGATTTCACGAGGACGTCTCGGAGATCTCGAGGTGGTAGGTTATTCAAGGAAAGGATATAAGCCGGACCGCAGGAAACGAGGTATTTGACATGATTGTCGTGATATGGCGTACTGCGATACTCATTCGTGAAAAGAAATAGCCCGCAATCTTTGAAAGTCTTGCTGAGGGGGGTCCCAGTGTTGTCCTTCTCGATGAGTGTATCATACTTATGATCAGGTTTCCTCTCGACGCCCGCGTCGAGAAGACTCTTTTTCGAGCAAAAGGTAGTAAAATCATCCTCTAGTGTCTCACAGAGCGATTCAACACATTTTGCAAGAAACTGTCGAATACAGACAATTTCTTCGAATTCATGCTGTCGGAACTGCGAGCCGAAACTCATAACAATCTGGATGAAATTCATCGCGGAGCTCTTATCCTGGAGCTGAAGGACTCGATGGAATCTTGCGAAAACTTCACAACGGTAGAAAGCTCGCTGGAGACGGGCCTGTTCTGTATACGATAAATTTGCTCTTGGGATTGTCGTTGATGGAGGTAATGGGGGGTGGTCGTGATCTTTTGAGAAGAGATTGCGCAGCGACCAATGACAGAACGTATCAATAAGGCGTTCGGTGCTGGCTTGAAGATTGAATAATGTTTCCAATTTGTCGTCGTCTACTTTGAACACACCATGATTCCGAGAACGGCGTTTCCGGTCGGTGACGAAGATAGAAAAGCATTCTGCTTTTAGTTTTGTGATTTTGGTACCTGACGTGATCTGCCGTTGTATGTTTTGGACGTCCAGCGCCGTATAGGCGTCTGCTCGGCATGTGGGATGAATGGCTCGAGTTAAAATATTTTCTTGGAGATGTTGCTTGTAGGCGATGTAAGATCGGTATAAGTTTGGTGAGGCATTAATAGCAGCGATCATGTCGAGCGGAGAGAATACATGCTCGAGGATTATTAACAGAATCTCCGGAGCGAGAGACTCCAGCGCCATGGCGTGAAGATGGTGAAAGTCCCCGCAAAGTTGATGGGTTGAGGCTCCGCTGGCGGGTCCTCCTGGACGGCTCTCATTGGTTAGACTTGTGCATTATTCATGACCTTAATTTGTGTCTTTTTGATATTTTAAGCTTAGTTTGGCGGCAGAGATCGTGTATAGAGATATCTTCGGTTTCTGGAATTTCCTACGTATTGGATAAAGTGGAAAGTTATCATCATCGTGCCTGCCATGCAGCCACTAGTATATTACCAAGATCAACACATGTACAAACATACAATTCAGACCAATAGTTGACTAGATACACAACAGGCGAGATGAAGAGAGCAAAAAAACAGTCCGTGTTGGTGCTAACAGCCAAACCAATATGAAACACAGCCGAGGGATTGACCCTTCCGAACCATCAGATAATTGTTTACGAGGAAAGGTCAATCACCGATAGAACGAAGCCGGGTTAGACCCTGCTGCGCCCTGTGGAGGCTGGTAGGCCTGGTACTCGCCCGTGCCTGCGGGAGCTGGAGGAGCCGGGCTGTATGATGCGTACTGTGTTGGCTGGCTTGTTGCGCCGGGGACCGGGGGAGGCTGATGTGAGGGTGGGGGTTGGTGAGCAGCGGCGGGAGAGTTGGGGTATGGGGGCTGTTGGAACTGGTGGGGAATATGTTGGGGCATGGTAGAGACTGGGGGGACCTGAGGTGTATCCTCAGTGGAGTAAACCGATGGTGAGTAGTCTTGTTGTTGCGGCGGCGGCGGCTGTTGCTGCTGGAATTGCTGGTGGCCAGTAGGAGGACCTTGAGCTTGGGCACCTGGGGGGTAAGGTACACGCTGAGAAGGGGCAGGGTGATCGACGGGGGAGTCATAGACTGATGTTGCTAACTCTTGGGGGGTGGTCGTATGTAGACTGGGGACGGTGCTGGGCGGGTGCATAGGGATCAGATTGAGGTGGCTGCTGCTGCACCGGTGGTGCCATAGCCGGGACCTGGTTGCGAGGATCAGGAGAGTGAGATGCTGGACGGTATGGCATTGTCTGCTCGCCGCCGTAGTATGGAGCAGTCGCCTGGGCCGATGTGTTGTTATCTGGAATGTGGGTTAGTTACCAATATAGCCAATGAGCTGCAACTGTACATACCTTGAGGTCTGGGGCTAAAGTATCGCGCTTCAGGCTGAGGAGGACCCGCGTAACCAGCAGCTGCAGCACCTGGGTAGGCGTACTGCGGCTGAGGAGGTCGGCCATATTGAGGCTGTGCGGGATGAGCCATCGATGCCTCCAGCAGGGACTCATAATCCCGACGAGCTTTAATGAATTTTTCATTGAGCTGAGTGAATTCATCTGCATATGTGTGAGCAGAATGCTTAGCCAATTGCATGAGCAGCACTTACCTTTCTTCTGCGAATACTTCCCAATCAACTCGATAAGCTTCGGCCGAATCTTCAGAGTAGCCTCATAGAGGTTGCTGATCTCCTCATTTTCTGAGACATTGAGGTCTGTGTTGCGGGTGCTGAGCAACGTAAGCAGCTTCTCAACACTCTTAATTTGACCAAAAACATCCGCTTCCATCTGGGCCTCTCGCTGCAACTCATCCACAGTGGGATCGGGGAGTTTTTCCACGTAGTTGAGAGGGAAAATTCCAGTCTGGCCCCTCAAAGAACCCTTCCACCAGTCCTTGTACACTGATTCGAGAACTGCAATGATGTCCCCTTTGCGGAATTGAAGTTCACCGGGCTCAGATGCCTGGAAGTCGAACAGGGCTCTCACACGTGACACGGTAGCTACTGAAGTGCCAGATAGAACGGGTTGGGCTTCAGCGGGCTCAGCTGGATTGATTTGGGCCAGGGCAGCTGCTGGTACCGAGGCAGAAGCAGCCGCAGCCGCAGCTGAGGACTCGCCTCGGGAAGCGGGGGCACCAGCGGGGCCTGAGGGCTTGTCTTTAATGGAGAGAGCAAGGGCCATTTGGAGTTCCTCCTCTTCCATCTGACGGTCAACATCGGTAATCTCACGCTTGCCTGGCTTGGATGGCGGCTGTAGGTTCGGGTCTGGATATCGTTAGTTGGGCTCATTGTCAAATGCGGGACGTTAGGTGCATACTTGTAGTTTTTAGCTTCATATAAGCCTGCTCCATAATACCGAAGTCGGGGTTGGATGCAAACATCTGTGTCCAATCTTCCATGCGCTCCAGAATCTTCGACTTCACTTGTTGGTGGGTATTCTAAAGAAACTGTCAACACCCACTGTTTTACAAAATGCAACACGGCACATGATGATTGCTTACCCGGTCATTGGCCAGGCGCAGTAGCGCATCAGTAAAGCTTCTAGAAGCCAGTTCGCGGTGGATTTTAAGACCACAATTCTGCGACAACGAATTGCCGAGCTATAACGCGAGTCAGCAAGGCGCGGAACCACCGCAATCCTTTATGTCCCGGTAGCACTGGTAAAGACCACGAACCTCCAATGTGTAAAGCTGCACATTAGCATTCCGATGCGCAAGTCTCTTGATCATAGCCGCAACAGCTTCCTTCGCACTGAAATTAAAGTCAGTCAAAGACCTTCAAAATGCGCACCATAATCCACATACCCCGACTCTTCAGAGCCAACTTTATCGCAGACATCCTATACCGCAAATCCATAAATCAGTCCCCACGTCCCTGTCCAATATCCAGGAATTCAACATCTCATATCCACGCACCAGAATGAATTCCCAATTCTCAGAAGTCAAGTTCTCATCTGTCGCCTTGGCTGTAGAGAAGTCCGGGTCAGTATTCAGATACCAGTGCGCCCGAGTAGTATCTGCCTTCCCGCAGACCAACGACCAAAATCAAGCTTACCGACAGCATCATCAAAGGCATTCTGTTGCGCGCGAAACATCGCAGCTGTATTCTCTCCAAGAGAGGTCGGTAACGACGGGGTATGGGTATGGGTACGGGGGCGTCGGGCAGCGAGAATCAATTCCGATTCGGTGGATGACAAGTTGACCGCCTGTCTGTTCGATGAGGATCAAAAGTCGCACTATATCACGTCGCAAGCTCTATTTAAGCTTCTCCGCCAGATTCTCGAATCAAGTCCGGCGTGTGTTTCGGAGGTGGTAGTTGTGCAGCGAATGCGGGGAGTCCACAGGCGACTTGGAACGGTGCGGTATGGGCGGTGTAAATGAGATGGGGTTGTAAATGGCCCTTTTAGAAAGTAGCTGGAAGCGACTAGGTAGTTTGTGACGCTGGAGGGTCGTCTAGGGGGTTTTGAGGAATAGGAGCTAGAGGCTGTGTTGGGGTCTTCCTGGTTGTGTACGGGGGCCCTGGGACTATCACCTGAGTCAGCATGATGACGATGGTTGCTAAATGACAGCCTTGGAGCCTAAGTGACTTGGTTGATTTGCCACTTTTGGCTCTGTTTATAGTCGATTATTGCTTATGGTTCCTTGATTTACTATGTATTAGTTAGTATCCCAATTCTGTAGAAATTTTTTAAAGGAGATCTTCGCAGCAAAGCATACCTGCACGCACTGGATAGTCCGACGCCGTATTCGTATCAATAGCTTCTCTGCAACTTATTTCTGCCTAGGAGTGGATAATTAGGGCACAAAATATTCCTTCTACCTAAGTTTTCGCCCCTACAGTATATATTTTTAGCTCATGGAGTGGGTGTACTATAAGCCATTGCCAGAAACAAATGAGACTAAAAAGCAGTGGCCTAGTTAGGATACCAGTTCGATATTTGCAAAACTCCGTATCTACATAATACTTTTGAATTCAAGTCCAATAGGAAACAGAAGAACATAGGATTTGTATCTCACTAACCGCTTGTATCTAACAGAAGATAGAACTACAGAAACCTAGATGGAAAGAAATGGACACAGATGTAAACAAACATAAGGCGAATATTGCAAACATGCTCATAAATGGAATCATTTTCATCAAGGACGATGTGTTGGGGAATAAAATAGAGGTAAATTGGGTACAAAGTATATCAATCCCACGACGTATGGCAGTGCACGTCGGGATCTAGAAGAAACAGTGGAGGTAACGGGGTATCTGAGCGAGGCGTCAAGGAGATCAAGTAAGACGCAAATTAGAAAACCGAAACATAGGAAATCGTAGTCATTCAAGCACCTCCTTTTTGGGCTTTTTCTTGGGCCCGGCTGGCACGAGCAGCCTTGACCAAGGGGGCGAGGTGCGAAAGGGGTGCACAGAAGGACATGAATGGGTGCTAAAGCGCGTTAGTACAGGCTATAAAACTAGCGTGGAATGATCATACCTTCAGGAGGTCGTGTGCCGATGCCCGCTTCTCAGGGTCAACCTTCAGAGCGAAGTGAAGGAACTCGCGGAAGATCGGCGTGAGGTTGTGTTCATCTTTAATGGTGGGTGTTCCGTTGGTGGCAATGAGGTACAGCGCACGCAAAGGAGACTCAGTCAAGTATGGTGGCTCGCCCTCAATCATCTCAATGGCCATGATGCCCAAACTCCAGATGTCGACTTTGCGGCCATACTCCTTGCGGGTCACAACCTCGGGGGCCATCCAGTATGGGGTACCGACCATAGTGTTCCGCTTGTTATGCGACTCGTTGATTTGGGCACAGAAGCCGAAGTCAGCTAGGCGATGTTAGTGCACTCTTCATTGAAGGCCAAGACAGGCGTAACTTACTCAGCTTAATGTTACCATCCAAAGAGAGCAAGATGTTGTCGGACTTGATGTCTCGATGAATAACACCTTTAGAATGCAAATGCTGTAGACCGCTCAATGTCTGAAGAGAATAATTAGTACTTTCGAACCACCTTCACTAGTACTTGTGACTTACCTCTCGACAAACTGCTGCGATTTGTGCTTCACTCATGATGTTAAAAGTGACAACATCTGTGAGACTGCCACCTTCCATGTACTCCATAACTACCCAAAGATCCAACCCATGCAGGTAGCTCTCAAGGAAGTTCACAATGTTCTTATGCTTGCTGTCTTTCATAACGAGAATCTCGTTGATGATGAGCTCCTTCTTGGGTTGCAAGTCCAAGTTCATCTGCTTAATCGCAACGCAGTTGTTGCGAGGAAGTTCATACGCGGTGAACACACCGCCTGAAGCACCTTGACCAATCTTGTTGAGGTTGTAATAAATAAGTGTGGGATCGCCTTCGCGACAGATAGACATCAAACGCGAACGAATATCCATAGCAGTGCTTTGGCGCTGGCGCTGGCGGGGTCGGGCAGCCGGGGAGCACGCGCAGAGGGCGATACTCCAGACGACAGATCGGGTGCCGGAGTAGTGGTTGATGTAGAGATAGCTGGGGGCTGCTGTGCTTGTTGGCGCTGGCTGCGATTGCGATCCAGTGCCTGCTGTGCTGCAGCCATGACCTGCTCCTGCTGCCGTTGGTATTGTGTTGGGGACGCGATCACATTCGGGGCATTGGACACATTCGGGGTGTTGGACGCCGGCGTGCCATTTCGAGAGGTGGAGGGGCTGCGATGAGGTGAAGGTACTGCTTCGGCCTCTGGTATTGTCGGAGTGCCAAAGGAAGAACCATAGGTGTCGAGCTGGGGTCGTTGTGGTTGTTGGGCACTGTAGGCATTCGCGACTGGGGGTTGCGGCGGAGGACGGGATGGGGTCATGGCCGGGGGCTTGGGAGGGGCGCGATGCGGCATCATACCTCCCAGTTGTGGGGACATGCTCGGTGTGCCTGCTGCTGGCCCGCGTGGAATTGGTGGTGGCGCCCGTGGGTTTTCAAAGCTGCTCTCGTGGTTTTGCGGGAATCGTGGACTGCCCGGCGGCGACTGTCCCCTTGGACTCGTCGCCTGCGCATTATCGAATTTATGCCAGACTTCATCGTCACTATCGCCACGGGTGTTCTTTTCGTAGAAGCGCATAATGTCCATCATAGTTTGCGGGTGCTCCTCCTGCTCCTTCTTGGAGATACCATTCTCCTGAAGTAACCGCTGCCATTCCTTCGGAAGACCCGTGAATTGGCCAGTTTGATTATCGTAACCGACATGGGTCACATGGACTGGATTCTCCGGGGCTGAAATTTTCATGTTGCGACCGGGGGAGCCCAGCATACTGTCCACGAACCTGGAGAAGCTCGCCTTCTTGCTCTGCCTCGTTCGTGGCGCCGGGGGCACCGTGCCATCATCGGAATATCGTTTGGCATTCGCCGCCCGTTCCGTCTCGCGATGGGCAAAGGGATCCATCCGTTGAGTCAGGGTGGTGAAACTGGCTGACTGGCGGAGTGAGTGGCGCCCACGGTTATCGGGGCTGGCGTGTTGAGATTGGGGACCGGGCGCTTGCTGCGAATGAGGGTTTGCTTCGGCGCTATTCTCGTCCAATGCACTGAGCATGCCCCGGGTTTCGTAAGGGGCGCCTAATTCATCCGAACTCTGCTCGTTGTAGGAAAAGCGGTTGGAGCTGCGAGTGCGGGACCGGGATGAGAAGTTGGAGAAAAAGCCGCTGGATTCTTCGTTCGAGGGCGACGGCCCGCCACTGTTCTGTTCCAGTGATGAGGAGGAAGAGCCGAATTGTGCGTTGGATCGCGACCGATTATGCTCGCGACTACCGCTGGGAGAGGAACGAGGATAAACGGGGGCGGAGGGGGTGCGTTTGAGCGATGTGGTGCTTTGATGACTGCGAAGAATGCGCGAACTGAAGCTAGGGGGATCCTTGTGAAGTTTGCTCGACGCTCGGCGGAATTTCAATGGGAAATTGTCCTGATTCATGGTGGGTAGATTTTCTGTCTCTACACGAGACAGATTGAAATTGGGCCGGAGGAGGGGTCAGACTGAATTATTTTTTCTTCTTCTCTCGACCAACCAGAGAACGAATCACCGAGTCCTCCAAGATGAGGAATGGAAGGTTGGAAGGGAGTCGGAGATCGGAAATGTGAGGAGGAGAGAAGTCACACGTGGAGACAGGAAAAGGGGAGTGGCTGGGTTGACAGGTAAACGGGCAATGAGAAACAACCCTTGGAACTGACCTTAAGCCTAAGAATAGCATCTGTTAATCCTCCGATATCAAAGTATAACTCGCTCACTTTTGGCACTTTTGTCTGCTTTACTCGTCTGTTACGACCTAGGGCTTATAATCTGCCTCTTACACCAAACCTAGCCTTTCTGTCTCTCTCCAAGGTTAAGAGGTTCAGAGTATCTGAACCGCACAGATCCCTTCATTTCTTGTTCCTCATTTCCGGCCAGGGCTTGTCTTACGTTCTGGGGGTGCCAGTCCACGGAACTTATCACCTGGTATGGTTCGTTCTGATGGTATCTCCAAGGCTTCAAGTTCTCATCTGGGCACCTGGGCCAGGTTCTCTACTTATCTCACGCTGTTATCTGCCTCGGGGGACGGGAGCAAATCACCTCGACAATGAGACGCCCATTGGATTTTGAGGATCCATCGCTACTGGCTGACTCGCTATATCCGGGTATCAGTCGCGATTGGATGGACATACTCTGGGAGACTTTGGGAGCTTACCCATATCTGATCATGCAGGGGCCGACTCGGGGGTAAGACTGTGTCCGATGCGCTTGCTATTAGGTTATACTCGGGATCCTTCTCGATATGCTATACTGCTATACCTGGGGTAGAGTAGGCAAGTATCGCATCTCTTCAAGCTCCGTGACGGACCAAGTGAAGTGGATGACTGCATTCTGAAGATAATTTCGGCTGAACGCTCTTTCGGTATAAGATCGACAGCGCCCTTCCCCCTATCCCAATGCTAATTTTCTCCGGACATGAGCTCGGGGAGTCGGGGCCATCTTGAATTTTATACCATGTAATATCTATTCGTTTCTCATGGCCGAAGATCGGAGGTGGCGCCCTAGTCTTCGGATTCTGCAGCACAAGGGCCCGAGATCCGAAAACGCAGGAAAATAAGACCTCCGAACTACCTCTGAACAACCTCAAGTCAAAACTAGAGACATCTTCAGGCACAACTTCGGTGAATTTCTTGTGGGGCAACCGATCCAGATGGGGATACTCCACACAATAGAGAGTAGGGTTTTGCAGGATTGACATCATCTAAAGCCTCTTAAAAGGCGCCCTTTCCCCCCTAAATTCCATGTTCTAGCGATATCCAGTCTCCAGAGTCAAGATGGCAGCCCATACCACCCAAGGCGGCCAGGTCAATGCCACAATCCCCTCGGCATTTGCCATATACAACACCAGCTTCCTAGACATCATCGGCCGAACCCCCAAACTAGACCTACTCGTGGAAAACAATGACTACCCCTTCGCCCACGAAGCAAGCGTCTACATTCCAACCACAAATGAGCTCTACATGTCCAGCAACATGTTCACTGACCCGTCAACCAACGAAACAACAATCAAGGTCTCAAAGGTCAGCTTGAGCAAGTATCCGCTCACAGCCGAGATCGTCAACACCACCGTACCCATGGCGAACGGCGGTATCAACCACGACAATGGCATTCTGTGGACTGCCCAGGGTGGTCTTCATGACACAGGTGGTCTGGTCCAGATGTCTGTCACACCACCGTACAAGACGGAGATGCTTCTGGATTCCTTCTATGGCCGCCAGTTTAACTCGCTGAACGATGTGGCCGTGCATGCGGATGGGTCCATCTGGTTCACGGATCCTATATATGGGTCTCTCCAGGGAATTCGCCCGAAGCCTAAGCTGCCCAATCAGGTTTACCGGTATGATCCGGCGACTGGGGATGTGAGGGTCGTTGCTGATGGATTGGGACGGCCTAATGGAATAACGTTCTCGCCTGATCAGACGGTTATTTACATCACTGATACGGCGGAGACCATTGGTGATGGGTCTAAGGATAACACATTGCCGGCTACTATGTAAGTTTCATTCTAGATATGGAGTGCAGCTTGTTGCTAATTTATCCAGCTACGCGTTCGACGTTACTACTGCCCATGGCCAGCCCTTCTTGACCAACCGCCGTGTCTTTGCTATGCCCGGTGTTGGTATTCCCGATGGTATCAAGGTCGATACTGAGGGCAATGTCTATGCTGGGTGTGGCGATGGTGTCAATGTATGGTCCCCCGGCGGTGTTCTGCTTGGCAAGATTCTTATCAAAGACGGCACTTCCAACTTCTCATTTGGTCGCAAGGGCCGCATGTTCATTCTCAACGAGAATAAGCTTTACTCTGCGCAGCTGGACCGTAAGGTTCAAGGTACTCTTGTGAAAGTCTAAGTGTCGGGTTGGCCAGTTGCCTCGGACTTGCAGTTGGGACATCTTTTGGTAAACACGAGGAACGCGCATGTTTTCGAACAAGACATATGATAGCCTTGGAACCCATCGTGTTCACTGATATATACTCAAAAGTCATCCCCAGTGCATGTATAGATTGATACAAAGGATGAGATTCCATTGATTCTACGGCCTACTGCAGATAACACATCAAGTGACTTGCCCGTGACTCAAAAGAGGGCTCTTTCGCATTGTTTATCGACATCTTACTACTTCCGATAACTTATTTGAACAGTCATGAAAACGAATAGAATGAGCACATGAGATTTCACATCTAACACACCCCTGAATATAGAAATAACAGTGTTGAATACAAATGTTATGAGCCTCAGTTCCAGGTAAATATTCACATATTTATACAATGACCCCTCCAATTTTTAAATGAGCCCAATACGGAGGAGATGATACTGGACCAAAAAGAGAAAACAAAAAAAACAATATGTTGAACTAAGCTGATATTTATGTTGACAAGTTCAATTGAGTGGGTGGATTGAGCGGATATAGCTCAATATTGATCTATGCCATAGCAGAAACGTGTTGCTTTGATTTCAGATGTTGTCCCAGGGGTAACCTGTCTCAATCACGGCTGCCCTGCGGAATATATTAGAGTTGATGACACCTTGAACCACCGTGATGCCCCCAGTGTTCGTGTCTTGAGCAACGACATAGCAATCTTGTCCATCCAAGGATTCCGAATAGCTCGGTCACTCTGTCACCGACGAATAGCCAGGACGGCTGACCACATCAGGAAGCGAACGTTTTGAAATCAAACACAGATCATTGTAACCGGCAGGGTGTGGTTTGTCGTTGCGTGGGGTATCATAGTGTACAAGTGGGTTCACATTATGATTCTGATCTAGTGAGGTTAGAACTGGATATAAGAGTAGGCTCATGTTAATACTTCATCTGAGGGTAAGTAAAATGATGTCTTTGCTACAAGATGGTGGGTGGGGCAGGTTGACACCTGAACTGTTAGGTTCAATACATGTTCTGGACCACTTCACTGATGTTGATCGGAATCTACAGTAGATTATTTAAGGTTATTCAGAATGGTAATTACAGCCGAGGATAGAAGATCACTAGTCGCTATATCAGGAATGTAAATCTCACCCTGTCGTCAGCACTAATGTCTCTCCAGGGCTGTGTTGGCTCCATACTTTTGGCCTTCCACAATTCTATGAGATTGCCTATCGAGACTGGGGCAAATTGCAGGTTAGTCGCACATAGATTTGGGGCATAATGATTTGGTTTATCTACGGGTTACGAGGCTGGTAGAATCATGTTCTGAGCTTCCAACGTTCACTTATATATCCGTCCGCGTTCCGCTCTCACATTCCCAACTTCAACTTTCGAACTTCCAACCCATATCCAAGTACATAGAGCATACAGAAATCGTAATTATCTGAACCATAACTGCCCCCACGTATCACCGCCGACACGGAGGTTCTCGGAAACAACCACTCCACCCGACCAAGGCTGTGGTGCAACATCGACTTGATGTGATGCAATCGCCTGATCGACGTTGAATGCCCCCAGCGTGGAACCTGGACGCAGTCTAACTGATCTCTCTGCATCTCGCATCTCGACTATCGGCTAGCCAAGACTATGTCGTAGATTAATTCATAGCCACCCCCAGACTTAGCGGCTTATACGGACCTCTGGGATTCAGACATAGCGGTGTGGCGAGAAACGGATCCAATGAGTATGAACCAAGACTCAGCCCAGGTCAATCATACTATATTCTCGAACATCATTGACAGGAATCCTGACAGAAAGCTCAGCCAAGTCACTATTTACAACAAAGTTTAGACAGAAGCGGGGGTCCAAAGAGGCTGAAAAGTCCACCCTGATTCGACGATATCCATCGATGACATCGGTTGGGCTGGTGGCTTCGGGTAATATGTTTAGGGTCTAACTGCACATGTAGGTACACTTCATCATCTGAGCTGATTGTCCCGCAAGATGGCGATTCCCAAGCGTGTCAACTGAGAGCGACGATCTACAGGACAGTAGATGATTCCTTCGCGTGACCTTTATGACTTAATCGCAAATGTTAGATTTGAGGTCCGATCTCCAAGCCTTGGAGCGGGTGATTGGCCTTAGCGGTCCACATTTGCAGATCTTTGCTCGGACCACAACAAGCGAAGTGTCAATAAAAAGCCACGCAATGTGTACCCGCAAATATGATGAGTATCTGTCGAGAGAAAGTAGTAACCAAACAGAACTCCATTTCAAAGCTCACTGCTGACTGGGTAGAGATTAAAATAGGACTGAAAGTTTACAGATTGTACATAGAATTCGTTAGCGCAAAGGGGAAACCAGTGCTCCCTTGCTGAAGCTGAATGTGGAACCAACACACACTTGCAGGACCACTGTCGTATTACCCCTGTTGCCCAGAGACACTGTACCTCGATCGTGTGTGATGGTCACAGATGTGGGGAATATGCAACTGATCCAATGTGTACTGTACTGTGTATCTGTTGGGCTCAAGATGCGAGACATCACATCAGGGATGGCAAACTCCTAACAGTAGTCTCTCCCTTTGTTAACCATTGTTGTGTTGTGCCGTTGCCTATCCAGTCAGGGATCCACCGAACAACGTAGCAATACTCCTCTGTTGCCATCGGCTTTGAGCCCATCCCTTTCGGGGCCCCGAGGCCATGTAGACCCGGCTCAATACTGACATGCGCGCCTTACATGACCGTAGCCGATGGACAGGGGTCACCATTCCATGATTGGACGATAATTTCTCCCGTGTGGAAAGGTCATACTCGAGGCCCAACACCTGGCGCACCTGGCGTGGGGATGAAAGGAAGCTGCCAGGAGCCGAGCATTGTCCGATTCAACATAAATTGGACCTGCTTTCTCGTGTTTTCGTTTCTTTTTTTCTTAACCAAGCAGCCTTCTTCGACAACCTTTTCTATCCGCCCTCCTCCCTCGCCCCCATCATGCTCGGTCTCTTCGTTCTCTTGACCTCTGCCCTAGTTAGTGCATACCCTAACCGGGGTCCCTGCACTGGGGATTGCTGGACTCATGATCCCTCTATGATCCAGCGAGTATCAGATGGAAAGTACTTCCGTTTCGCTACTGGTACTGGAGTCAACACCCATACATCGCCATCAGTCAAGGGTCCATGGACAGATGTAGGCGCAGCCCTGCCAGATGGATCAAATATCCACATCGACGGAGTCGACAGCAAAGATATCTGGGTAAGAAGACCAGCAAATAGTCCACCAGCACAGTTTGTTGTTGGTGATATAACATCAAGGTCCATACTTACAAACGATACAGGCCCCTGATGTTCATTACCAGAACGACCAGTACTACATGTACTATGTACTCTCCAAGATCGGCACCCAAAACTCAGAAATTGGAGTAGCAACATCGAAAACGATGGAGCCCGGTTCCTGGACTGACCACGGCGTCGTCGGCCTGCCCGCCAACACCAACTACAACCGCATCGACCCCGCCTGGATCACCATCAACGGCAAGAACTACATGAACTTTGGCTCCTTCTGGGGCGACATCTTCCAGGTCGAGATGGAGACCCCTCTCAAAGTCGGCTCAGCTACCCCCTACCAGATCTCATGGAACTCGACTCTCAACCACCGCGAGGAGGGCTCGTTCGAGTTCAAGCACGGCGACTTCTACTACCTTCTCTACTCCGCTGGCATTGCTGGAAAGTACACCAAAGACTTCCCTGCTGAGGGTGCTGAGTACCACATCCGTGTGTGCCGTTCCCAGACCGGCCTCGGTGACTTTGTATGTTTACCATCAAGCAACCCATGCATAACTCGTTGGATGATTTGCTAACATGAATACCTAGGTTGATGCCAACGGCACCCCTTGCACCCAGACCGGCGGCACTATGCTCCTCTCTTCCCACGGCCAAGTCTTCGGACCTGGTGGACCTGGTGTTGTCAATGATAAGGACCTCGGTCTTGTCATGTACTACCACTACTACCCTCTCGCCAAGAAGCAGAGCACCACTGTCTCTGACAACTCCAACTACATGTACGCCTGGAACGCCCTCGGCTGGAAGGACGGCTGGCCTTTCGTCCAGGCGCCTTAATGCACATAATTCTCGTGGCAGGCCCGCGAGGCCGCATATATATGACTTTCCCTTCTTCTCTTGTCAATGATTGGGTTCTATACTTTTGTGAGAGTATTGTGCTCGTTTGTTCGATACCCATGCCGTCTTGGCGCTGTTGATATACCTGTTTACGGTGGTCGGCTGGACACGTTAATTATATAATATTTGCCCTACGGGCTAATGGACAATGAATTATAATTATTTGACTAGACTTTTTATGATGTATTCCTGTGAATCGATTTATCTGATTTCCAGCTACCACTCGTAGCTTACAATCATAGATAGACCTAGACCTTCCCAATTCACACATTCCACGGAATCCCAGCAATTCCTCCCAAACACAATCCATTCAGCGTCCCACATACTTCAGCTCCAGTATCCTCAACGGCAGATAAGAAACCGAAGTAAACACCAGCGCCAACTCGTTAGCAATGTCACCGCCATCCTCCCCAATCATAGCAGCAAGCGCACCAACATAGTACGTCTCCACCATGCCCACAATCCAGCCAGCAGCACCACAAAGGAATGCCGCCAGACCGGCATACCCGACTGGCATGCGGGAAGGGGTATCCCACGCATCGAGATCATAGTTGGCCAAATTTCCTTTGCGGAAATAGTAATGCTCAATGAACAGAATGGCGAAGAAGGAGGTATTCCAATAGCCGAGTAGGGAGAGGAAATTCTCGAGCACGTTGAGGAGTTGGTTCCGGCCTGCGATGCCGAGGGCAAGCACACAGCCGAACACTAAGATTGACCAGAGTACCCGTGGGACTTTGGCGCAGGGTTTGGCGAATAGCTGGGCCGAGAGGGCACCCGAGTAGATTGCGATGACATTGACGCCGACTATTGCCGTGGTTAGTATGGGTGTTTATCGATAAGGTTGGATGGGATGGGATGGTACATACTTCCAGACAGAACCAGCAGGACCAGGAGGAACTTGGCAAATCCATCCGGGTAAATGATCTCTCTCAAGATCTCACCGATGCCCCCGTCATACGCAGCGCTCCATTCGGGATTGGTGTCCAGCGCGGAGCTAATACAAGCACCGAGCAACATGCCAATGCAAGTCGGGATGGTAATACCAAGCGTGGTGTACAAGAAGATCTTGATCTTCGGGGTGTTGACTGGATAATGCACGTAAAAGTCCGAGACAATCGAACTCCACGAAGCACTCGATCCATACATCACACTCATCAAACTGAGCACATTGCCAGAGCGAGTGAGGCCCGTGAAAGTCGTGGGTGGCGGGGACAAATCCGCACGATGCGCAGCTTCACCGTAGATAATCATAAAGATAATGAAAAACAAGATCCAGGCGTACTTCTCATACAGCAGGACGCCGCGCAATCCGACAAAGCTGAACAACAGACTCACGCAGGCGATGATGACCACGCCGACGGCGATGGAGACATGTCCGTCTGAGACAGCGCTTAGGGCTAGCCCGCCTGTGATGCAGTTCACAGAGGCCCAGCCTAGCTGCTCGATCACGTTGAGCAGGGCGATGATCGAGGCTGGGTAGTAGCCAAATGAGTATCTGGCGATTGCTACCTGGCGGAGACCCATGCCCGGCCCCATGGTTGCGCACCAGCCCTAATTGCGGGTTAGTTTTGCCCCAGCCAGAAAAAAGTTTTTTTTTAAAGAAAAAAAAAACGAGCCACGAAAATTGAAAACCCCAGAAAGGATGGAGATAGAGAACGTACTGTCACCATGGCACCTAGCAATGTCGAAAAAATCACAATAGGAATAGTCTGCCCCAGCGAAAGACCAAATTCCCTTCCCAGGAAGCCGGTACTGAAACAACTGATATTCATCGTCGCAGACGCCCACATAAACGCCATCACGACTGAACTCGGCGACTGGCGGTTCTCAGGATGGACACGGTCAAGACTATGCGATTCAACGCCCATCTTGCGGTCCAGCATATCCTCATAGTAGCGCATCTTCGCAAAGAATCCCCGTGGTTTGACGGGGTCGTCTTGCTCCACCGCAGAGACATTGAGCTCGTGCTCGCCCTTCTTCTCCATGTCCATGTCCATGGCCATTGTTGCTGTGACCCTGAGGCTGGAGAAGAAGAAGAAGAGAAAGAAGGAAGAGAAATTTCGGAAATGGCCGAGATAGAGGACTATCTCCCCGCACGGGTGGGTTGGGTTAGTGCAGTATACACCTGGGATTCGCCCCTATCTGTGGGCCTTATCCGGCTTTGTTTCTCTATTGTGTGGTTTGATCCGGTTACTCTTGAATGTGATTGTTGATTGTCAAGTCATGGATTGGGCTTGTTCTTGGGGGTTTATATCCGCCAAGACATTGATATTTTCTTTTGCCAAGCATCCATATCTCGTCTTAAGTTGTCTACGTTTTTGTGTTGGAAGGTTAAGCTTTTGCGGGAGGGAAAATCCGACACGTTTTCCGTTTTTTTTTTTGGTTTCTTATCTGCGGGAAGTGTCAGGTTGGACACTGGCCACTCATAGGTCAATGCTATATTGCATTCAGTTCAGTACTGTATATCTTGTCGGGTTGGCTGTGCCATGGCCACCTTCCACGTGCTCTCAGCAAGGCCCTCAAAAGTCAAAGCTAAGAAGTAAGGAGAGAGAGGGGGGATTCAAAGGTATACAAGCATAGCCATGCATGGGGTTCTACTTGGTTCTGTTCTTCGCTTGCTAGTTCTGTCTGATATTAGCGAGCCTCAATGGGGTCCGGAGTAGAACCCAACAGAATATGTTGGAGCCTTGACTGGTGAGAAGGTGAACGAAAAGTCAGCCATGGTCATCGAAGTGAATTGAAGAAAAAAAATGAGATGTCAAATGGAGAGTCTCCATACAATGGCAAGTGGATGAGAAATCTGGGAGTTCTGCGGGCTCGGAGAAATCCCCCCGGAGACTCGAGCTGGCCTTTTCGGTCACTTTTGTGTACTTCCGGGGTTCGAGACCTTCACCTTCACCTTAACCTCACCTTTCGTTTCTCTCCTCCTCTCCTCCCTCCCTCTCACTTCAGGCGGTTCTTCTCCCACCCCTGTTCTTCTCTTCTTTAATTCTTGGCGCTTCTTGGTTCAGTTCGCCACTTTTCCACATTGCATCGTTGCGGGCATTCTCCTGAATCGACCGGCAATCACCTATAATATAACCGGTTTTCCTCAATTCATTTCAATTCGGAGGAAACAAATCTTTCCACCTGTGAGTGTTAATTTGCTACTCCGCCATCGATGCAGGCTCCGCCACTGTGCCTCCCCCCGGTGATGTGTCCCCATTCCATACTGACCCGGACCCAGTCCCTATTGCAGAATTCTTGTGCATAGGCAATTCTAAAACCCGTCTCATACTCTGGTCATCCCCACGCAATTGAATTCCTTCGAAATGGCTGCCGAGGCCCCCTCTACCAACGGCGGATCTCTTGCCGCCATGCTGGAACAACAGCACGCCCTCGACGAGGCGCACAAGCCCACCGTGGAAGATGTCATCGATGAGGAAGACCTGAAGCACCCTCCTCCCGCCGCAGCCAAGGTTGAGCCCACCCCCTCTGCCTCCGCCGAGACCGCCTCAGCACCGGCTCCTAAGCCCGCCACCAAGCCCGCCCCTAAGAAGCCAACGTTCGATGTACAATCGGAGGAGTTGTTCCCGGCTCTTGGCAGTGGCCCCAAGCCTTCCACCCCCGCTGCGGCTACATGGGGTGCTAAGAAGACTGGCGCGGCTGCCGTCGCAAATGGTTCGCCCGCTCAGCCAATGGGTATGTAAATCCACCGGAGATCGATTTAAGGATATTCTGACGGTAGTATAGATATCCCCCGTATCATGACACTTCCCGGAAAGCACATGGAGCAGCTTCGTCTTGCTCCATCGCAGATGCTCCCCCGCGGACAGCTAAAGAAGCCTCTGCCTGAAATTCTTCGTGACATTTCTCGTAGATCTAAGGCTACTGTGGACATGCGCGGTGGCCCGGGTGGCTCTATCATCTTTGAAGGCAAGGGCTCCGTGGATGCTGTACGACAGGCCCTCCGCGAGGTGGCTCAACAGGTTGGATCTAAGGTATGTGGTTTAAATTATTTTATGCAATTCGTTCTAACCAAGTAACTTAGCAATCCGTCCGTGTCCCTATCCCTACCTCCGCCCGTCCCCACATCATTGGTCGCCAAGGTGCCGTTGTCCAGGACATCCAGGGCCGCACTGGTGCCCGTGTGCAAGTTCCCCGCGCCGACGACAACTCCGCCGGTGCTGAGGAGGATGATGATGATACCATTGACGTCCTGATCGAGGGTGATGCCGTGGCTGCAGAGATGGCCCGCCGAGAGATCGAGGCCATTGTGAAGGAGCGTGGCTCAAACATGAGCTTCCGCTTGAAGACCATCCCCCCCGAATTCTTCCCATTCATTGCAGGCGCACACGATGCCAATCTGCGCGCAATTGAGGAGCGCACAAAGGCCCAGGTCAATGTTCCCCGCTATGATACTTGGTCAAGCCAGCCTCCTCCCCAGGAGGCCAACCCTGGCCAGATCCAATTCATGGCTTGCCCTGATAAGCACATTTTGATTTCCGGAGAGCGCGCTGCCGCACAGGAGGCGCGTGCCGAGATTGAGCAGTTGGCTGCCAAATTACGCCAGCAGCTCACCCTCCGCCAGTTGGCTATCAACCGTGGTCAGCACCAGTTCATCCTCGGCAATGAGGCTGATGCTCTGCACAAGTTCGTTGAGCAGACTGGATGTGCGATCGTTCTGCCTCCCAGCGAAGACGAGAGCGAGTTCCTGACCATCACTGGTCCTGTCGACCAGATCGAGGCTGGTATTAACCACGCTATGGATCTTGCCACCAGCATGCAGATGGCCAGCATTGACCTGTCCCGCCAGCACCCCACCGCTCCCGCTGGCCCCGTTGCCCACGCTCGTGCTCTGTCTCAATACCTGCGCCGCCGCCAGGTCATCAAGGAGCTCGAGTCGGCTTACGATGCCCGCATCGCTCTCCCTCCCAGCGTTGATGGACCCGTTACCTGGGAGGTTTACTCCCGTGACGGCAAGAACACTATCCGTGCCCGTTCCGATATTATGAATCTCGTCCAGGCTCTCCCTCCCTCTAAGCTCCGTCACGTTCCTGTCGACCCCTACTTCCACCAATACCTCCGTAACCGCAGCGCCAGCGCCCTCCAGGGTGACTATGGTGTTCACCTTATGGTTCCCGATGACATTAACAGCCCCGAGGTCGTGCTGGTCTACGAGGGTCCCTCTTCCACTGCTGCCCGATTTGAGGTCCCCAGACAGCGTCCCTCACCTGCTGAGGTTGCTGCGTTTGAGAAGAGCCTCCAGGAGGCCCAGGAGTTCCTCCTCAGTGCCCTCGGCGACCAAAATGATATCATTGCCAAGTCGGTTGCGATTCCCGCCAAGTACCAGGAAAAGGCCCGTAAATTCATCATCCGTGAGCAGGAGGCCAAGGGCGAGGAGAGCATCCCCGTCCGTGCTATTGTCGGTGAGCCCAAGGCTTCTCAGTGCCAGGTTTCCCTCCGTGGACCTTCTGCCCTGGTCAATGAGCTTGTCGCCAAGTTGGAGGCCTTCGTTGTTGAACAGGAGCAGGACGATCTGGAGCGTGGATACACCGTCAGCTTCGACTTCCCCCAGAAGTACGCCAACTTCCTCATCGGTAAGCGCGGTGAGAACATCAACAAGCTCCGCGAGGAGTTTGATGTTGACATCAAGGTCGAGAACGGCAAGGTTGAGGTCAAGGGCCCCAAGGCTAAGGCCGACGCCACCCGCATGCGCATCATCAACATGGGCAAGAAGCTGGAGGATGAGACCACCCACATTCTCAAGATTCCCGCCCAGTACCACCGCGAGCTGATCGGCCAGCGCGGAAACCAGGTTAACCGTCTCCAGGACCGCTACTCCGTCCGTGTCCAGTTCCCCCGCGCCACTGCCACTGCCAACGACGACGTCGCCGAGACCGGCAGCGATGCTGGTGCCGCCCGTCCCAACCGTTCCCCGCAGGCTGCTGATGAAGTTCTGGTCAAGGGTCCCAGCAAGGGTGCTGACTCTGCCCGGGACGAGATCCTCAGCTTGCTGCAGTGGGTCATTGACCACGGTCACTCTGCTACCATCTCTGTTGCTCAGAACCAGGTCGCTTCCTTGATTGGACAGCGTGGTCGTGAGATGGACAAGCTTCGTGCCGATACGGGTGCTCAGATTGATGTTCCCAACGCTAACGATGCACCGGATGCATCTGGCCGCGTTGCCATTCGTGTGAAGGGCACTAAGCAGCAGGTTGCCGAGGCCAAGAAGATCTTGCAGCAGCGTGCTACTGAGTTTGACGCTACCGTCACCAAGTCTATTGACGTGGACAAGAAGTACCACAAGGCTCTGATCGGCGGAGGCGGTACGTTACAACCCACACTACATTTATTATCTTTACTGACTCTCTGTAGGTGCCAACATCCGTAAGATCGTTGTCGACGCCGGTGGCCCCAACGACGGCAGTGCCGCCAGAATGGTTCGCTTCCCTCGTGCTGAGAGTGCCGAGTCTACCATCCGCCTTGAGGGCAATGGTGCGATCGTTGACAGCATCATCACTGCCATCGAGGCATTCGTCAAGGAGCGTGAGGACCAGGTCACCGAGATCCTCGAGGTCCCCACTGCCCAGCACCGCATGTTGATCGGCCGTGGCGGTGACACCCGTCGTGGTATCGAGTCCAAGTTCAACGTCACTCTTGACATCCCCAAGCAAGGCTCGGGCCGCACCGACGTCAAGCTCAAGGGCCCCAGCACCGCTGTCGAGAGTGCCAAGGAGCACATCCAGTCCATGCTGAAGGACCAGCACGCCGAGACCGTGGACGTCCCCCGTCACCTTCACCACGCCATCGCCGACAACGGCCAGATCTTCCGTCGCCTCCGTAACGACCACCAGGTCACCGTCGACCACGCCGGCCAAACCGTCCCGGTGAACACCACCTCCGAAGAAACCCGCGACGCCAACGTCCCGGATATGCCCCTGATCACCGATGACCCCGATGCCCCCAGCGACGCCCACTCCTGGAAGGTCATCGACAACAACGTTGTCGCCGACTCAACCGCCAAGCCCTTCCCCTGGGTCCTGACCGGCTCCCCCGAGCACGTCGCCAAGGCTCGCGCAGCCATCGAAAAGGCCATCGCCGGTGCCGCCGCCCAATCTGCCACCGGCTATCTGATCCTGCCTGATCCCAAGACCTACCGCTACGTGGTTGGCCAAGGTGGCAGCCAGATCAACGCCATCCGCAAGAAGACCGGCTGCCGCATCAACGTGCCCAAGGACCAAGCTCGCGGCGAAGCGATCGAGATCCGCGGTAGTGCTGCCGGACTGGACGAGGCAAAGGAGATGATACTGGAAGCGGTGCAGAATGGCTTGGCCGGTGCGCGGTAAAATATGAGCCATCTATGATAGTTTCTCTGGAGGTTCATTTATTCTTTTCTATTTTTCTCTACATAGGAAGCCGACTCATAAATACTTGCGAGCGAGCGGGATCGCCTTTGGTGCTGTTTTACTTCGTTTTGGACTCTTCTTTTTCGTGTTCTTTTTTTTTGGTCCTTCCACACCTGTCATATCTATTTCCCTGAATATTCGTTCTAAAAGAGTGTGTTCTTTCTTCTTATTCGACTGTGTTCTTGATCTATACCTGTGCATTTCGCAACCCCCTCTTCTCTCTATACCAAACAAAAATCAGATCGTGTTGACTATCAGATGTGACGTCCCTTGATCATAGTGCACTACCCCTAAACGCAACATAGTCATATAACATTATTTCTGTCCAACTGGAATCATCAAAGTCGGGTCACCTCGCCGACACCTTCCAAGTCGAACCAGAATCCACAGTCATACTTCTATGGAAAGAGAACTCGAACAAAAAAAGATAAGAAGACCATAGAACCCCCACGAAAGGCCAAGTCTGCAATCTTCCCCGCACCGATTAGAGGTACTGAGAAGAGAATCGGAATCTATTTCTCTTTTGGGCCTGACTTTCCGCCTAGGGCAGCAATTCTTTTCCTTTTTGACCGTTTGATAGCGGAGAATCTACTTTGGATATTATTCCCGGGAGATATTGTCACCCGTGGACTATTCGTATAACGGTAATCACGGTTTATCATTTATAGAGCAGGATTGTTGAAATCATATCCAAGAGAAAACAAAGAATGAAACAAGCACCAGAAAGAAGTCCAGAGATTCAGGTCCAGCTCCAATATAATTAACCAAAGAGTATAAGCATAAAAAGAGAAAAAAAGAAGAAATCCGAAAGAAAGCAAAAGTAACACATAGACCCAAAGCCCGAAACCCTCACTCGGTGCACGTTTTTAGCCATTGAAAACGAAAAAAAAAGAACTGGTTCATGCTCGTCTTGATCTTCTAATTGCTGTAAACATAGCAAGATAATGCACATTCACATCTGCACAGCTGCACATACAAATATCGAAGCATTCGCATTCGCATTGGTACTGGTATCTCTTCGCACTTCACGCGCCACATCCTCAACCTCAACTTCAACTGTAACCGCTTACTGTTGCTGCTGCTGTTGAGCCTGGAGGTAGTTGTATGCGCCGTAGGCGATGGCACCACCGATGAGGATGACGGCGTAGAGACCGACACCGAAGCCGGCGGTGGAGGAGGAAGAGGAGGATGAGGAGGCGGGGGCAGCGTGGCTCTGGGGCGCGGGGTCGCCAGGCTGAAGAATTGTTAGTATGTGATTTCTTGATTCTTGGAAGTGTTTCCTGGTGTGTGGTGTGTGCATGTGGGATCACATGGCAGGCTGCCGAGGGTGTAGAGAGAGAGAGAGAGAGGTGGCATGTAGGCTGTGGTGGAATTGGGGATTCCAGGGACTGGGGATTCGATACGTACCATGCGCTTCACTGTGCCGACGAGGAGACCGTCGAGAATCTCACGCGCCTCGTCACTGTGGCCGACATCTTCGAAGGCTTCGGTGCTGTCCTGGCCACCAACATCGAGGAGGACTTCTTCGCCACCACTGTGGATTATGTTAGCAAGACTGCTGCTAGGGTGACTGGAGAGTGCGAAAATCGTGGAGTTGGCGGTGAAAAGATATTATAGGGGAGAGGTGAGGAGAACGAGTTCTGTTGGGATTTTTTTTTTCCCTTTCTCGCGACCCCCCTTTTCGCTATGCGCCTGGGCAAGGGAGGATGAATCATCACCCCAGAGAGAGGAGAGGGGTTCTAGGATTGTGAATATAGACACTGGGTCAACGTACGGGTGCTCGTCGACGAAGCTGGTGCAGTCGTAGACCTTGTCGTGGACGATCAGGTAGAGGTCCTTCTTGGTGTTGTGCTCCGCGATTTGCGAGTAGGTGAATTCCTGTGATTCAGACATGATGAATTAAGAGATCTGTCGGCGATGGGAGACGTGTTAGCGGTCTGTGAGAAGTGCAGGAGTGCAGGAGTGTGTGGTGTGAGAGGCCTAGGCTCGAAGAAGGCGGACCAGGCGCAGGAGCAGGGCACGAACGGGGAAATTGAGATTGACACAAGGACAAGCCACTTACAGAAGGTGAAGGGCGAAGGTGAAGAGCAGAAGAAGATGCAAAGGTCCAAGACTCGGAGATCCAAAGGAAAAGGGAAAGTTGGGACGTGCGCCTGAGCGGTCTCGGTGGGGACTGTTGATGCCGCGAATTACACCCGAAAGAGATCCGATTATCTGCTCGGCGCGACAGCGTTGGGACGGACCTTGGTGGCAATAGAGAACTATTCGCAGAAGTATCTTATTCACTATGTTCGTTCCAGTCGAAAAAAAAGTGACTGCCATACAACCGTTATGACATGATTTGGTGTCGGCGAATCAGATGCTGCTTATTCGTGCATACGGAGGCATATCTGGCCACAATGCCGATTGTACAAAGAGGGCAGAAGAGACGCGGGGCCCTCAATCATACCAGACAGACTACCAAAGTCTCACCACCCACCACTCACTACAGACTACGGAAACTGACAGCCAAGGACCAACTGCCATCGTCTCTGCCTGCATAGCCGTAACCTCGGGGATCAGGGCTCGGGTAGCGCCGTCGGTATCCGCTTTCCGCCACAGCGGAATTCAGGTCAATCGAGTCATTGGGTTATTGGGTCATTGGGGTCAATTGAATACTCTATCGTCATCGTAATACATGCACATGCTAAAGAACGCTCATTTCGCTGGGACTCGCTCATAAAACACAATATACGCTTGCTCGTTCTGCAGTCGATCCCGTGATCGGAGGTCCCGCGGGTTAAAGTCCGTGGCCCGCTCATCGTCAAACTTCCGCCAGCATTGCCGCTCCGCATCGCGGACCAGGGAAATATAGTGTCCGCTGCCCATGGAGGACCCGATATGCCGCAGGACGGCAAAGGCATCATAGGTAAACGGCGGAACGGTGGCGCCCATGGGGGGCGGAGCCCGGGGATCCTGGGGCGCACTCGGATAGGAAATGACAAAATCGTCCATCCGGAGACCGTGGAGGGGGAACTCGATGGGGGTGTGGATCTTGCGCGCACTCTGGGTCTTGGAGGCCGAGAACCGCTTGAAATGCACAACCAGGATCTGGGGCGCTCGGGTGATGATGATCTGTTTGGTAGCCATGCGCTTGCATTTGCAGTGCGGGCACTTCCAGACCTCGTCGCCACTCAGCATTTCTTCTTGACAATAACTCCTGAGACAGTCGTAGATGTCGCCGGCGCCGTCAACTGGGATCTCGACACTGATGCTGTAGAAGGCCTCATAGGTGGTAGACGTCTTTTTGCAGGTTGTGCACCGCAGTCGACTAGCATGCTGTCCCGCAAAGAGAGAGGAGATAAAAGACTCCTCGCGATGGCAATACCGGTCCCACTCGATTTTTGAGACTCGGCCCACTGGCATTCGTTCCCGTTGCATTTCCTCTGAAAAGGTCAAGGGTCGGAGGGGTGTGCGTTGCCAATTGATGTTGAGATCTTCATGGAGGCAGTCCACCACGAAGTCGAAAAACTCTTTGGCATCTTGCTGTCGATCAATAGCCCATTCCCGATTCAATCGCCCACAGAAGTTTCGGAAAGAAGTTGGCATAATAACCTCGACATCATTCTTCCACAGGGATCGAGTGAGGTTAGCATATAATCCAGGCATGACACCTTGAGATCCTTTCCAGTTCTTTTGTACATAGTAACGGAACCGGTTGTCAATAAAAAACCTGCTCAGCATAACTGTCGCACTGAGGCATTGGATGGTAGAGTTCATGTAGCATGTGACACCAAAATTGGTCAAACCAGTACGCGGGAGCTTAAGACGACCAAGGTGGGAAGCTGGCATATAGAGAGCCGTTCTGCTTGCAGAGTTTTGTCGCTCCAGGTGGGGTTGGATATGTCGTCCATCAGAGACACCGCTGTAGCTGGGACGTGGAACCGCAGGAGCTGGCCGTGACGGTGCCACAGGCATCTGCGACGCATAGTTCGGGGAAGGGCCAGGCGGTGGACGGGAATCTGGGTGCGTCATCGATTGCTGAACCTCGTGTGGTTCGGGGAATCGGCGCAAGAAAGCCTCATATGTATGCACAAATGGAGTTGGGGGTTCCTGCGTAGATTCCTCAATTTCTTCTAGTTCCTCATCGCCGTATGTGCTTGTATCAATCTCCTCGTTCTTAGATTTCTCCATCCACTCGGACAACTCCTTCGAGTTCAGCGGAGTGAACTCGCGCAGTCGCCGTTTCCGAACTTCCAAACTGGAATTTGCGCTAGCCATGGTAGGAACCCTTCCTAAGCCTCGACCGGGACGAGGCACAGGCCGTTTGGCCTGCAGGGAGCTCATGACAGCAGCTGTCGAGGATGTGGCGAGTGACTGTTGGCCAAGGAGATCGATCCATGCATCCAGTCCACCAAGAAGAAGGGCGGGAGGTCGTCCCCCTTTCAGCGGCTTGTATGCATTGAATTCGTAGAGAGTGTCATGCAGGGCTCTTAAATGCGGTGCAGATGTCCCCGCTGGCGAACCGGCGAGATAACTGACGGAATCGGCGGTTTGATCATAATAAACCACAAGATCATATTCATTTCGTTTCTCGAATAAGGTCTGTTCGTGTTCCGGAGAGACAACAAGACGATCCTCGAGTTCCTCGGTGGACATGTTCTCTTTCAAGACCACTGGCTCTATACAAATGATAGATTTTGCATATACATGCCCAGCATCATATTGGTCCCGAGATCGAACATCAATGAGAAGAACGCTGAACTTCCGCAGGTTCTCAAGCAAACTTTGTGCAGTTATTGCGGTGCTGTATGGTAGATCCGGTGAATCACTTCGCGCCGAGTTCACCCCATTGGGTGTCAGAGACCTATATGGGTTTTCATCAATGCCTCCGCGACTCGGACTCCTGTGAGGGGAGCTGGTAAACTGTGAATATCTCGGATTGACCAAGCGTGTGCTCTCGGAGGAGGTTCTTGGGGGATTCGAGGGAGGCTTCGATGGAACAGTGAAAATAGGGCTATAAGCCGGGTCCGGGGCACGTGGGAGCGAGGTATTCAGGGGAACCTTGGGAGGAATAGTCGGGACACTGGAAGATGACCCCATGCCACGAGGTCCTAATGGACGCCTTGGCGGTGGGGAGCTGTAATGCCCCGAGATCGCGTTGGACGGATGAAGTGGAGTCTCTGCAGATCCTCGACTCGGGCTTCCCGGTCCGGCCGGACTTGTGCTTAAATCATATTGGTTCGAGGGTGGAGATGCCTTAAGTTTGGCAAAACGTTGCGCTAGCATATCATCCGGGGGACTGGAGAATCTTTGTGCATGCGAATGAGGTTCGGGTATGCTCTGGAATCGACCCGGGCTCGGCATTCTGATTTCTGATCCGGAATGGCGATTCTCGCGGCTCCTAGGTGTGGCGGAGGATTGTTGTGGTGACCTAGAGGTAAATACTCCTGTGGGTTGCATCCCACTTGCCAGGTTATCTTCAATGATCTCCTGCTTGATCATGTCCATGGTGCCTTGTTTGGTTCGTACCGACATCATGAGATCGGCAAACTCCTTATACCAACCAGGGCGCTGGTTGACCGTGGTTCGATAATCTGGATGATGGGGGATGATATTGATGGTGATTTCAGAGGCATGAAGGTATTGTATGTAGGCCTTATCAGGGAAGTTATCTTCCACTAGGGCGATGGCCTGTTCAATTGCCACGGAGGCCGTTCTCAGGAGTTGATTTATCTATGATTGCGTCAGTAAAATAAAAATAAAAAAATAACTCAAGGTATCCCCAGTCGAGAGACTGTCTGGACATACTGGTATGCTCTCATTGACATTTAATGAAGCAGCCTGATCCTGCAGGTCTTTGATATTCGGAAATCGAGGACGGCGCGGGATAGGAGTGCCATTTGAGTAGTCCGGTCTGCTGACCTGTGTGGAATGCATGGTATCCCCCACCGAGTAAGGACGGCTGTCCTTCCACGGTGGTATGTTTGGAGGTGATGGCAAAGTTGCCGCATCGGAGGACATGGTAGATCCAGACAGCGAGCGGTCTTAGCGCATGATTATGTTCAAGTTGAGAAATGGACAGAGGATAACTCAGGGCAACCCTGGAGGCCCTTCAGATTGAAACACAAATGAGCACGAAAGAAGGGAATGTCAAGAGAAAGAGGACAGAATCCAGGAACGCAATGCGGGATGCCTCTGGGGTAATCAGATGACAGTACCTCACCGCCCCCGGCCTATGACGCCAGGGGCTTAGTCAACGTCGAGCTCCAGGGCTCCTCCACTGATCAGTCTGCCTTCGCATCTACCTGCAGCTATTGTGCTTTGTGTCTACGCCTGGTGTCTACTTTAATTATGGCTGGTTGGTTCTCTTCAACTTCGCCGCTCGATGAGCAGATCGAGCGCGCAACGGGTTCCTCGCTGTGAGTGATTGCCTAGAGGGGATTACGCCCAAACTGGGCTCTTCCTGGTGAATCTTTGTCCAAGTGATTCATTGGTTAACTTCTATATAGAGAGGATATTGCCCTCAATCTCGAAATATCCGACATGGTCCGATCGAAGAGCGTGCAGCCCAAGGAAGCAATGAGATCCTTGAAGCGACGGCTGGAGAATAGGAACCCCAACATTCAGCTGGCGACTCTGAAGGTGACTTACATCCAGTATCTCGCCGTATAGTAGAGCAAATACTGACGACGCGCGTTAGTTGACAGATACATGTGTCAAAAACGGAGGCACCCACTTTTTGGCGGAGATCGCATCTCGGGAATTCATGGACAACCTCGTTTCATTGCTAAAATCTGAAGGCGCCCCTTTGAATTCAGACGTTCAAGGAAAGATGTTAGAGCTCATTCAGAACTGGGCCATGGCGGCACAGGGTCGAATGGACTTGATGTACGTGGGGGATACATATCGCAATCTCCAGAGCGAGGGGTACCGTTTTCCACCAAAGACCGAAATGAGCGGCAGTATGCTGGAAAGCAGTGCTGTGAGTGTTCTGCTATTTTTGAAGTGAAGTGGAAGCTAACATATTGTTTCAGCCCCCCGAGTGGATTGACTCTGATGTCTGTATGCGATGCCGAACAGCCTTTAGTTTCATGAATCGCAAACATCATTGCCGAAACTGTGGCAATGTTTTCGATGCTCAATGTTCCAGCAAGACCATCCCATTGCCACATCTCGGAATATTGCAGCCTGTCAGGGTGGATGATGGATGTTATGCCAAGTTGAACTCCAAGTCGTTTGCGCCACCGGGCGTGTCGGATCGATCTACGTTTAAGAACAACTCGATCACTAAGTCTAGCTCAATGGAGCCTCGAGCAGCTAGAGCGGATACCGGATTTGATGACGATTTGCGACGCGCATTACAGATGAGCCTTGACGAGGCCGAGGGCAGAGGCACTTCGGGATTCGTACCCCAGACGGGCAACACCCCAGAAACGGCTAAGCCTGCTCCTGCACCAGTCAACCCGGAAGAGGAGGAAGATGCAGACCTTAAGGCTGCGATTGAGGCATCATTGCGAGATATGGAACAGCACAAACAAAACCATGCAGCGGCATTGAAGAATGTTCCCACGCCAAGTTCTGCGTTCCGTGATTCCTCAAGCACGCCAACTCCCCTACCCAAAAATCCTTACGAACTCACACCTGTCGAAGCCGAGAACATCCATCTATTCTCAACGTTGGTTGATCGGCTCCAACATCAGCCCCCGGAACAATCCTCAGGGAGCCACAGATTCAGGAGTTGTATGAGAGTATCGGTTCTCTTCGACCGAAGTTGGCCCGTAGCTATGGAGAGACTATGAGCAAGCATGGTGAGTTGCATCTCGTCGGTATAGAATGACAAACTGACGTCGACAGACACGCTACTCGATCTACATGCCAAGCTCTCAACGGTCGTGAGATATTACGATCGAATGTTGGAAGAACGTCTTTCCAATGCTTATCCTCATCATGGCCTTGGCTATGGAGCTGTTCCTGGCGCAACTCAATATCCCAATATCCAGCCAGGGTTTGTTCCCCAAGCCCCTGATGCACAAGCTGGAGCGGAGAATTTCTATTACGGAAACCAGATGGACAGCTCTCGCCCACCAACCGCCATGTATGCACCTCAGACGGCGAATGTCGAGGGATATGGAGGTGGATTTGGCACTGGCCCCGGCGCCTACGTATCGCACACTCCACATGGAGGTCAGCCGACCGAGGCTCCCAACCAGAACTGGGGTGGAAACCCTTACCCATCTCTCGGGGCACAGTCACCCAATGCTGCTCCCAACAACTACACAACTGCACCCGCCCCAAGTGCTCCGTCTCAGTACTATACTGGACCAACTGATGCAGAGGCGAACAAGTCACCAGTCACCGAGCCTCCATATCAACCATCGCCTATCATGCGACGAGACTCTCAGTATCAACCTAGTGCACCTCCAGGCGGATCTGCCGTGCCCGAACAGTCAAACATTACCGGGTATGCACAGCCTGGTTACTCGGTACCTCCTAGCGCTCCAGCACCTCACCAGCAAGCAACCGGTTCTACTCCTCACCCGCAGTCCTTTTACTACTCCCAACAGTCCCAACCTGCACCACCTGTTTACCCACCAATTGCCACTGGGCAACCAAGCACGTATGCACCCGAAGCCCCCACTCAAGCACCGTATCAGCAACCGCGACCCGTGGAGGAGAGTTTGATCGAGCTGTAGCGTAATTGCATTCGGGGCGTTATTTGTAACTGACATATTTGATGATACCTGAAGAACTTGGCAGATTGAATAGCTTCTATCCAGCAACTATCAGTAATTATCAACTAAAACCATCAAATAGAGTAAATACCTGTAGCGACCAGCATAACCCCAGGGCTATTTTAAGTGGCTTACATGATATCATGTGACCGGCACATGGCTTCCCCCACACCGCGTAATTACGGTATTATTACTCGCTCCTTGAACTTAATCGCCGAAGACAGCGAGATCGATCAACGTCGATTCCTTCTTTTCTTCCACTCTCTCTCTCTCTCTCTCTCTTTGTTTCCGGTTCTCCTTGTGGGCATTTGATTTCCTTTTTGGTGTGACCCAAATTACATTGGCTCTTCATTCTCTACCTGCATGTTCTCCGATCTCTCGTGAGACCTCTTGCCTCGGCCAATCCCCACGTTCTAGTGAGCATCGCGGATTATACGTCTGTGGCTCCTCTGGGAGCTCTCTCTGCAATGCCGAATTCCAATACCACCTCATCCCCCGTCAAGCGCCCCGGTCTCGGCCGCCGTGCAGTATCCTCTCATGCAGTTGTCACGCGCGCCAACCCGAATGACCTGTCGGAGTCTCACACGCAGAAGGCGCCCGTGCATCATAAGGCACACCGCGCCCATGTCGTTGGCGGCCACCGCAATCACCACCGAAACCCCTCCGTCGGTAAAAATTTGGGAAAACTTCAGCGATTTCAACTTCCTCAAGTAGCTCCCGAGACAACCGGCCGTCATCATCAGCGTAAGAAGTCTGCGCCCGCCACCCCGATAGCGAGTCCCAAAGAAAGTGGACATATTCGTTGGGATAATGTTGTCGATAACCCGCCCACCGCCCCTTCCATGAAGAGAAACTACTCGACCCCTGCCTTGCGCCGGAATAACTCGGCTGTCGGAAAGAAAGCGCTGGTTACCGAAAGACCACATTCCAGTGCGGCAAAGAAGAAGACGGTCGGCTTCGAGTTGGGTGACGACGACGTCGAGGTCTCTGACGCTGATTGGGAAGATACCACTCAGTCGCCCGAAAGTACGCGGCGCAATTCTGTCGTGCCATCTAATCATAGTGCTGATAACACCACTGTTCTTGTCGATCCCCTTACATTTGTGAAACGCCCCTACCCTCAGATTGCTCGGGCGACCAGTCTCCCAGAATCAATCACAGGCAAGTTCGCTCGGGAACGCGCCGAATTAGAAGAAAACCAGATTCAGGAGGAAGACGAGGATCATCACGAATCGGACGACGACTCTGAGAACTCCAGCCAGCACACTGAGCAAGGCGATATCGCAACTCGCCTGCTCAGCCCTTCGCATTCTGCCAAAGCACCTCCTGCCATGTCTTCAATATCGGCGATGGTCAAGCCGGCGGTTCAGGATCCTGCATCTCGCAGCAGTGCATCTCTCAACTTGGCCGCCGGCCAGGAAAGCGCTCGCCGTACCTTTTCTACCGCCAGTATGGCCAGCATTCCTGGCTCTCATCCTAACGCTACCTCATCCTCTATGGAAGGAGGTGTCTCGCGATTCATTATGAACAACAAGAACAGTATCCAAGCATCATCTCGCACTGATTCTGACCCAAACACCCCGTCTTCATTCCTCCCCCACTATCACCCACAAACTCCTCCTTCCCCTGGTCGCGCCCCCGGCAAATCCACTGCTTCTCCTGCACGCCCTCGTGGCGCCGACCTACCTTCTCGCACGCAGCAGAAGCTCTGGCTTCAGCGCACGGCCACTCTCAATAACTCTCCCCCTGATAACCACGGAGTCCCTCCTTCGGTAGCCCCGTCCACGGTTGATCCAACCTTCAACACAGTCAACACTACTCGCCCTGGCACTGTCACATTTGACACCAGTCGTGGGCTGACCAGTGGCGGTCGAGCTGGAGGTGCGGGGCATGACGGTGAAACTCGGCATATTCGCAAAGCGTATGAGAAAACATCCCTCGAACTTACGGTTGTGCGACGCTTCCAGTCTCCCACCGGAGAGAGTTTCGCCCGACTTCGTCATGTTGTCCGAGCAGCAAAGCTTGCGCAGACTTCAGCACTTGGCAAGCCCGTCAGGTCAGCCCCGTCTTTGACTCTTCTCCAACAAAGCAAGCGTCCTCGTCGCCTCAGCTCAAGTCCTGCATCCAAACCAGCAACTGGTACCGCAACCAATGCGGATGATCCTGCGACTAATAGTAACCCCGCCAAGCCTGCCAAGTCTAATGATCCTTCTGCTCGCATTCTCTCTACTTCCGCGGAAGCCTCCCGGGATCTCACGGGGGATAACGAAGTCGAAGACTACCAGGTCAACGACACCGAAATGATGATCCGCCGGATCTGGGAGAGCCGAGAGGTAGCCACACACGGCTAACTTATGATGATTCAACTTATATCTTCCCTCATACGTTCATGATAATTCTTTAGCTTGCACGGCTGCTCGGCGTTGGTGGCAATTCTTCTGTTTTTTTCAGTCCTCATTAACCTTATCATCAGCATCATGACTGAACATAACCTATATTTCTTTGTCTACCTCTTTACATTTGTCAATATATCTTAACCTGCGAGCCAATGCCATATAATGTAATTCCAACCTCAGCCCACTCTGAACCTCTCGGGGCCAGCTATCCGAGCCCACTTATTCCTCTGCTACCATTTGTCTACCCCTGCATAACAAATTGGCTGCCTACGAATGGCCCCTTTCATTCCTTTCGGTTGATGCGACATCCGGGGTTGTGCGCATGCCCCAAGGTGGCCTGATGGATGAGTAATGGTCAATCCCGCCCTCCTGATTTGCCCTACATAACCCTAACTATCACTTGTCAACAGAGGTGTTTATTGTGCAGATGAATATCAAGTCTATTGTTATTCTCTCGTCATGGACAATCCCATACCGCTGGTCGCCGGCCAGATCCTCCGAATTGCCTACTACAGCACCGGAATTCTGCTGGTCTCAATTATCCTCAATGTGATCAATCAGCTCGTCTTCTACAGTAGAAAAGAACCTCCTGTGGTCTTTCACTGGGTTCCCTTTATTGGGAGTACTGTTGCATATGGCATGGACCCATACCAGTTCTTCTTTGCGTCCCGTGCAAAGGTGAGTGTTCTATACGTAAGTGTATGCCCAATGTCACAAACTCACGGACAATTAGTACGGGGATATCTTCACTTTCATCCTGCTAGGAAAGAAGACAACTGTCTACCTAGGCGTCGACGGCAATGAGTTTATTTTGAATGGAAAGCTTAAGGATGTCAACGCGGAAGAGATCTACAGCAAGCTCACTACGCCCATCTTTGGGAGTGGTGTTGTCTATGACTGCCCTAATTCCAAGCTCATGGAACAAAAGAAGGTACTTATTCTCAATCCACGAGATATTTATCTAGATTTATGGTTCTAACCACGAATGCTCCGGAATAGTTCATCAAATTCGGCCTAAGCCAAACAGCTCTGAAATGCTACGTCCCCCAAATCGCCGACGAAGTGACCTCCTACATCAAGTCCTCGGGCAAATTCAAAGGCCAATCCGGAATTATAGATCTAGCCGCGACAATGGCAGAGATCACAACTTTTACAGCAGCCCGCACCCTACAAGGTGAAGAAGTTCGCTCGAAACTGACTTCCGAATTCGCCGAACTCTTCCACGACCTTGACCTAGGCTTCCAACCTATCAACTTCATGCTACCTTGGGCACCGCTTCCACACAATCGCAAGCGAGACGTAGCTCACGCACGCATGCGAGAAGTTTACCTAGAAATTATTCAAGCGAGACGAGAAGCTGGTGTTAACACCGACCCAAGCCCAGATCCAGCCTCAACAACCGACAAAACAAAAGGAACGGACATGATCTCCAACCTAATGGCAAGCATCTACAGGGATGGCACACCAGTCCCAGACAAAGAAATAGCCCATATGATGATAACCCTCCTTATGGCCGGCCAGCACTCCTCCTCAGCAATCAGCTGTTGGATAATCCTCCGCCTAGCCTGCAACCCAATGATGACAGAAAAGCTCTACGAAGAACAGCTCCAAAACCTCGGCCCCGACCTCCCACCACTGACATACAAAGACCTAGACAAACTCCCACTGCACCACAACGTCATCAAAGAAACCTTGCGAATCCACTCCTCCATCCACACCCTCATGCGCAAAGTGAAGAACCCCCTCCCAGTCCCCGGAACAGACTTCATCATCCCGCCTTCGCATACACTTTTATCCAGCCCAGGCGTGACGGCGCGTGATGCACGCTACTTCCGCGATCCGTTGAAATGGGATCCGCATCGGTGGGAGGAGCGAGTTGAGGAGGAAGTCGATGAGACGGATACCGTTGATTATGGATATGGGGCTGTTTCGAAGGGGACTCGGAGCCCGTATTTGCCATTTGGGGCTGGGAGACATCGGTGTATTGGGGAGAAGTTTGCGTATCTTAATCTTGAGGTTATTGTTGCTACCATGGTTAGGAGATTTCGGTTCTTTAACCCTGAGGGGGTGGAGGATGTTCCTGATACTGATTACTCGGTACGTATTTGGATTTTGTCTACATTTGATTGGGTTTTGGCTGACTCTTGTGATTTAGTCTCTCTTTTCGAGGCCTGTTCAACCTGCCAATGTGCGTTGGGAGGTTCGGTCATAGGATGGAGTTGATTTGTTGTTGTTGATTTGTTATTGTTTCGAGATTATTTTGTAGTGTGAATGGGTTATCGTACAAGAGGCTCGGAAATTAGGGCTGCAGAGAAGAATTACATTCAATTGATGTTTACATTGCAGAATCGGACTCATTAAACAAAAAAGTAATGTATCCTAGTAGTCTATCGCATTTAACAGTGGCTTCTAAATGCCAACTGTCAGTCAAACGCAACCAATAAAGAGATCTTAGGGCGACCAAGGGAAGACAGGAAATATGTAAAATCTCTCAAAACATGGGGTATGAATAGCGAGGTGTTGGTCATGAATAGAGCCGAGAGAAGCCCGAAAAGAGGAAAAGTACACAACTTCATATCTTTAAACAAAGTGGTTGATGGTTGCCAGGACTTATACAGATAGACACCGAAGCAGAGTATGAAGATGATTATCAAACAGCAGGAAGAGAAGAATCTATGCTCTTAACCACGATCCTTCCCTTTACCACGTTGACTTCCATGCCCTCCACGCCGAGGATTGGGGTTCGAACCTCTCGCACCACCGCCAGCATGACTTGCATTTGGAACTCTTTGCGGCTGAGCCGGAGTAGGACCATTCGAACTCGTCTTGGAAGTCAAATGTTCAGATCCAGAAACGGACGGACGCTGTCGATCTGGCGTGGCAGACCCATCACCACTGGTATTCTTGGGGCCACGACGCTTGCGCGGAGTACTTGGTGCCTTACCGCCACGTCCACTCTTGCCAGGACGAGGTTCCGTTGGTTCAGGGTCCATGAGACCCTGGACACGTTTGCTTTCCTGGTCCCACCATTGCTGGAATTCTTGCTCGGCTTGGATTTCTTGCATGTTGTGCTTTGCTGTGGCTGCTTCGCGGATTGCTTCCTTTTCACTTTGTTGCTGGAGTAGGATTGTCGATAGGTTAAAGGAAGCTCCAGATGGGGAGCGGGATCCTGTGAGGTCGGGACGAGGGATGTGGCGGATTGATTGAATTGCTGGTTGAGGTGATGTGATATTCTGGGATGGGGAAGGTCCCGATGGAGAGGGTTTGGATGGCTGTAAGCTGGTTGAGATACTGCGGCGCTGGCTCTGCACGGGTGTTGCAATCGGCTTTGACTTGGTTGGTGGTGTGCCAGATACAGTCTGTCGCATTGTCATGGATTTCTGTGCTGATTTACTGGGCTCGGGAGACTGAACACTTTGGCCTGGTAAAGATTTGAGTTTGACTGGCGTTGCTGGCGGGGCTGCTGGCTTTTGCCAAGGGTTTGAGGGTGCGTCTTTCGCCTTCTGTTGTGCAGCGAGCTGTTCCTGTGCTTGCTGTTGTTGCATTTTCTTTCTTTCCTTTTGGGAAATTTTTGGGGTGAAGTTTCCACTGCTTTCACGTCGGTCTGCCATGCCTAATGTAAGGTTTGATACCCGAGACTGTGACGTTTCGCCCATGATGTCCTTCAGATCCTTCTTGGAGCCCGAGATCGTAGGAGGACTCCATGGCGCGGATGAGGGGCCAGACGATGATCCATCGCGCTTTTGGCCGAGAGCACTTGCCCTAACCTCAGACGGAGATTGCGTGACGGACATCTCTCGTGGAGATCCCATTTGATCATCCAAGAAATTGCCCTCGCCCAACGACATGGCTTCTGGAAGGCTGGCTCCCAGTGCTGGTGAATCGGGATATGATCTGTCTTCGGCAATGGTATCTCTAAATCTGACTCCACGCATGGCACCTTTACCTTTTGGATCGGGTGTCATGGGGCCCTCATCATCCATCTGGAACATAAGGTCGCTTGTTGATTGCCTTGGCTTGAGCATTGGACTGCTACTAGCCTTTGGCGACTCTTTGGGAGGAGCGTTCTTTCCTTTGCGAGTTGATGGGGATGCAGACACCTTCTCATTGGCTGTCTGCCGAGGTCGAATGTCATCCGCTTCGAGACGATCGAGGCGAGTCTGCAAGGCCATGGCATCGATGCGTCGCTGTTTGTCTGTCTCGACGGAGCTGACTATCTCAGGATATTTCTCGAGGATATAGTCTTCGGAGTTGCGTCCACGGGAAATGGGCCAACAAGATAGCTGGTTCTCATGACATATCAGATCCAATTCGCGGAGGAGGACGTCGTCCAGATCATGGAGATATCTGTTGGCTAACATAGCCTCCATATTGAGGCAGATGTATTCCAAGGCAGCATCCTTAAATTCAGTAACATAGCAAGGCGTGACAGAGTTGAGAAGGTAGCACACGTTGCGAGTGGTGACAAAACGACCGAGCATCTTCTGGCAAATTTGAGACAGTCGGTCGATCATGAGTTCGTTTGCCACAAACATGACATCCATCAGTAAGTCAATGAAATCCTCAACATCGTTCATCCGAACTTCATCGAATAGCCGGTCTTCTGTGTCAGCATATAGATAGCGCAACACAAAGTCAAAGACGGAACGATCAATGTGTTTTAGATCGACATGCACCTTTTGGGTGGGGTCCGATCTACGCAACTCTATCCACTTTCCACCTGCGCGGCCATTGAAAAGAACGTCGAAGAATGGGCATCTCTCGCAAACAACTTGACTGTGCACTTTGACAGTATCCCCTTTGAGCTGGACCACCACATCTGCGCTATCAAAGAACGAGGAGTGGTTGATAGCATGAGCCATGTCAATCTTCAAGCTCTTCTCGGGTTCAATCATGAGTCTCGCTGCGCGTTCCAAGGCTGACAAACCGAGTTGCATAGCAACCCGCATAACCTCCGTGCGAACCTGCCGGTAACGAGCCGCATTTGCAGGCGAACTCCTTGCAAGATGCCAGACATCAAGAATGCCATCTGTGTAGAGGAAAAACACCACGTTGAGGATGGCCAGGAAATCCACACCATGGATCCGAATCTGGGGACGTCCGTCCTTCCCATACTCGATATCGAAAACATCTGAGACGGAGGAATAATATGATTGCCGGAACTCTTCCAGGGCCTTTCTGATCACTGGACTGCGGCCAGCCAGGAGAAATTCATGGACGGGGATCCGAGCCTGGGACAGGGAACTAGTCATCCAAACAGTCCCCTCAGACCAGATAGGTAGAAATTCATTTTCAATGTCCGCGGATGTCAAGATGGCTCGTTGCATGCTTTTGCCGGAGGAAAGTACAGCAGGAACATCATCTGCCTCCAAAATGGCATCCACGTCTTCCAACTCAGGGGCTGTGAACGGAGACAATGGCAAAATGTCATTCCAAAGATTGCTGGGCTCAATGTGAATCTGTTCTTTGGTGACATCGCAGTCACGCTGAGCTACAGCATAGGCCCCGAAGGCGTTGCTGCGTACTGCCACAGCTCGCGAGAGACCAGGAATACGAGCAAACTTGTAATCCTTCGAAGCGCCCTCTTTCTTTTGTGTACGGCGTTCTTTTCTCCAAGCAGACCCAGAGGTTGTGCAAATGATGATAGAGCCATCTTGTCCCACATCGACATCCCTCGCTGCCATGTGGGACTTCTTGACAGACCATGCCCGAACAGGAGCCGCCAGTGAATTGCGAATCTTGGCGGGATTGGTGGTGGAAGCAGAAGTCGAGGAGTTCTCGGACTGATTGGCTTGAACAGTGAAAACATCGCCAGAGCTGGATAAAGCACATATTGTGTTTCCGCCGCTTGTCAGTTTCACGATGTGATTGGCAACTCCATCATATCTAGTGGCCATGAAGCTATCGCGGATGAATCTTGAGCTTACTTCCAGAGGGAACGACAGCTTTGAGTATCCATAGGATGAGAACACCCAGACTTCATGGTTCTGTAGAAGAACAGCCGTAGCACGATCAATCGCGGAAACCATCTGGATCGGGCAAGTAAAGAGAGATGCTCCGACGCGCCGTGGGGTGGTTTGAATTTCAAGAGAACGGGCATCGGAATCGACCAAACCTAACTGGCCTTCGTTTTTGCCAAATGTATAGAGACCTGAAGTACTGAATACAACAGAATGAATAGAAGATGCTGCTGCACCTAGAATGCTCTCCTTCTTGAATGGATTGAAGATCTGACGGGGTGTCAACTGCACAGGGACGTCATTCCGGTTATTGGTTCTGGGAAGTCCGTAGCCGAGCTGTCCGTACTTGTTGCTGCCCCAGCTGAAGATTTCACCGTGTTCTGTGATTGCCAGGGTATGATCTTGACCCAAGGCAACAGAAACAACCCTCTTTCCGTCCAACCCACCATTTTCAATACAAACAAAGGTGAATCGCGTCACTTCATCGCCTGTTCCCAGGCGTCCGCCTGGGCCGAAGCCACACATAAACAGATTAGCCTCGGGGTCATCCGTAATGATGGCGGTATGCAGTTTGGACATGATGATGTTTTGATATTTCATAGGTTTGTTCCTGATCAACGAAGGCAACTCTTTCGAGTCGCTCTCCGAGATGGTATCTTCAAGCCCAAGGCGCTCCAGTTCTTCCAGGTATTCGCGATAGAACCGGTGCAGAAGATGTTCAGGACGCTTCAAAGATATCCTCTCTGGGAACTGTCGATCATCCTGATCGCCCAGACCAAGATTAAGGTTCTTGTTACTCCCGAGGGTGAATACTTCATCAGCACAGACATCCATGAGAGGCTTCAAGACGCTCTTAGTGGCATATGCGTCATCTTCCCCGGGATCTCCGAAGGCTGATGCAGCATTCGATGCAGCGTCGCTATCCAGGTCATCGATCATCGACCTTGGCCAGGGCGACGAAAGCTGCTTGATATCACGGGTCGTGATCGTTGCGCCAAAGACGTCGAACGGACTGAACCCCTCACGATCCTTGATCTTAATCAGACCACCGCTCGGATGGCTTGAAATTCCAACCTTGCTGAAATCCGTCATGTCTTGCACGTCGCGCGCCATAAGCGCCTGGGCAATTGTGGCATTTCCAGCATAAAGAGCCCGATGCAAAGCGGTCCACCCGCTTTCCCAGTCCTGCGCATAGATATCAAGGAAAGGAACCTCCAATAAAGCACGTGCGAAGCTAGCGGCGGTGGGTTTCAAGGAAGAGGCAACATGGTGAAGCAATGTGCGGCCGTAATGGTCCCGAGCATTCACGTCGGCGCGCGACAAGTTCACGACTCCGCGTTGCGACTTATCCGACACAGGTGTACCAGGCGATGATCCCAGGTTCTTCTTGCTTCTGGATGGGATTGGAGATGATGCGATCATTGCCCCAGGACTCGCACCCTTTGCTGACAGGTTGGCCACTGCAGGCGTTCCGGAGCCTGCAGCTCGCGGTCCCGCGAACGTCGCATTCGCCAGGAATCGCTGGAAGCTCTCGACATCATCTTGTATGAAAAACTCCCAAAGCTTGTTACTCATGTGCCCGAATTGATCGACGCGCCGAATCTCTTATCGGACCCAAGCTGGTCGTCGCCGTCAGGGACCGCGACGGGGCTGGGTGACAAGAGAATTCTTCGGAGAAAAAGAAAGGGAGTGTCGACACTGGATGAGTCGACTCGAGCTTTGGCGCAGTGTTCCGGCAATAGCGAATTTTGGTGACGCGAAATTGATTGTGGGATCGGGGTATGCGCGTGTGGCGAAACGGGTAGGTATTCGGTGCTGGCGAGGAGGATGGATGGAGAGGTCTTAAAAGATGCAATGATTCCCTATACCTGGGTAGTTTCAAGAAGAGAAGCTGGAAGAGGAGCTGACTGGGGACAAGAGATCCGGATGCTCGATGTCATCCGTGGATCGTGGAACCTCGCGGGGTAGGCGATAGCGGCCTCGGGAACAAAATCAAGGATCGGCACACCTTCAAGAATGTATTCCACTTGGCATATTATTCAACACTATTTTAGGAGTATAAATTCAACAGGTTAAACTCACTTTTGCAATTCATATCACCTATTAAGTTGTCTTCATTACAATCTATATCATATGAATGGTCTACGTGCAGATAGATATCCCTACATCTATAGAAATGGGGCTATTGTCCAACAGGCCGTTGGAGCCCTCTGCAACATCTGACTGACCAATAACGACGCACACGTCCCTCCATGCCCCCGGAGGAGAGGCGAGGATCATTCAGGGCGAGCCCGTGGGGGAGTGATAGGGGTATAACCTCACGTCTCAACTCCGTGCTCGCGACGCCATTTTGACGTGCATATCTCCCCTCTTTCCCCCGCTTCCATGTCCGTAGTGTCCCTTGGCTGCTTTCATGCCCCCTGCATACTTCAACGTATGTGCAAGTTAACTTAGTTGATGGCTTACTTCTATATCTTGTTTGTGTATGCCACTTTTCCAAACTGGAGTCCGGAGATGTTGTCCGATCCCATATAGACTAAGCATAGAAAGTAACGTATTGGATCTTAGTATCATCCGCTAGGCAGCTACTTGCAATGAAACAAGCAGAGCTATACTTCTTTCACATTCATCTACAACTATATATTTCATTGGTCACCATCCAGCTGGAAGAAATCACAATAACGCCTCAATTCTGCACTACCGATACTGGTGAAGTAGACTTGCGAGTGGAGGGCAACTCGCCGTCTTCGCGGAAATTCCTAGATGCGTCCTGCGTCACAACCCCAGCAACAATCAAGGAGATCGCTGCAATGAGTTCAGCCAAGAATCCCAGAATGAGACGGATAGCGAGCGAGCCAGTAGTCGGGTTGAGATATTGCTTCTGGGTGCAGAGGTAGACAAGACTGTAGAAGACGCGAATGCCAATCCAAACCAGAGCAAATGCAAGAGTTGTGAGCAACTGGAAAGTGAAAGGTGAGTGGTTTTATATACGACTTAGATTCAGAGAGCTTACTGTTGTTCCAGCGCGACCTACAGCGCTTGTTCTCGCCGGCGTGATAAATGAGAAAACAATCCCACCAACTAATGCTGCCCAGCAGATGGTCAAAATTGCAATCCCTGCTTTGACTATGCCATCCGCCGTTTCAACCGGCTGTTGATGCTTTTGTAGCTTTGCAGATCCAGCTGCAGTCAGAGCGACACCGCCAACGACGAAAATATGATAGAGTAGTGCTAGTGCCCATTCAAGCTTTTGATTGAGACCCAGTATGCGATAGATGCGGCTATGAGCCTGAGTTAATGGCTTAGTCGTTTCAGGGATAGTTATGTGGACTCACGCTTCGTGTAAGATACCACTGGCCCCGAGAAGGAGAGGAGAAAGTCCTACGCTAGCGATGATGCTTGCCGTGGGACTGGAGGGTTTAATTGCCAATGCATTGCCAATTATTCGGAGAGTGCAGAAAATGAAGAGGAAGAGCCACCCAAGCAAGCCCTGGCGTCCATGTTTGATAATGAGGTATACCGTTGGGAAGGCGAGGGCAATATAGATTGCTAGTTCGGCTACAGACAAAGCATTTGTCATCGTAGCGGATAGAAATGAATCGTTTAACGGCTTTTTTGAAAAATAAACTTGAAATGAATGGATATTCACGCCAGGCGAGATTATAGGAACAATCCCAGAACAGGGCGATTGCAAGTCCCTAAATACTTCATTCTCTCAACGCCGATCATAATCCCTAATGCTATTTTCAACTAAAACCAATCCTTTATAAGCAAAGATGGAGGCAGATCATTTTCCTGCTCAGATAAGCCCCCTGTTGTCACGGTAAAGGTATATCATTTTTGGGGGGGCTCATGGGCTTAGTGCTTATTTTGGTATACAAGCTCTGCCCCACTGTCAAATTTTCTCCGACCATATCCAATGAACGGACTTTCGGCCCTTATACTGCCACTTTACTGTCAATCATAGCTTCAATCATGACGCTGGACCCATAAAATATGCCACCCGCCACAGCCTCATTCAAACCCGATACCGAGTGCGCCAAACACAGTGCGGCAAGTGGGGCCTGCCAAAAGAGCATACAAGCCGAAACCGAAGTGCATCCCGAGATATTCTGCAGAGATATAGCTTCAGCCAGGTTGTTTGCAGGCCATCTCTTAGTTTTGTATATCTTTTGTTTCGATAGGAGTACTAGACAAGTCATAATGTTGGATCTGTCCATTACTTATGAACCGAAACATTGATCACATTGCCCCTACGAAGAAACATAGACCCTCTGAAACGTTTGAGGTTAACCATACAAGTTACAGCATATAGCAGTGTAGAGTGCATATGAAATGCAGGTTTCGTTGCCTTGCGATCATCGTTAAAGGAAGGATCAAGGGAGTGGCCACTCTCCGATAAAGGAATTTTCCAAATTACATCAGGGTAAATCATCAGTCCCAGTTGAGAAGTAAGTTCCAACATGACATCAGATCAAAAGATGAGAAAGCCTGAGGGAGAATCAACAAATTACTTGAGGCGAGCGCCTCCCAAGGCCTAAAGACATTAAAGGATTTATGATACATGAACAGATCAGAAGGGTAGATGATTCAAGTGAAAAAAAAACTCGATTGAAAGATTTAAATTGAAATACTGGCGAGATGATATGATTTTAGACCATCCACATATTCGGCTTATAACTTATACGATGAATACGCATCCTCAGGGTCTCTATATACCCCTCCCATAGACGTCGGCATTTATTACAAATCAGTTTTATGGAGAAAAGGAACCACAAGCCCCTAGACCCCAAAATCTTACGATAATATATTAACACGACAGTGAAGCCAAGCAACGGAAAATGTGACCCTAGCCCCGCACATGTGAACATGGTGAGAAATATCTCAATGAAACTTTGCAGGATGAGCAAGAAGGCTTCAACAGCCTTATTGACGGGTTCCGAGCGCTGGTCAGGTGGACTCATGGTCAACCTGCATCATGGGGGTCGGGGCGTATTCGCGACGTATCCCACCTGGGCAGCGAGGCTCCGGCGATGATGCCCGTTTGGTCACATCGTCACAAAGTAAGTTATAGCAAACTGCATAGCGCCCTGAATATGCAGGATATCAGTGTTGTCACTTCCTAGGCTTACCTCTTGCCGCTTTTGATGAAGAAATGGGAAGGATGATGCCCAAGATATTCACCAATTCGCTGTAGCCCTAAACGCCAGGGACACTGGCGCTAACTGTGCCCCGCATTTCACTTGAACGTCACCTCTTTTCACTGTTTTGATGGTCATATATCCAAGGATTCAGCTACCATCGACCTCGACCTTTTCTAGATTCACCCGAGGCAGCTAAAATCACCCACTAAGAGGCATGACTGATGTATTCCCCAGACGAAATCTCAAGATCTACTGCAGGAAAGAGATGAGACCTCATATTGAGCCATGCAAGTGTCTTTTGCCAAATAGCCAAGACATCTTCCTGTCGTAACTTACTGCATACTCAAGTCCAGTTCTGGGGAGTAGGAAAATGAAGAATGGACATTCCCCAGACATGAACATCAAAGCGTGCAATTCATATTTGACGCCTCGTGAATACTCTTGACTATTCTAAGACTAGATGGTTGTTTCCCCCCCCCCCCCGTAATAATGCTCAGTGGATATCAGATATATCCAATATAACTTAGGGCTAAAACCCAGCGCCAAGTACTCATTCTAGGCACCAACTGCATCCACCCCATAATAAAGAGGAACCGTGAAGACAATTCCCCGAAGACCAACCGATAGTTCTTGTCGATCCCGGAAGCAACGGAGCAGACTCTTTATGGGGGCGGGGTCGGCGCCGATCCCCTCGAACGGTGGAGACGCCCTCTGTTCCTGCCTGGGTGTTTTGTGTCTTCCATCCACATGCTAAGCTGAATACACTCGGCTCGTGTCTTCTTCTGAGTTTGCAAGCATGAATTGTGGCTTGAGGGTCCCGGAAACCCATTTCAAACTCGTTCTAGCGCCAACGAAACGGTTTTCAGTGCATAAGACATGCTTGTCTTGGCCCGATGGTTGCAATAAAGACTCCAATAGTGATCAGCGCCCCTTTGGCCGACCTCGGTAGAAGATTACAATCACATTCACAAAATTTACGACCAAATGTGCGTTATATAGCATCCATAGCGAGTCACATCTGTTAGTTCTTCATCCAGCGTTCTTGCCTTGCCTTGCCTCTTCTCGATAGAGCAAGAAGATGGCCTTGTCAATTGTTCGCATGGTGCGCCTCGCCCTCCTGGGCTTATTCGCATTGCTGTCAATTGCTGCAGCTCTTCCTGTGGAGGATGTGGCTATTCGTGCTGTTCCACAGGACCCTAGCACCGATCCATTCTACCAGCCTCCTGCTGGCTTTGAATCTTCAGCTCCTGGAGCAATTCTGCGCCAGAGAAAGATCAGTGCTGCGTTCTTCGGCTTTCTTCTCAATCCTGTGACAGCGTATCAAGTGTTATATCGCACCACTGCTATCAATGGCTCGGCAATTGCAACCGTGACAACGATCTTCAAGCCGCTCATTGCTAAGAATGATCGGTTTATCTCTTTCCACACGGCATACGATAGCTCGGCGGTCAAGTGCAACCCTAGCTATAGCTACCAGCTTGGTGCGCCGCAGACTGATCTGATCTCTTCGGTGGAGACTCTCATCATAGAGGCGTATCTCCTGCTTGGTTATACCGTTGCATCCCCAGACTACGAGGGGCCTGATGCGGCATTTGGCCCAGGCCGCCTGGAGGGAATGGGTGTCTTGGATGGTATCCGTGCTGTAAATAACTTCAAAGACACCCTTGGTCTCAAGAACCCAATGGTTGTTGGCGTTGGATATTCAGGCGGTGCCCTAGCCACCGGCTGGGCTGCATCCTTACTCTCAAGTTACGCGCCAGAATTGAACGTCAAGGGCTGGGTGCAGGGTGGTACGCCATCGAATCTGACAGGAACTTTGGTTTTCATTGACGACACGGCTTTTGCTGGCTTCCTTCCTACAGCCGTGGTTGGACTTGCAAAACCCAGTGCCTACGGCGCCGAGCTGAACCCAGTCCTCGATGGCATCTTGACAGCCACAGGCCGGGAGAAACTCGATTTTGCCGCAACACACTGCGCCGTGGAGAATTTGTTCAGCTTTGGTGAAATGTCACTGCTAAGCACCGATATCCAAAGCCTGGGTCGGGGTCTCCTCGCTGAGCCGACCATCAAGTCCGTTATGGACAAGAATACCATGGCTGTCAACAAGGCTGAAACCCCAACAGTACCGGTGTTTGTCTATCATGCAACCCAAGATGAGATTATTCCGTATTCCAATGCGTCGACAATGGTCAATTCTTGGTGTGGCTGGAATGCGAACGTCAAGTTCACAACTTATGCCAATGGAGGCCACGCAACGACCGAGCTCATCGGTCTCCCGGATGCTCTCCAGTTTGTGACCAATGCGTTTGCCGGCAAAGTTGCTAGTGGCTGCACTGCAAACACTGAGCTGTCGAGTGTTCTGAATCCCATTGCGCTAGGGGTTGCACTTGAGCCACTTCTTCTGAAGCTTGTTGAAGCACTTGCCCACCTTGGTAAGCAGGATACGAATGTTAAGAGTGATACTCAGGTGCTTGCTCAGACTATTACTACATAATGCCCTCACTGGGCTGATGGTGGGCTGAGTGCAAACAAGTTAAGCTGAGATGGGGAATATATGTGCTGTCTTAGGCAGCATCGTTCTTAACGACCTCGGGAGCTCCTTTATTTATCCTCTTGTGCGGGACACTATGTGTATATAATGCGCGGATATACTCCGCTTAGGACATACTCCATGCCGTCATCTTGAACAAAGGCTTGATCTTGAGATTTACATAATCTACTCATGTCTTAAACTGGTCATAACTTTAATTTTCAGAATACCTCATTTTCTATAGTAACAATATGTGTCGATGTAATGTGGGTTCGGAGATTCTTACGCGCGTGTCTGTGAATAGTCAGCTAATCTCTTAACCCTTTCCCGGAATCTTTTGTTGTGTGTACAGGCTGGTGAGAGTGACGAAAGTAGACCTTCAGAGGTTCGACTAAGGGAAATCCGAGGTAGGTCCATGTTGAAAGAGCGTCGGGGAGAGACTTCGAAACCAGTGAAAAGGGAAAATCAAGGTGAGGCTGAATAGCTTTTAAGGTACGGTTTTGTAGATATGGCGAGACTTAAGCCTCTAGACTTCTATAAAAGGCAAGGATAAACCCCGACAAATAAGATAATAGGAGAGTCTCCGAGCTAAGATGATCACACGAAGAAAACTCAGGAAATGCGGGCTATGGATGCTACCCCTGCATCTGGAGATGTCTATAGATCAGCAAAAATGCGGAGGTCAGGCTCCCCAGTCACGAATGAGAGAATATGACGTGTTTGACATAGTGTAACAAATGAAACATAACCTGGAACATCGTCCTGCACATACCATCGACATCCCTGACATTTCTCCAAATCATAAATTTAGAAGCGAAATCAGCTGCGGTGATCACATCATGGAGATCAGCCGCTTATCAGTAGGCAACGGATGCGGATGCCCGTGAACAGTGGATGATGTTATGAACACACAAGGGGGTTTTTATCACAGCAAAGAAACAAGCTGAGATGGAAGATAATGCCAAATAAGAAATCAAAGACCAAGCAGCAACTTATCCCTGAACAATGAGCTTAAGGTGTGCAGAACATAACATATGCAAGAGCCCCCCGGTTCGGGAAATCGAGTCACCGGGTGTGCGTCACAGAGGTTATCTTATTAACTTACACCTTCACACCTTCTCCTCGTATTTCCCCCTTCGATATTCATCCTCCCCAACCCTCCTCTACACGTTGTGACTCACCTCCCCAGAATCTGTTGTTGATGCGGAGAAGCTCTAGACCGTGCTCCGAAGGTCCTAGACCGGAGTCCCATCAATACTGCGTATTCATTCGTTAAGCGCCTCACTTTAGTATCGTGGGTTTGTTAGCATGGACTGCAGCTCAGGACCCATCGCTGCCCGATTGTTCTCCTGATAACAGATTCCGGTGATAACGCTCCGTCAGGGTAGGCAACGACAACCATCATGCTTCATCCGCCTTATGGCTAACACCGCTAGGGCCCATCATGCATCAGCATCCCCGAACACCAGCGGTGCCTTCTTCGGTACCGTCGTCGGCGCCATCGTTCCCATCCAGACCGACAACGCGGGACGACCTGCGAGACCAAGACTCCACCCCAAGCTCCCCCACCGTGGATATGGGGTTGAATTCAGCCAGGGGCCTAGGGATAGAGCCTGGATCTCAACCTGAACAGGCGAGGAATGCGGCTCCGGCCAAGGAGGCACTGGCTCGGTTGAACCAGATAATCTCGGTAGGATCCCCAGATCGTCCCTCGGGCGTAGAAGGGCCGCCGGCTGATCGTTGATCTTGTTCATTGCAGAATTACCACACCAAGGCCGCTCTCATTATCTTGCACTCGCGTGTTACGCTCCCTCCATCGTTCACCAAGGGCTCCGACTCTCCGAGAGTGAACCGCTGGGTAGGTAACCCCTCATCAGTCCTTTCGGGCGGCAATGCATAGCCGAAGTAACGGGCGCTGATTGTTCATTTCGTCTAGTTCAATGTCGAATTAGAGGACACCGATATTCTGAGAGAACCCCTGCGAGTTTGGAGAACATGCGACGCCACAGAGAACCGACCGCCGCCCCTCGTTATCGAAACCTACCTCGACACCAAAGGCCTCACAAATAACCAGAGTCTGGTCATTCTGGATGAGAATGGGAAGAGATGGGATGTGCGGGAGTCGCTCACGGCACTGCGAGGTCACGCGAAGCCTTACCAGTCAGACAGCGACGAGATCATTCTGGAACGATGGAAGATCGAATTGGGGGAGTCAACGAGCAGGCCTCCAGCTGATTTGGGCTCGATATTGCCGACTGTGTACAAGAAAAGCATCGTGCTCTTCAGATCATTGTTCACATACTCCAAGTTCTTGCCTGCGTGGAGGTTTTCCAAGCGCAACAAGAAATCACGGAGGAGTCCAGCTCTTCAGATCAAGTATCGAGTGGTAGATGCAAGCGCTCGCCGAGATACATCTGTCGATCATTTGACGGCTCCTCTGAGCGAGGGTAGTGAAAAGGTGGTGGACACTTACAACTTTGGTATCACAGAGTCACCTGCAGGGCCTTTCTCAGTGCAAGTCGCGTATCGCACGAACTGCGACTTCCGCGTCGATGATTCGGAGGCTTTGTTGAGCTCGCGGTTCATGGGGGCAGATGACGAGATCTTCCGTCCGTCGTTGCCTTCAGAAGATATGAATCGCCTCAACCCGGAGGTAGGATCTGTACCAGTAGAAAGACGGACAGTTGAGAATCCTGACCGCACACGCGCATATGGAAGTCTGTCAACGTTCCATCAAGTTGGTCCAACGACGGGGGCAAGTCCAATCTCCGCGTTACGAGCACTCAGAGACTCCGGGGCAACATCGCCTTCTCCAACTGAGTCCCCAAAGAAGCTCCTGCCTCCTGCCAAAGTGGTGCCTGCTGGCCGAGCCGCGCAAATCGCCGGCGAGAGTGGCGCGTCAAGCTTTCCTCGTCGCCCTTCTGTTTCTTTCCAACCTTTCAAAGCTCCTCCTCTTTCTGCCTCGCCAGCTCTTGCAGACTCTCCCTTGGGTGTCTCTCCTCGTAATACGTCCTCTCGCATGCAGACTGGCACATCTGCCGATTCACGCTTCATGCCTCCCCCTTCTTCGGCCGCTTCTGCGCGACGACCTCTTTCCATTCCATCCGAGATAGCCATTTCATCCTCCAACTCCGCCTCTCCCAAGACAGCTCCTTCTATTTCGCGATACAGCAGCTCTTTCAGTCACCGACGAGGCCGTCTTTCTGCAGGCGCAAACCGACTCGACGATGATCATTCAAGTGGTAGAGCGAGTGCTACCTCGTCTAATGCCCAACCTGGATCAGGCCTTCTGGCAGAAGCTACAGGAACCAGCGCAGAGTCTATCCATGCAGATGATGAGAATATTTCAGACTTCCTCAAAATGCTAGACTCCAAGAAGGATTTGTTGAAGTCTCCAACCTCGGCATCTATTCAGTCTGGTACCCAGAGACTCTCGTCTACCCAACTCGCTCTGAATCGTTTCCGAGCCATGCGCGACTCCAACGACGTTTTGTCGGATTCTATGTCAGCTTCTATGCAAGGACATCGCCCTTCGGTCTCTTCAAGCAAACAGCTATCGGGAGTTCCGCCTATGGTTTCAGGCACTTCGGTCTCCACGGCATCTTCCCCCGGAAAGCCCATCTCTCCCCACACTCCCCACACTCCTCATACTCCCGCTATCCGTTCTCGTTTGAGCTCCAATAGCGTTGCCGATGATATCGAGATTGATCACCGACAGATACCTCGTATTGAGCACGACTCTCCACTGCAAGAGCATCCAAGCATGGAGGGTACACAGGGGCCTTCTTCTACTGCTGGTGCTATCGACATTCCTACCTCGCCCCGCGTCTTCTCTCCTGCCTATCGTCGTTCGAGCTCTGCCGCTCAGCGCCGGGCCCCTGCCACGGGTGACGATGATGATATCTTCCCATTCGGTCTACGTAGTCTCAGTCTCGGGGCCGATGACCGCCCAGCTGTTAGCCCGGAGGCCACCCAGCCACAGAACGAATATGTCAGCCCAGACACCACCACTTATGATTCTCAGAAGGACCGGCAGTGCTCCATCGAAGACCGAAGTGCACCCTCTGCGTCTACAGCTGGTCCATACCGAGACAGTGCCTCCCTTCGCAGCCAGATGTCTGGACCAACAGGAGCCTCGGCTTCCTCGAATCCCCATCTTTACCAGCCTCGCTTCGCCAGCTCTCGCGGCCGCGGAAACTCCGGCGGCCACTCACTAAGCTCTGCATCCAGCAGTCTAGCCCGAGGTGCCAACATCCCACCGCATCTAGTCGAGCGCGATCAAGACCGCGATGGCAACGCCAGCGGAAGCAACAGTGGAAACTCAACCATGGAAATCCGCCGTGGCTCAATGCAGCGCCCTGGAACAGGACGAACCTTCTCATCCCAAGCACCAGAAGATGATGAACCTCTTCTTTTCGCCATGAGCGACTTTGGCGCCTCACGCCGCAGCTTGGAGGAGAATCGTGGTAACCATGGCGGTGCCGATTCCACCGGAGGTTCTAGACGTGGCAGTGGGAGACGGGGAGCTGGGCTTCCTAACTTCCATATCTGGTGATCTTAATATCTGCTTCGATGCCAAGATCTATCTATGAATCTCACTGTCATCATGTTTGACTATCCCCTTCACTTCTTTTGATCTTCACTTCAGCCGCTTTGCCTTCTACTACCTCCCGTTCTAGCCCTTTTTCTCTCATCGACTCTCATCTTCCTGCCTTTAAAATGCTTTGTTGTTTTGCGCGCGTCGGCTGCTGTCATAGACTGGTCTCCAGCTTACAGATTGATTACTGCAATGTGCATAGAGAGTATTTTTGATTGTTTCGTGTCTTTTTTTCGAATTTGGAGTTAACATGGTGCCATGTGTTTCTGCTTTCTGTTTGTTCTTTTTTGGATTCTTCACGATTACTTGCAAAGTGATCGTGGCAGCTTCTACATGATTGACATGACTTGATGATTATCTGGGACTTGCCTGTGATCTGTGCTCTTGTCTAACTCTGTGCCTTTAGGGCTAGATTTTTGAGTCCAATGTGTTACTTCCAATTTGTTGAATTTGATGAACTGAAGTGGACTTTTTTGAATAAGTAAAAACGGGTACGCAACATCAGTAACTATGTTTCGATTGTTAACTTGTAATGCACCTTGAGGTAACCAACAGAAGGTATGAGTTGCCAGTTGTGGTAGCAAGTGCTGCATATGTTCAACACATTGAAAGGCACCCTACAGTTGGGGATCTACCAAGCAGGATCTTTGGCCAATGCTAAGAAATTGCTAGGGCTGATCTGCCGCAGATCTTGCAGTGGACGCACTCCATAGATCTCATTTGATCACTGCACATGCAGGCTGCCAGGCAAGAAACTCGTCCAATTTCCTCGTCATGCATGCTTGAGTGGATCTGTTGTCCTGTGGGTCTTCAACTCGTCTTTGTTGATATAAAAGTCTAACACCATAAGTAGCGTTGCTTTTGAGTCGAAGGGTAAAACGTCCTCCTTTCAAGAGTCTTCTTGTTGCATTCCATTAGAATTCTCATAAGATTCAACACTCATCTATCATATCTATGGGTAACTTGTATGTAATTACAAAATATTGATCAACAGAGCGCAATGTTGCCACAACCAACCAAGAAGAGAATGATAAACCAAAACCAAACGCCAGGGTATTAGTACACTCAAATAATTATAGACATATCCCGTATATCCTCCTCAATCGCCGCCCAGGCCTTAGGCAGCAGATTGGCTTGAAGACAATAATTCCCGCCATGATCCTTCCCAAGCATCCACAGACAATTCAACGCATTCCACGTCGAGCCAAGACTGTGAATATAGTATGTGACCATCCTCCCAGGAGGATTCTTCCTGGCCGTCACCTCGTCACCCTGCTTGATGACAGCAGGCCCAAACTTGGCAGCTTTGATCAGCTCCGCCTTGTTGAGGTTGTTCACCAGCATGACCGACCCTTGAGGCTCGCCATAGAACAAACTTGGACTGCCGGTCGACTCAATATCATGCCTCCAAGAATTCAACAAACTCTTTGTCTGCGCCTCCGAATTCTGATCGTCCAGATGTTTCCGATGACTGAGCGCAATCGGCCCAAGCGGGCCCCTCGCCATATCCACCGAAAGAAACGTATAAACGCCCAGCATCAAGTTCTGCAAATAAACCCCTTCGTCATCAAACAAGCTCGGAAGTCGAAACCTCGCATTTGAAAAGGTCAAAATCGTAATCGGCCGAGGCTTCGGCAACGAAGCAGTCATCGCCCTCGTAATCCAAGCAGTGAGAACATCCCCATCACTGACAGAGGGCACAGCCCCACCACCAGGATATGAACTCTCGATCTCGCGCGTGATGCGCAACCGCAGTCTGGCAAACGCCTCCTTCGGCAAGAAGATAGCGCGCATCTCCCAAGAAGGATTAAACACCCTCTCCCAGAGATTCCGCGACAAAACCTTCGTCTTGGCCATGCCCTTCAGCCGTTTCTGGTCAAGGCCGCGGCCCGCCTCATCAGACGCGCCAACCCCATCCAGCACATCCCTCTGCACGCCCAGCACGTCCGGGACATCTTCTTCCCTGCCGGCCAGGATCAACGACCACGCGCGCAGCAGCTCGGCATGGGCCATCTCGTCGATGAGGACGTGCGGCCAGCTGAGAGCGACGAGCGTCGCGTCTTTGAAGGACGTGACGTGGAGAAAGATCGGCGGCGCGTTCTGGTGGATCATTTCTTCCAGCGTCAGTGGGTGGTACGGGCTTGCTGCGAATGAGCGGAAGTCATTGGTGCTGATTGGCTGTGTCGAGGGGCCTCTTGTTGGCTGTGGCATGCGTGCCACCACGGGGTGTTCTTCGATTCTCATGTCGAAGGTGTCGTGGGTGAATGCCACGGCTGGATTGTCGTGGGTGAATTCATATGGGACATGGATTTCCAGTTTGCCGTTGGGCTGTTTTCTATTAGCCTGTGAAGTTGATGAGAATGATAGAAAGGAGAGAGAGAGAGGGAGAGAAGCCAGTGGGAGTATATACCTTTGTTCGGAGTCGACCACCCAACTTCCTCCAATTGCCCATGTCCAATAGTTCCGACAAGGAATCTCGTAATATCTCGGCGTCCAACACATCATTAAAGCGCATGCACCAGCTTACACAGTCCCGATTGAACTTGGTGTCGTCTAGGAGGTGTAGGGGATATGTGTCCCCGGGCACATCGTAATATCGATGCTTTTCCATCATTGCGGAAGAAAACGAAGGCGATGCGCACGAATTATAAGATAAACATTCACACTTCCCACTAGTGGGAAACCGGAAAGAAAAAGAGGGAAAAAAGGAGACTAAGAAACCAAAAATCGGATCTCGGTTTGCCGATCACCTGTTCCGATCCTGGATCTTTGATGTCGGGGAGTTTTGGGTGTGCTGGTTCTAGCTGTGCAGTTGGTCGCGCTATTGATTCACTTGTTGCATATGCAGGAACACATCTTTGCTATTCGAGATCTCCAGGCGTCGACGGATCCCTGCAGATCCCATAGAAATTGGCCTAGCTCATGGGTGGATCGACTCCTCCGTAGACTCTCGGGGCTTTTCAAGTGCCCACTTCTCCTGATTTCTGCTTTCTTCCGTTCGACCGAGTCATCTGGGACAAAGAAACTCCATTCGAAAAAAAAAGGGAGATAGGAGACACTACGAAAACACACGAGGAACAAATGAAACTGGAAAATAATTGACTTCGTTACGGATCATGGGCATCCATGGAGGCATCTAAATACATTGAAAACTGCCGAATTTTTTACCCTTCTAATAAACCTCTCCTCGCGTTTATGCAAGGTAGGTAGAGGCAGACACGTCACCACCACGGCCGGTCCAGTTGACGTGGATGTCCTTGCCCTCGGGGAAGGTCTCGCTGGCGAACTCGGGCTTGATGCGGAAGGTGTGGGCACCGAAGTAATCACGCTGGGCCTGGAGGAGGTTGGCGGGCAAGTCCTTGGTGCGGTAGCCGTCGTAGAAGCCGAGGGCGGTGGTGAAGGCGGGGGCGGGAATACCCCAGACAGCAGACTTGCTGATCACGTTACGCCAGCCGTCCTGGGCCTTGGTGATGGCGTTGAGGAAGAAGTCGTCGAACAGCAGGTTCTCCAGGTCGGGGTTGTTGCGGTAAGCGCTGGTGATGTCCTTGAGGAAGACGGAGCGGATAATGCAACCACCGCGCCACATGAGGGCAATGGAGGGCTTGTTGAGCTTCCACTTGTACTCCTTGGCGGCCTATACCGAATCAGGTTAGATCATGTTAAACTGTTTGGAGCCAAAGGGAATCTTCTTACCTCCTGGATGAGCATGAAGCCCTGGGCGTAGGAGATGATCTTGGAGGCGTACAGGGCCTGCTCGAGGTCGTCGATGAAGGCGGCCTTGTCGCCCTCGAACTTGGGGGTGGGGCCAGGGAGGATGGTGCTGGCCTTGGTGCGCTCGTCCTTGAGGGCAGAGAGACAACGAGAGAAGACAGCCTCGCCGATCAGGGTGACGGGCATGCCAAGGTCAAGGGCGTTGATGGCAGTCCACTTGCCGGTACCCTTCTGGCCAGCCTTGTCGAGGATCTTCTCCACAAGGGGAGTGCCATCGTTGTCGTTGTAGTAGAGAATATCACGGGTGATCTCAATGAGGAAAGAGTCGAGAACACCAGTGTTCCACTTGGCGAAAACATCGCCGATCTCCTTGTTGGAGAGACCGACACCGCGCTTCATGATGTCGTATGCCTGGATATGGTTAGAAAAGCGTTATCCCGTGCGGTCAAGATACCTTACCTCGCAAATCAGCTGCATGTCACCATACTCAATACCGTTGTGAACCATCTTGACAAAGTGACCGGAACCCTCGTCACCGACCCATTCACAGCAGGCATCGCCGTCAGACTTGGCGGCAATGGCCTGGAAGATATCCTTGATGTGGGGCCAGGCGGCCTCGTCACCACCGGGCATGATGGAAGGACCGTAGCGGGCACCCTCCTCACCACCGGAAACACCGCTGCCGACAAAGCTGATGCCCTTGCCCTGGAGGTACTTGGTGCGACGGTTGCTGTCGGGGAAGTGGGAGTTACCACCGTCAATGATGATATCACCCTTCTCAAGGAAGGGCAGGAGGGACTCGATGAAGTCATCGACGGGCTTGCCAGCCATGACGAGGAGCATGATGCGACGAGGACGCTTGAGCTTGGCACAGAACTCCTGGATGGAGTGGGCACCGACAACGTGCTTGTGGTCTAATTGACAAGAAAAAATGAGCAATTGCAATTGGACTTGAATTCTCTCGAGATCTTACCCTTAGCCTCGTTGGCCAAGAAACGGTCAACCTTGGCAGTTGTGCGGTTGTAAGCGCAGACAGTGAATCCGTGGTCCGCAACGTTCAGGATGAGGTTCTGGCCCATAACGGCCAGACCGATGAGGCCGAAGTCAGCACTGGGAACGATGTGCGCCGGAGCGCCGACATTGATGCCGGCGAGACGGGCGCTATAGTCAGCGAACAATGTCTCTTGTCAATAGCTGGGTAAAGATCACAGAATAATAGGAGAAGAAGTTCAACGCCTCAATCCGTGGGATTCCGAATATGCCGCACTGCAAAATCTTCATGGTATCCTATCATCTTGCGGGGAGGAAGCTATACAGGTCATGTATGGAGCTCCCGCAAGATAGTTGGAGCGACATGAAAGATACATGCACTCCAGTCTGCAATACGCAAGATATACAAGCACGGTGATGTTCGGAGGGGAAGATTGAGAATTGGAGGGGTGGAGGGGGGATAGTGGATGGAGGGGTAGAATAGGGTAAGAGGGATCAGGAAAGGGAGGGGAAGAGGGAGCACTCACACAGCTTGGTCAGCCATGATTATCAGATGTGAAGATGAAGAGAAGATGAAGATGAAGATGAGGATGAGAAGAGGTTAAGAGGGGGAGGTCAATGACCAGCTGACGGAGCAACTCTTCCGTCATCTGGTGGGACTTTGGGGGGGTAACGCGGAACTCTCAACATCCTAACTGACTCCGGTGTAGCGCCAAGTATCCAATACAGGAGCAGAGTCGTCCGAGGCTCAGTCCACTTTCTGTTCGGATTTACACACTTCCGCGAGTTACAGTATCTCAATGCGCGATATAATACCCAAAATACCCATACTTTTCCCCTTCCAAAAAAAAAAAACACGAGGTCTAGATGATCCCTGCATGCAGCTTATACTTCTCTACGGGAGCGGGGCATGGAGGGGTAGTAAGTAGTCACTTCAATTGGAATATGTAATAAGTGGGAGGAATAGGAGGGAAGTTCTCCCAGGCTGGCTGTACCAAGTGCGCCAATATTGGGATTCAATCTGCAATCTCCCACGCTTTCCACATATCGGTGAACAGTTCAGGTGAAGGTCGACGGAGAAACCCTCACTTGCCGATACGCTGCCAGAACCGGCTTCGGGGCCACTAGTCCGCCTTTGGTCTAGGGTGGGGGTTGCAGGCTGACTCAGACGGGAATCGAGACTGTGTTATGTCATCGCGGAGTCAGGAAGCTTGACATCAGGTGACGAGCACGGGTCCACGATCATGTGATGCTACAGGGGCCGGAAGGGCCCAGAGACGTTGTCCGCGGTCCATCGCATCGAAGATCTTTTGCGGTCTGCAATTGCTCAACATCACGCAGGGAACGCACTTGAACCGGACTTGACTTATATCACCACGATCACACTGATTTCAAGTATATCTGATCCGGTATTCCCTCTTTCTGCACCTGAAAGGCTCGGGTCCTGTCTCAAAGTGACGTCTGGCGAATGACTGCGGCGTCAGTCAGGCCCTGAAGGTACGTTGCGCTTGCTACTTGCATATCGCTCGCTCGCCTCTCTCCCTCTTTCGACATCCCGTTCATCATGTCCTTCCCGCCTCCTCCAGGTCTCAAACAGACTCCTTCGTCACTTCCACCGCGGCCACCTCCATCTTCCAACGCCGCGCAGCCACCGTCAAGCAATGGCGGCAAACCTCGCCCGGGCTATAATGCGTTCACTGCATTCCAGCCGCGCACTGTCGCTGCTAGCCAGCCGTATCGCACCAACAGCCCGGTAGTCTCGGCTCCCGCGGCACCCGCTGCGTATGCGGCGCCTGCTAGCTACAACACCCACTATCAACAACCACCCCAGACATATCAGAGCGGGCCCTCTTACTACGGACAGCCTCAATACGCCGAGCCTACGTACGGTCCCACCGTTCCACATATCCCCAATCCATTCGGGTCCACACCAACCCCGACCTCGGGATATTCACGAAATGGTCGCGATGCGGGCTTCGACCCCGAGACCGAGGCCCAAATCGCGCAATGGCAAAGCGCTTACTCCAACCCGACCGATGACTCTGCCGGTAAACGCCAAGGTACCCAACCTGGATCAGGGGTGAACACAGGTGCCGGAACTCCCACCGTCGGTACCAGTACTCCTGTCCCGCCAACTGAATCTCAGAAAACCGTTGTTCGATCGGGTGGCGGAGAAACATGGACCGATACGTCGCTGTTAGAATGGGATCCGGCCCATTTCCGCCTCTTTGTTGGTAACTTGGCAGGTGAGGTCACAGATGAGTCTTTGCTCAAAGCATTTGCTCGTTATCCATCAGTTCAAAAAGCACGTGTGATTCGGGAGAAGCGAACCCAGAAGAGCAAGGGATTCGGATTCATCAGCTTTAGCGACGGTGATGATTATTTCAAGGCCGGGCGGGAGATGCAAGGCAAATATATTGGATCGCACCCCGTCTTGTTGCGCCGAGCTACTACAGAGGTCCGCCCGGCTGCAGGTGGCAAGGATGGAAAGAAGAATGGCGGTAAGAAGGGAGGCCAGCCCGGTGGCAAGGTCAAGCATGATGGTGTCAAAAAGTTGGGGAAGACCAAGGGAGGCTTGAAGATTCTGGGATAATTCCATGCAAACCAACTCATGTTCAAGTAGAATTTTGATACCGTAAAATCGAATAATATATTTTCTTTTGATTTAAATTCGGTTCTAAATTAAACCATTCGAATTGATTGAGACGTGTAAAGTGCAACGTTTCATGGGAAGCTGTATAGAGGATAGCTTGGGCACCCACTTCCCCAGCCCCCGATGAGAAAAAAAAAATACACATGGCTGGGAAACATACTGCTCTCGTTTATAACGTCGAACATTTCCCAATTCTGTTCTCCCTTTATCCCCTGTTTCCACATTCCTCTCCTAGACTGTTCTCGAAGGAGAGTCAGTTCTACAAGCTGGTGGTATACTTCCAAGTATACTCACGACGCATTGGTGCCCTACACAACAACTGAGACACCACCTTGCACTGCTCTAATCTGCTGTTGCTTCCACCGCGACCATCTTCCTAATTTTGACGATCAACGACATTGTCCCCTACATAATCCTCCACACACATTATTGACCCAACCCTCAAACCACAAAGAGCGCCGACGATCCAGATCGTCTCCACCCAAAATGGTCAAGCGCAACATCACCATCGCAATCATCATCATTGTCCTCTTCCTCATTCTCGCCATTGCCTGTTTTGCCATCTGGGCCGTGAATAACCGCGTCTCCATTTTCGCGAACAAAAAGGGCGATGAGGAGAGTGGTGAGGAAGGAGGTGGGTGATAGGGCTGGGTAGCCCGCACCCAACCCTAACTACGACTACAAACATGCCCGTCTTATGTCTACGTCTACGACTACGATTGATTACACGATACCCTTTTTTTTTTCTGCTGGCATTCCTCACCTGCCACAGTGACTATTTTGAGCTTTTCCCCCTATGACATATGTTGGTTCTGTACAATTTCTTTTGGTTCGGAGTTTGGATTGGGCACATACATTGCTGTTGTAACTTTGGTTTTTCTGGGGTTCACGATTCTTATGTTGATTTATTTTCTGGCTTTTACTATTCGCTTAGATGATGGCTTGATTTGATGCACATTTTTGCCTTGTCATTATGGATATGTTAAACGACTGTATAGAGATAACTCTGGTCATGAATGTAAATGTCCATGTTCAAATTAATGAAATTCAGATATCCTGATCGCTATTAATTACAGACCAAAGGACTTGATAGTAATGAGGTGCTTTGGGGTAAAAAAATGATATGCATTCCCTCCGTGGTATATATCTACCCAACCCAAACTATATTGAAACACCCCACCACCAAGAACCTAACGTAAACAAAGGGGAAAAGAATGAATGAATAAAATTGTAACCGTGGCCGGAACTCCATGATGGAAAAACGCTCAAAATGTAGAACTTAATAGCTCTTGAGCACGAAGAGCTGTAGCAATATGCCAAGGTAGAGTATTACCCTGAACACAGCGAATGCCCTTGACACGAGCCAGAGTCGCCATATCCCGATACATGCTCAGCGTATCCTTCAAGACGTTGTCATGGGACGCAGGAGAACGGGCGGAGTAGATAAGGTTAGCCGCCAAGGCAAAGACACCGTCACTATCGGTGATGCCCTTTCGGCGCAGGAGATAGCCGCTTGATAGGGCTGGACGGAAGTCGGTGAGATGAGCGGAGCTATTGAGGCGGTGTGATAGGACTGCGAGCCAGGATTCGTCACACATATCTGTCAAGATGATGTCTGGGTCTGGTTCGATGGACATGTCTGTTGGGGTTGGAGCGTTGTAGGCTGCCGGGCCACCACTACTTGGTGTTGCTGCGTTGCCGGATTGCTCGGGGGATGCAATACTGTTGTTGGGATTGGGGGTGGAAACGGGAGTTGTTGATGATAAGGGGTTGAAGACTGCCATTGATATTGGGGCAGTTGGGGGTTCGAGAATTAAATCGGGAATGGTGTTAACGGAGAGAATGGTCAGTTCCAATGAGGCGGGTCGTAATTTGTTGTATTGGTCTGCGAGGCTGGTCCACGCTGTGGTATTGTCAGTAATCTAATTTGAGATATCATCGTGGAATACGTACCTTCGACCTCATCGGTTTCCATAGGCTCCGTGCTTACAAGCTGAACTTTCCACCGCGCTTGGATCTTTTCCATGATGTGTTTTGTCGTAGCCCATATCTCTTTCCTCACTTCAGATATCGGTCGAGTACCACTCGACTGACGATACTTGAGGCAGTAAGACACTGTCCTTTGAATAGATCCAGGAACATCAGACCATGCCACGGATATCCAGCGTTGGTCTAAACTTCGAGAACAAGCAATATGAAGACTCCGTCCATCCTGAAGTGGTGACGCCCTTTCGGGTGCAAGTCGAAAGTTGATGGCTTTCGGGAGAGGATCGGCTAGATATATAAGTGGTGTACAGAGCAGAGGACTTGCATTGCTCTCTTTGGGACGACATCGACCATAAACCTCAAAAGCCAGATTCACATAGTCTTCTTGAGAGGGCGTAACCAATGCCTCACTCGACATGACAAATTCCATAGGGATAATTTGCAGAACCAGCTCGTTCACAGGCCGGACCTGTCGACGCTCAGAGTCTGCTACCAATTGCTGAAAAAGATGCCAGAAGGCGGAACAAATATCGGCCAGTGCCGCAGTGTGAGTGAACGGATTGATGATATAGACGACGCAATTATCAGCCTTGGGTGGAGACCGAGAAAGCTCCGTTCCAAGCTCCTCACATATGTCCTTCAGAACCAGCATCATAGACTCATAACTAGATGAGTCAGACTGCCATGACTTCAATCCTTTTTGAAAGCCCACAGAGTCGTCCCCGCGAGCATGGCTTCCAAGGGCGCAGCCTTCTTCATATAAAAGACCAAACCGTCCCAGAAACACATCTGCAGCTCTTGAGACCGTATGTGGAAAGATACAATAAGCTGAGATATTCTTTGGCCCATGGGCTGGTTCAAGGCCGAGCATTTGCCAAAAATTCATCGTTTGAGGGAGAGCTTCTAGGAACTCCTCACCTCGACGAACACGAACATGGGGCAGAGGTAGCTTTGCAATGAAGCTTCTGGGGACATCCTTAGGTGGCGCTGGGTATTGTGGTGGTTGCTGTTGTAGACGGTTGGCAGTAAACTCGTCTTGCAGTGAGGTATATCTCTTGAAATCAAGCCTTGAAACTTCACCCAGCAGTTCAATATTGTCCAGTAACTGTGAAAGGGAGTGGCTTTCGAGGTTGTTGGGGCCAATCTGTTCATGCAGTGGGTGTCTGAGTGATGATTGTGTAATTTGTTCAACGAAAAGTTGGGCAATCTGAAGCTGATCTTCGCGGAGGAGAAGAACCGGGGATTGCTGGGACTGCAACGCAGAAAAGTAGCCAGTCAGAGTCCAATCGGAAAAATTGGCTAAAAAATTGCCCAAGAACGTAGAGTTCTCGGCTTTCAGCACCGGGCTTTCTTCAGTAGCAGTCAGTTGCTTTTCTGGGGATGCAACAGACATGGTCTCAATTTCCGAAGGAGCACGCTTTCGCTTCAAAGAAGGTATCATCGACAGCGTGGAAGGAGTTTCAGCATGTTCTGGCATGACTTCTGCACTATCGTCGCTGCTTTCGTCGCTATCACAGCTTGAAACCGAGGAGGATCGTGGCTCTTGTTTTGTTTGGACCAGAGACGAATTGGCTCTGCTGCGCTCTTTTGTAGCAGCACTCGTATTTATACTGCTTCTGTTGCGGTGTGGTATGCCAATTGTAGGTATCGCAGAGGTTTGCTCCGATGTGTCTGAAGGGCCACCCGTTGAGAACCAAAACTTTCCAGCTGTTCCATACTTTTGATCCCAGTCGCAAAGTTTCTTCTCGAAGGCCACGGGATGGTAATGTCCTTGGCCATGGATATCAGTAGAGCCCCTGTCGTCATTGATCTCGTTTTCTGGAAACAGTATCTTTTTCACTTCTATTGGACTCAAAGGTGGGCTGATTGTTTGGCCTGCCCGGTCCGTAGGCGAATGAGCGACCTCTCGGGGAGAGAGAGACTCGTTGGGCCGTGGAACTTCTTGTTGTATTGAAGAGACATGTATCTCCGATTCCACATGATCTGGTGTTTCCGGCGGTTGACTAGGAGATTGGTTTTCATCAATCATAGTTTCGTCCTCTGGACGAGATGAACTCTGAGATGTTTGGATGGTTACTTGTGGTTGCTCCGCGGGCTCATCGTCCATGCCTTCAAAGTCGGGATTATCAAAAAAGCTAAAGTCAGCATCAGTGATGCCCTTCGACCCGAAGTCCCTGTCATTCATATCCCCGAAGAGATCTTCTTCGTCACTTGCATCATAATGGCCAGTTCCTACTCCAACGTCATGATCAGGTGAAATCCCTGACGCTGAATCATTTCTTTGAGGGTCTCGTGGAGGTGCGTTAGATAGTCCAAAGTCAGAATCTTCCGCAAAAGCCTCGGACGTATTTGGATTGTTTATGCCAGTTGCCGCAGCTCCGTCCGGGGGAGTTGGATAAACCAGATTTGTGTTTTGCAAATCGGGATATTGCGCAATTCGAGATAGACTCTCTATTCTTTCCAGGTGGTCAGATTTGGGAGAGGGCGATATTTCATGATCCTTTATTAGACGCTCCTGTGGAACATGGATCTTTTGGGCTGGTAAATCTAGCTTGAGAGAGCTCGCCTGCGAAGACCAACGCTCTGCGAAATCTAGAGGATCTTCGAAAAAAGGCATCTGGGTTTCGAAGGTGGCATTCGATGAGCTAGCCCTCCTGAAACAAAATCTAGCAGGCCAAATCATGCGTTTCAGCGGCAGTGCGGATTGGCCATCGTCACTTTGTCTCCATGCTTCCCCAGCAAGCCTCGCGTAGAATGCCTCCCATACCTCAATCTCAACCCAAGGTTCTTCCTCGATCGAGTCGATTTGCAAGCCAAAATTCTGCAGCCACTGTATAACATCCTGCTTCCACTGCTTTCGCTTTGTTGATACATCGCCAGAAGTGGGATGACCTGGAGAAGGAACAGTAGACGCATCGATATTTGCTGTAACTAGTCGGGCGATACTTCCATTAGGGCATAGCCAAAGATCCATTCCAGGCTGCAAGTTGAGGAGATCGGCGACGTCATCTCGGGACGACAGTCGCATGATCCCAGTTTGCGGTACAGTCTGGGTAGAAACAGTAATTGTTCCACTCAGAGTGAGCTGAACATTCAGTGTCGTTAAGCATGAACTAGAAAGTATGCTGTCGTTATTGATGTGGGGGCTTTCATAGCCCAGCTTCTCCACCGCGGTGTAAAGAGTGCGCGACCCGAGCGGTAGAGCGCCATGACGTCGAATTAATTGGAGGCTGATTGAACCTGTGACTGCAGATATGAAAGCAGCATAAATGCCCGCTGAGTTGATGAGGCCATCTTGGCGTCGAGATGGTGCTTGCCCTTGAGTTGGTCGTGGCTGCCCAGGTTGAGCACCCTGGCCCTGATTGTCGGTGAGCCCTTTCACCAAGTCCAGCGCGGTGACACTTCCCAAGGCGCCAACTACGCGGGTGTTAGAAGCACAACCCAGGTATAAGCAATGCTTGAAGACATACCTTTCAAAGTTGTTGTACCGACAACGATTTTATTATTATCCTCGTCACCCAGATAGAGAGGTTTCAAACTTTCAAATTCAGGGGTAGGGGAAAAAACCCAAAGTCCCAAACGCCTTGGGGAGGATGCCAGACAGTTCAGGCTTCTGAGTCGAGCCTCTAGATCCTTGAGACGACTCAAATGCTTCAAAATCGTATAGCCATTGGCAGGGCCTTCTTGCGATTGATTTGGGCCACGAGATTCTTCTGTGTATATTCTCCAATATATATTGGAGAAACCATCCTGATTTGACGCGTCAGTATACATTCAAACTTGTATCAGCTGATGCGTCACTCACAATGAGATGTATGTTGGTGTTTGCGCCCCCAGGGAAGTCCATAATTCAATAGTTGCGGACAGCTCTGAGAACTTTTAAAGATATAAGAAGAAAGATCGCAACTGATCCTGGAATTCATTTCCAGTTGGTCGCATAGTCTGTGGCAAGGAGCAGAAGCGCATAGCCGAGAGATCAACAAGCGGATATGGCAGCCACCGGGGCCATAATGGGAAGCAAAAACGGTGTGTCCTACAATGATTTCGAAGATGCGGGAGGCAGCTCTGTAACTGAAGCATGAAACAATCTCAGCTCTTCGACTGTTGAAGTTGGAATTCCGGGGGACGTTCGCCAGGGACACTCGGGCCAATCACCGATACCCGGCCGGATAGAGTCACGTGTTCCCTATCGGCCTATCTTTTTTTTTTTGTTCTTCCACTCGAACTTCAGCCAAGATCGATATTCAACGCCATGAAGCTGTCTAATCCGTCTGAAGTCCCGGTGTATACCATCGCGGGCTCGGACTCTGCTCGGCCGCTTCCTGATTGGCTTGCGAGACAGCGAAAGCGCAGCTTGAAGAACGATGCGGAGTATTCTAACCGCGTTGAGTTGCTGCAAGACTTTGGCTTTGATGAAGCCAGTACTTGTGTACGGGCCAGTGAGGATGGTGAATGGGTGATGAGTACAGGTTCGTTTTGACTCTAGGATTTTCTTGGAGGCGCAAGTCCTAACATGAAATTTTTACAGGAACTTACAAACCCCAAATGCATACCCATTACCTTCCCCAACTATCACTCTCTTACTCTCGTCACACTATTGCGCTCAACACCACATTTATTCTGCTTTCATCCGACTACTCTAAATCTCTTCATCTCCAGTCTGATCGATCTCTCGAATTTCACACCCCATCAGGACTACACCACACCACCAGACTTCCCCGATATGGACGTGATATCGTCTATGACCGCCAGTCGACTGAGGCGCTGGTTCCTGCAGTCGGTGTCAACGGTGATGGTATGGGAGAAGTGTTTCGATTGAACTTGGAGCAAGGCCGGTACATGCGCAGCTTTGAGGTGGACGTTGGCGGTGACGATTTTACTTCTGCAGGCGCTGGAACTCGGCAAGGTGGAATCAACCCAGGATCCGTCAACACAGGTGCCATTGCAGAGGAAAGTCACAACCTTTTGGCTTTCGGAACATCGGTGGGAACAGTCGAGCTTTGGGATTCTAGGGCAAAGGGACGTGCAGGTGTGCTCCTACCGCCTACACAAAGCGGCTTTGATGAGGGACGTTCCGAGATTACTGCCCTCGACTTCAGCCGATCCGGTCTGAACCTTGGAACTGGTTCGTCAAACGGACTTATCCACCTATACGATCTTCGTTCGCCCGTTCCCCTTCAGAAGAAGGATCAAGGTTACGGATTCCCCGTCCACACACTTCAGTTCCTTGAGCCTTCCACCGCAACACGCGCCGCAACTATTGAACCCAAGCTGCTCTCCGCAGATAAACGTATCATCAAGCTTTGGGATATCGAAGACCAAAAGCCATGGACTTCAGTTGAACCAGCTGTGGATCTTAACTCGGTGGCCTGGTGCAAGGACAGCGGAATGCTTCTCACTGCAAATGAGGGCCAACAGCAACACGTGTTCTTCGTACCGCAGCTTGGACCTGCTCCCAAATGGTGCTCCTTCTTGGATAACATGGTTGAAGAGATGGCCGAGGATCCTAATGACCCCAACGCGTTCAAGACTTCCGAGGATGGCACTCTGTTCGATGGCTACGAGCTTGTTACTGCTGAGCAGGTTGCTAAGTGGGGCATTGAGAAGCAGATTGGCCAGGGTGGTTTGATTCCGTTCACGCATGGATTCCTTATGCCGAAGATGCTGCATGAGGAGGCCATGAGGAGATTCGAGACACCAGGCGAGAACCCTGACGGCTTGCGCCAGAAGACCGTGCAACAGAAGATCAACCAGGAGCGTGAGAGTCGCATCCGAGGAAAGAAGAAGGTTGCTGTTAAGATTAACAGGAGACTCGCGGAGAGAATGATGAAGGAAGAGGAGAAGAGAGAACGCAAGCACGCCAAACGTCTTTTGGAAGGCGGAGAGGACCAGGAGATGGTTGAGGCACCTGCATCATCCGAAGACAAGGAGACTGGTGTTCTGAAGGACAGCCGTTTCGCCCAACTGTTCGAAGACCGCGACTTCGCTGTCGACGAAACATCACGCGAATTCCAGTTGTTGAACCCCAGTACAGTTCCCGAGGCTGCCACTTCACGACCCCAAAGAAAGGAGCGTGGCTTGACAGCAGTCGAACAAGAGGCCGTCGACGATGTGCCTGGCTCCAGCTCAGAGGATTCGGACTCTGAAGCCGAGCGACCCGCGAAACAAGTTTTCTCTAACAAGATCTCTTCCGCGGATTATAAGAGGACTAAGCGCCCTCCTCCTCGCATGCAGGTTTCCTCGTCGAATAACACCTCTACCCGGGACCGTTCCTTTGGCTCGCGTGCTCAAAACATGAAGTCGAGACAGAAACCTACCCGCCGTGGTGGTGTCGTCGGCGAGCAGGAGATCAGCTTCAATCCTGCCGGAAAGCCGAAGCGTGCTGCCCCAGAAGTGCGTTACGACAAGCCCGACAATTCCTTCCGGGCAAAGGAGCGTCGCAGTGCCTCTGGAAACACTTTCCGCAAAATTTAATGCGTGTTTTGACTTAATCTTTTACTTGGCCTCAACATGGTCATGCTCTTGATACCCAATTTTGTTCCCTCAAGAAGCTCCCCACACATTTTCCATGGAATAGGCTCTCCGTCTTTCCACCTTTCACCAATTTGGCATAGCTGCCAGCCGATCAGTTCAGTCATTCACAGCCGAATTGCAACTGAAGATCAAAAGCAACCCGCATGGCTATGTTCATCGTAGTCTTGTCACATGGGGGCCTTTGTCAGATTCACGGCTGTGATGCTGGATGCCCTTGCATCATCCGACATCAGAGTCTACAGTGGCCTTCCCAAGACTCTCATTGGAACCTATTTGACGACCATAGACCGCTTTGAGATAGGAAGGACATCGTCCAAAGCTCTGGTGCACCTTTGCTTTTTGAATGACCACCATGTATCATACCTTTCCAAAAGCGATGCCAATAGGCTTGATTATTCAACAAAGCTATATTTCTAGTGTTCTCATTTATAGTTCAAAGAAAAGATTCATAGAGCGGATTTCAAGCGTCTCAAACATGTACTGATTCACATAAACACAGCCTATTTGAGGGTAACCTGTTCATTTTATGCTCTTTACCTGAGAAACCCTGGTAATTTCCCCTCATATCCCATCAATAGAACCACACATCCAAGAGAGCCGTGGATAGCATCTTATAGCTTATAGATCACAGCCTCAGGCGCCGATGAAGTAATCCTCCACGCTAGTCCCAAAGGGGCACCCGTGCAACGTCGACCCTGCCATCTCGAAGTCGAATCCTTTGATGTCCCATAAATTCCTGGGGTTTATTTCTTGTTCTCCTTTGGGGTTGCATTTCCCAGCTTGAGCCACGCTCGTTACGCCCAGGAACCCCACGGGCCACCTTGACCGCAATCCGGGGATATTCCAGGTCCGATACCACTCCGAGCTTCTCTGCTTCCGATGTCCTGATCCCGTCATCTAGGACTTGACCCGTGTGTCTCATTCAATTACTACGAATCTCCTATATTTGGGGAGTTAGTCGAGCCTGTCGTGGACATCAAACAGCTTATACGTGGAGGCTAGAGGCAAAAGGTCTATGGCGGAGAACAAGCGCCAAAGCTCAGTCAAGGCGTCTGCGCAAAAGTCATCTGGTAACGCACCAGGTTCCGGCATGGCAGCTATGGTTCCCTTGGAGGCCGCATTGAGCGGCGCGATCGGCGCCCGGTGAGTGTTCGCGACCAACTCTTGATCCCTCCTGTCGAATCGCGGGGCTAATTGGTGCGGTTTCTCTTTTCACAGTGTGCGCCTCACCACTGCCCAACCCAATGCGATGACCCACGAGGGCACGTTGTTCACAGTTGATCCTATCACCAGCCTTGTAGCCATCAACACGGCCCCCGCGGCCAACCCCGGCGACGCTAAACAGGCCCAGAACGGTGACTACCATGTGGTGCCCATCTCGCGTATCCAAGGCTTTCAGATCCTCTCCCTAGCTGCGCCCTCAAACTCCTCCTCATCCTCGTTTACAGATGCCCAGCCTACGATCCAGGCGCTTGATACTCGTGCGCTGAAGGCCCGCGAGATGAAGGCGGTTGGGGAGTTGCTCGAGCGGGAAGCGCGTCGTGGCAAGGGCGTCACTCGGGAGGCTCAGGAGCTATTCGATGCATTCAGCCGTACCATGCCTGCGCGCTGGAATGGAAACAACATTATTGTGGCGGATGCCGTAACCATTTCGGCTCCCTACAAGGCTGACGACTGTCGAGCGATTATCGATGGCGATTCTGCAGCTCTTGCTCGGGTGCGCAAGGTGGTAAGTATCAAATTTACATATATCCTAACCTCTCAACTAACGAATTCAACTTTAGCTTGAGATGGAGCGTAAGAAGATCGAACTTCGCAATGCTAGCGCCACCATTGGATCCGCTAGCACATTCTCCCGCCAGCCCGATGTCCCCGGCGACCAGCGCAAAGGCGGATAAGCTTGCCAATCCTAAATTCCAAATACGCAGACACCTAGTGATATCATGCGGGAAGTCTAGCGTGGCATTCGAGCCTATCCCAGCGTTCGAAAACAGTTGATGGAAATACCCCAAGCAGAAGTCGATTTTGAAATGGGATCGATCGAGATGAATCCGAAGGTGGATTCGACGAGACGACTGCATGGCCAGACAGTCCTTTCATTCAAGGAGATGGATGACCTGCAGAATTCATTTGCTATAGCCCGGTTCTTGATAAAATCTGATTGTCACCATGCCGGACTGACTGCATTGCTACAAACTTACTGATATCCCCTTGTTTTTTGAACTTTGGGCATGTCGGTGCCCTCAAGCTGAGAATAGTCACTAAGTCAATTGCTATGATTCTCCATTCCAAGACAATGAGACAAACGTAGATTATTTGAATCCTAGTAGATTTGGCTCAGTCGTCATATCACTCTTTGGTGATATATGAACGTAAAATTACAACAGTCCAAAGGGAGATATACATTCCCTACAAACATCAGATGCAGACACCTAGCATATGTGACCAATATCCAGTCAAAAATCGAAACAATCAAAACAACCAAAAGCAAATAGAATAAGATGTCATTAATTCTCTTGCGATATATGCAAAATGTGACTTCATCCTTCAGCGACTGGGACCCGCCCAGGAACGACTTCACTAACGGCACCGACAAAGCCTTCAAGTCCGGAAATAGATAACGAACCAGAACCAGACGCAGAGGCTGCCGTGGTAGCAGCCTGGGACGAGATAGATGTCATTGAAATAGTGGGCATGACAAGAACCTGAGACCCCAGCTCGATCCACTCAACAGAAGATACAAGGGCAAAGGTAATCTTGACATCCTCTTTGAGCGCTTCTGCCGAAGATGCAACGCCAACAATGGAGGCGGGTATAGTTCCCGACATGACTTTGCTAATATCTGTTGCTGAGGGACGACGTCGGAATAAATCGGCAGTCCCCTCGCTGCCGAGGTCATTGGTAGAATTGCCGTTTGTTGTCCCGTTGCTGTGGGACTTACCCATGGAAGGAGACTGGGAATCACCGTCGAAGTTGAAGAGCTCCGGTTCAGAAGGAGACGGTGGCTCGGATATTACTTCTTCGCCAGTCCCCGTCAGCGCCATGCAGATGACGCGGACAGTGGTGCGGATGTTGGCAATATAGGCTATGGCATTGCCTCCAAGTAGTAGAGGAGGAGAGTTTGGAGCGGAGAACTCAGTAGATCGGAAAGTTGCAGTGAATCCGGTGTGGAATGGCAGTGGTAGTAGTGAGGGGTCCGGTGAAACAGAGGTGGCATATGGGGGTAACGTATATAAGTTCGAGAGAACCATGCCCTTACGGATTCGGCCAAGACGTGGTAGACTTTTGTTTTCGGAAACCCCGGTGGGCTCTATGCCGATTGTACCTACTTGATCTTTGACGAGGCGACGGACTGGTAGACGAAGATCTCTCACGCTGACGACGCGGATGCGCTGCCACCTTGCCTGTGAGTCTTTTCCGGACAGGAGGCTCTGCGGGAACGATGCGGACAAATCACCCGGCCCGCTGCGGGACAGAGTCCCCACTGAAGGTGGAGGCTCGTTGTTCGAGTCACTAGCAACATCCACAAGGATCGGACCAATGACCATCTCGTCGCCAATAGAGATGCTGCCATGGCGGACCAAGCCACAAAGGACCATTCCACGGTTTTCTTCATCGCCCTTTTCCGAGGCTATTGAGTAGACTTTCGAAGGTGGGATTGCAAAGACCTCGTCCACATCAAAAAGGTTACCGGTTTCATGAGGAGATACAGAAAGATTTCTGGGGAGACCTTGGATTCTCTGGGTGGGCTGCGCAGGGATCGGTAGATAGCGAAGGAAAGCATGCAGCTTCCCAATACCGGATCCATCCACGGCACTGGTCAGGACAATCGGCACAGTATTTAACCACTTCCCATCGGCAGCGTCGATAACCTTGCGTACTTGAGAGGTTTCCACTGCGCTTATTTGCTGAGATTCAAGCACTTTATCACCCGCAGGACTGGCTGGGAGCATTGCAGGCTTCCGGCTAGCGGTTTTTATTGCTGAAAGAACTTTGGCAAGATTCTCTCGTAGTCCACTGCGAGAAGCCAAATCTAGCTTGGTAATGATCACCAATACTGGAAGCTCTAATTTCAAGCAGAGCTCCAGATATGCCAGACAAAGGTCCATCTCTGAAGGCTCGGCACCTTGTTCGGGCGCAGAAGTCTCATCACCACAATTGGCAGGGATACAAAGCATCACGTAGTGCGGAGCCCAGCTAACAAGCCCTCGTAATGTTGACTTCAAATATCGAATAGAGCCCGGTAAGTCAGAGACAAAGGCCAAACGACCTCCATGTGTGGCGGCGTGGATATCATCCCAGCCAGCAACATTCCCAGATGCATAGTTGATCACGGTAGGGGGCCCCTCATCGGTGTATCCAATCAGTTCCTGGGCGACTGAGCTAGTGATTCCTGAAGAGATCTCGTGTCGATGCTTCAACAGACTTAACCTGCTTTTGCCCCTTCCATTATCCAGTGCAGAAGACGTCAATGTGCCCAGCAAGGAAGACTTTCCTGCGGTGCTGGGGCCTGCAATTGATATCCGAATTTGTTCCGTATGTGAGAAATCGTCGTCCGAGGCTGACACATTTCCGGGCCCAGTATTTGCAGTGTATTGCGAGTCACATATTGACTTGCCCTGGGAGATGTTGTAAAAGTCTAGATCTGGACTTACCAAAGCCTCAACAACCCAGAGTCCTTCGGTTGTATTTGTTAACAAATCAGGTGGTGCATCTAGTGGTGTATCTGGCGTTTCCACTGTCCACTCGCATTTCCCGACCACGACTCGGCGAAGGACCTCCACCTTACACCCAAGACTTGCAGCCATGGATTGGAGATTAGTGATGCTCTCATCCAGCTCATCCTGAGTGAGACCGACAAATGTTCCATCATCGGCAACCCCAATCTCATACAAAGCACCTTGGCTCTCCTCGAGCCCAGGGAGCAAGCGAGCAGGCTTTGAAGGAACTCCTAGTCGAGGTGTTGCATCAGGAAGAACAGGCAAAACCAGATTTGACGTGGTGGATGAATGAAATGGCGAGGATTGCTGCAGACGCCATAATAACTGGGTAGTCAACCCTTGTAGTCGTTGCTGTCGGCTCTGGTTTGATTTCGCTTGCATGGGTCTTGGAGCTGCTTCAGACCCCGGAGATGCCGAGACAGATGATGGAGGCATGTTGCGTGAATGGTATGATCCTGCCACTACATTTCCTGTCGACATGGAAACATAGGGACGTCTAGGTCGAAGCAGCAGATGTAACTTGTACTCTGTGGGTCCCTCTTGAGGCTCTGGCTCTAATTTGGAAATTCCATAGTCGGATAATAGAACTGGATCAGCGTGTAAAGGAGTGCCACTGGAGCGTGCACGAATTGCTAACCCACGACCACCAGGTGGCTTGAGTTGGGGGGTCGACGATCCCGAGGTTGACCACGGGGATGATACCCGTGGCGGGTCTGGATCGTACGTGAAGATGGATGCCATAGCTTAGAAAATTATAAATTTAAACCAGATATTGGATGCATCTGGGATAATAGACGCTGATATGGAGAAAAAGCAAACCAGAGGGAAATTTAAAGAATTGAATGCATTCTTGTACTGAGACAAGTCCCAAAGCACGGTGACAGCCAATACTGAGTCACAGACCAGTCACGGGCCAGTCACAGGCCAGTCACGTGGCCATCTTTCCCCACGACTTTCCTGCAACTTTATGTCGACCGTTTCCATATTTCTTGGTGTATGTGTATGAGGACGTTAATTAAATATACTTACTTGAGCATGGATATTATGGCCTAGACTTGAGCCCACCTATGGACCAATGTTTCGGAATTGGCCATCTTGATCTATATATTTTCACCAGGTGTCCTCCAATCATATGATTGACTGCTTGATTTTCAACTTTGAAAGTCCAATTAGCAAGATACAACCTTGGAAGCCTCTAACCTGACATGCAGAAGTTATATAAGCGCAAGTTATGCTCATTCAATATCATTTATAACGTGCAGCTCGCACATGTGACAGTGCCGAAGTATATGTTCGTATTCGAGCAACAGTAGCTATGGTGTCTGTAAACCCGTTTGAGTATGCCTCAGTCATAAAATCTCAACTGTGGGCTTTTAAACCACAGTTGTCAGTGTATGTAGTCTCGTATGTTTCATATGCCTCTGCCACAGCCTGATATGGCATGTAGCAGTAAATGGCATGGTATCGCTTGGCTATGCCCATCAACCACATGGTTCATTTGATTCAGCGTCAATCCGAAGCCGCACCGGTGGTTTTGTGGAACTGGATTGTGTCAAGGGGTAGACGGCACGGTTTCGATTCGGTGTCATTGCGAGAGGTTATATTCACAGCTGTATGCCCGAAGCGATAAATCTAAAGTCTTCAATGATAATTCAGTAAGTATTTGCTTGAATATTGAGAGGCTCTTTGGGATGAAATTCGCAAACATCGAGAAAATTCAAGCCTGTGATTTCCCCGACTTTTGGTACCTGAATGGAATGGACGAAGACGAACCTTGTTCTCAATCAGTCACTCGACGGGATTTAACGTTAGACAGCCCGTGTTCCGATTTTACATAGATACTAGATATCAAGTTTGAGAGTCAAGTTTGAGAGAAGTTTGTGATGAAGAGAGCACTCGGGGCTGTTGGCAATGCTGCGCCTGGACTACCACCTATCCTCCAAAAGACACGTTAGGATAGCCGAATAGTCAGTTCATTTCCTGTTTTAGAGTTATCTTGGGTGTGGTAGTTGGGTTGAGAGGTGGTGTCGCTGGAAAATCCAGAGTGAGAGAGACAGCCTAAGAACACCTTGAGGCCCCGGGGCAATCCTGCTGATAAGCAATCATGGGGCTATGACGATGTCGGGAGGGCTTGGTCCAGATGAACTGGCTGAGCTCTCGTAGTGCATTTTCATGAAGCTTTCTCGGGGCTTTTTTTTTTTGATTGATACCTGCTTTGAGCTTTGGAATCTGTATCTAAGGGAAAACCCACGTATCTATCCAGTGGCAGTCTAAGTAGAAGGCCAACTGTACAGATCTACTCGTTCCACTGCGAGTCAGTCATTGGTGACTGCAAAACCCCCAACGGGTGGTTGAATTTTGAAGTCTACTGCCTAATAGCTGTTGGTAATGATACACACTTACATCAAGCATTTATTTCACGCCATCATTCTGACAGTCCGGACCAGTAAACAAGTCTAATCTATGTATAGAACCCGGCCCCATTTCTAAACAAAGAATGCGAAAAGGGTAGCATTTATAGAATTGTATCTAAAGACTAACAGTATGAGCCAGCTCACACAGCATATTACAAGCCCTCAGTGCCGTCACCGCCAGATCCAACTGTGAGAATATGTTAAAAATGTATTTATAATGCGTTCATAGATATGCCCGATTTTATTGTCGAGAAATTTTGCATATTTCCGAGCTGGCTCAAGACATTTGAAAGTGTAAAAAAGATGAAACCCCGAATACTAAACTCCTGAATCGCCCCCAACCCCAAAAGTCATCGTAATTTGGGATTCTATTCCGCAGAAGATTCCCTGCCAGAGGCTTTGCATTTCCCTTGTGCAACATGGATATTGCGTGCAGTTGTACGTGTAAACACTGCACTACATACTGGGCACTCGGCTTTGGCGACGACACCTGACTTTTCTCGCTGATGGCGGAGGAGGTTACTGAAGGTTGAGAACTCGCGACCGTTGCAGCCATGATCCCAGCACTGTGGCCGCGGCCGTGAACTGACCAATCGGACTGGATCTGAATCTGATGTTGCCGCTGAATTGGGTGGGGAGTATATTGGCTCTGGGGAGACCATTGGTGGTGGTTGACAGCTGATGGACGCGGATTGGGATCTGCTAGTTGGTAACGAAGTTAGTTGGTGATTTCTTTGTTTCTGATTGAGAGACTACTTACGGGACTGATGGGGGGTCGGCATAGTAGTATGCCGGCTGATTTGTCATATAGGGAGGACTGTCAACAAGGTTAGAGTTCAAATCATTTGTGCCCTAATGTTTGCAAGTACTCCATTGGACTCACGTGGCCATGAGAGGCTGCTGGGGCAGCGGAGACGTATTTGAGGCAGATGCGGACTGGAAAGGGCGTGGTATAGGAGGACTCAACCGCAGATGTTAGTGTTTCCCTCAATGGCACGAGGAACGTGGCTTACCTTCGAGGTTGGTTTTGTCGAGCACCACTCCCAGGAGCTGCATGGTAAGAGGCCGGTACTTGCGGGGCATAACTAGGTAAAGGACCACTTGAATAACTAGGATAGCCAACTGGGTAGCCTGATGAAGCGTAGGAAGACTGCGAAGATGCAAATGGGGGACTCATGTGTCCATGTGGTGTTTGATCAGGATGATACGGACGATTTGCCCAAGCATAGTCTGAAAGAGTCAGTCAGCAGGCGCAGCTGGTCCTAGATATAGATAGATAGTTATTCATACGATGAGGATGATGCATTGGGCCAGCAAAATAGGCGTCTGATACTACTGACATGGGGTATGATGGGATGCCAAGGTCACTGTGAGTGGGATGCCCTAGTCAGAACAGATCCTCAAAACGCTCGTCGAAATATGACTTACGGGGGATTGTTTAGAGCAAGCCTCCCTTCAGTGGGGGTCTGACTTTCAACAGAGGACCTGAGAGTCGGTCTCTGCTGGTCGTTCAAAGCAACCCGATTGCGAGGCTGATTCGGGCTGGAATCCAGCGTTGACGTAGAGTGCTGCGGGGGAACCGACAGTCCAAAATCTTGTACCGGCTGTGAATTGTCTATATAAGGGTGATTCTGGGCAGACCACGTAGTGGCAGAGCGGGACAGAATCTGTGAAAAGTCTGGTGATTCGACTGATTCGACTGACTCGACCAATGAAGACAAGGACCCAGCTTCGGACTCTGTGGCTGGAAATTCAGACAAATCGGGAGGATTTCTGTGAGAAGATGATTTCGGTGAGCCGAACGCTCCGGGGAACATTAGGGACTATATAGGTCATAGACCTTAAACAGATTGCAAACAGTAGGGGGCGGAGCCGGTAAAGGGTATAAGGGGAAAATTGTCACTCGCATAAAGAATCAACATACAGGTGTCCGGTAGTCCCGTCAATCTGGTAGAAGAGCTTTAGTTTCTGATTGCCATCAATCCCAACTCGGGCGCAATGAAGTATTTAAAAGCGCATATAAGACGTTAGCTTATCCTCTCCGCAAGCCTTTCGGGATTTGAGGGCTTAGATTTGGCCGACCAAATAACAGCTTCTAGAATATCTGCTGCCCTAACCCTGACAGACGCGCAACTTGTGTCAGTTGCCCGTTGATTCTACTCGAGAATGTGATATCATTTGCCCCATGATCAAGAAAAGAAAAACTCTTGATGAGGTGGGCCGATGAGAACTATCACGAGCGAATTCGTGGACTTTTGGACCCCACAGATGACGGGACCCTAGCCCGAGCCTATGTGGGAATAGGACTCGGGAGGATTACGACTGGGGCCATGATTCCTCTAACGGAGTTTGGTCTGGGCGTCAATTTCTAGCCCCATTGTACTAAATAGTGAACGGGGGCCAAGTTGGGGCCTTTGGGGGCCATACGCTTGTAACGTGGCTGGAATTTCTCGAAACTTCTGGTTCTAAGCTGTATCTTCCGTCCGGTTACCTGTATGCTCGCTTGTAGGTACTTGAACACCATAACCGACCTGACGCTGCTTGAAAATGTGGTCTCCTATCAAATTTGGCCCCCACGAACGCGCGGTTAATAAGAGATTCTTTTTCCCTCTCTTTCTTTTTGTTTGCTACGTGGTAATCAATTCTGGGTGGATGTGGCTTTATGCCCTAATTCAAAATCATTAGGTTTTCTTCTTTTCACTCCACTGCACTGAGAGGATGGCTCGATCTAGGCAGAGTTGTGCCCGGAGCGATGTAGATCCCGGGAACCACAGGACGTTTATTCGGCCCCAGGCGATCCAGCCGGTCTCGCTGTTGGAATAGGGAGTCCGGGTATTGGACAGTTGGCACTGTCCGAATTAGCGTTGTTATAGGTCTTTTGTGACCAATATCCCAATTTAAAGGGGCCCACCGGTGGTCTCGCGTATTAAAATGACTGTAAAAAAAGGTGGAGCTGGAATCGCCAAGGCCCATTTGAAATATCCTAACTGTCCAGGGTCTTTCATGACTATGGGAAGTCTGTAACCCGGTCAATTAGCGCTGTGGCAAATTGTCAGCTCCCGAAGCCATGGGGTAGTGAAGCCAATCGTAACCGCTCGGGAGCGTACGATCGCCTCTCTCCACAGGGGCCCGGGATCCGCACTTATCAAGAAATTGTGTGTATCTGCGTGGGAGATCATGGCGAGTTAATGCACCTAACGTACAGTAGTATTATAGATTAGGGTATATTTGCTACTGTTTTTCTCCCTCGTGGAAATTTGCAGACCCACAGGAATCACAGCATCACTACTTGTTTACCAATGTTGGTCTATTAAGCTCAACTTGATCATGGGTTGGTTGAGCTCGATATAGCTCTGTGGTCAAATGTATATTCCAATATGCCCTGCCCTCAACCCCCGCGTTCTGGTGTTGCACTGAGCCGATAGGTAGAAAATACAGTTGATCTGGCCCGAGTGTGGTGGTATTTAGCAAGATTGGCGAACCCACCAAACAAGATTTGACACATGGGCTAATTGCCAAAATAGAGTTGGGATATAGAAAAAGAATTCTTTGGCGTCAATACTATCAGCATCATGCACCAACGTTGCTTGATTCGGTTTCGGTATTTTTGTAGGAAAAGGAACAACACAACGAGCACTGCACATAAGCTCTAGGCTCTTTTGAGGACGGTATGTTGGCCAAGGTCTGAATTTTGTAAATCCTGCAGTACACAGAACTTTCCCACATGCTCCTTGTTGGTTGTATTTATGGATCAGCGCAGGGGTTATTTCACTCGCCTGCATACAGCATCAAGAAAATTGAAGTTTACTTGACCGTTCTTTTGTACATGATATGGAACTAACTGTTAGGCTTCAGTTCAAAGTCTAAAGAAGCTGAGAATGATGAAGATGCGGTGAACGCTCCAGAGCCCATCCATCTGTATTGCGCTGGGGACCTGTTGGTGGTGGTGCGACAGCCAATAATCGAAAAAGAATATACCAAAACCTATTGATGATGCGTTTATCGATATACTACTCTCTTACCACTACTTCTCAGACAATCCACAACAATTTGTTCACTAAACTGAGTAATCGGTCGTTGAAATGGAAAATCGTGAAGCCCAAATACCCATCACGTGATTGATATCACCTGACCCGATCTTCTCTGCGTCTGGTTTATCACCAACATCAATCCACGTCCGCCTTCCCCACATTCTGATAGCTCTCTGGTGACTTGATAGTTCATCAAAGTGAAAGAATTCCTGCCTTACAGCTCACACATTCATCATGAAGCTCGTCCGGTACGCGATCCCACTCGGTGCGCGCGAGCACCAGCTCCGCCAGGCGCATCACCTCCATTGACTCCCACTGACGTATATTTCTCTTTCTAGCTTTTTAATGAAATGTGCCAATGAAACGGTCACTGTTGAACTCAAGAATGGTTAGTCCCGCGTGCAATCCTTGTGAACCCCAAGACCGTCGAACTCCCCGAAGTTGCCATTCCGCCCAAAAAACCAAGACACGTCTTTCCTAACCTAAATATGCCATGTAGGCACCATCCTTCACGGAACTATTATGTCTGTGTCCCCGCAGATGAATACCTCTCTGCGGACTGTCAAGATGACCCCAAAAGATCGTGACCCAATTTCCCTCGACACGATCAACATCCGCGGATCCACGATTCGCTATTATATTCTGCCAGACAGTTTGCCCCTCGACACTCTGCTTGTCGACGATGCGCCTAAGCCCAAGAACAAGGCGCGGAAGGAAACAGACCGCGGCCGTGGCCGTGGTGGACCACGAGGCGGCCGAGGCCGTGGAGGTGGCCGTGGTCGTGGCCGGGGGCGTGGCTTCTAAATTTCTTTCTGTTTTATTGAGAGGACAATCTGGCGTTTGTTTCTGTCTTCGAAATTTCTCTTGAATATGCATGATACGGGATGCCTCTTATCCCATTTTTTTTCATTCCCCAGGGGCTCTGGTTTGGATGGCAATCAACTGAGAAAAGCAATTGAATCGAACTTATCTTTCCTACTATCCGAGGCGCATATCTCGATCTCGCGGATCCATATTACGAGACGTCTGGTGAATAATCGGCAAGCATCAAGCTATCCAGATAATGCGAATATACAGTACCTGCGAGGGTGCGTCCAATTTGGACCATGTATGCTTTTCGTTCTTGGCCTCGTCTGGACCTGCCAAACCCGGTGGATCTTCCACTGATCCACGATGATGTCTCAGAAATTAATCTGATTGATACAAGAGTAATACCCAAAAAGTCATGCATGCATCTTGAGTAGATCACCGTTCCCGCTAGTAAATCCCAAACAGCCTGTCTCGTACTTTGTGACTGCACCGGCTGAGTGACACCCACTTGTATATATCAATCATCACGAACTAAACCCACACTGGGACACCCGGAATTGAATAACCCGCGCCCAAATTTGTAGCCTGACTGGGGTTGCTGCCCGGTCTAGTCGGGCTTCACTATCCTTGCACTCGCATGCCGAGACAACGGTCTCTGGAATTATCTGTATTGTTTTTGCCAGCGCCTTCTTAGCTCACCGTGAATGACCCTGTCACATACAGTATAGTTCAAGTCATGTCACAATTTGCACCCAATGGGCAGAGAAAAACAGACTCCGTATGAATACTAGCACTCGGGCTTTCGTGACCGCTATTCTTTCCCGTCGACTCATCATCCAGAGTGTTTGGCAAACAAGGATATAGATGCATTCCGCATCTGCATTCGACAGTCAGCGTGCTAGGCGCACGTTGCCAAGGAGCGAAGTAATACGTGTAAATATACTAGAAACTAGTGAAGTCTTCCGAAAGGAGCGGAGCCTTGTGACGATCTCCAGCTTAGGCTAGAAGGCTAAACGGGCTCATGGTTGTCTGCCACTATACTCTAGTAGGCCAACGCCCCTGTATGCGCTTCCAAGCCTCAACTTTCATGCAGCTTGATGATCCTGACTACGTGTCTCTCGGGATTGGATACCTTTGCCTCGTTTCGAGTCACCAAGATCTTTAGGTCAAGGTAGGCTTCGGATCCGAGTCGAGTAAGAAAGCGGTTGGAGATTATCAGCCATTTGGCGGCCTTTGAAACACTAGTAGGTCAAATCTGCAATCACACAGTAGTTTTGTAAAGTAAGAAACTTCCAAGAAAGGAAGGTCAGTATCCTCAAGATTGCCCTGGTATCAAATCACTGCCACGTGAATAGATTGCGCTAGTTTTAAAAGTGAGTAGATCCCGTAAGGACTAACGGCGGCCTAGTATGAACTGTACATAGTGTACATGCCGGGACAGGGTGCCTACTGCTCGTCTTTGGATTGGTTGGGTTTTTAGTTTTGATATCATATAGTACCCGTGGACGCATATTGAGTTTGAGCAATTAATTTCGGTTTGATTGCAGATCAGCAAGTGCCCTTGTCCAGGGATCCACACGACAACGAGGCTGAGACAGTCAATTTCATTAACTCGATGTGGCAATCGCTTGACAAAATCTCCACGGCTCATGTCAGGTTCACCCTGATCTTCTTCACTATCTAGACCCGCTGTCTGGGTTCATGTAAAGGCGCCACCGCCGATCTCAATAGCAACGCAAAAGGCAGAACCGGTGCCCCGGTACACGAACGTTGAGGCCATGGCTATTGGCTCTGTTTTATCTCTATGGAACCCGTGGGCGCTACTTGTCCGGTGATTTCAGCCGTGGATCTCATCGTTCCAGTTAGGGGTTAAGGAATACGATACGTTACCGATCTAACCTGATGTCAGATAAGCGAGGATTGTCTGAACGTGGTACTCAGTGGCTGCTGATGATAATAGGGGCACATCGATATTGTAAAATATGCTATATCTTGTTGGCGATATCACCGTTGGCGTTCAATAGGGGAACTGGGAAATAAGCAGATCAAAATACATTCTTTGACAAAGTGGCATGACTGGACTCTCCAAGTGGACTATGATATACATGATAAGATAGAGCTGGGCCTGGACGATGTATCGATAACTTATGAAAGACGTTGACTAGTTGCTGGCGTGCTCATGTCACTCATGATTCAAAATCCTGGGCATTTCTCTCTAGAGATCAGCAAGTGTGTTCAATTATGTTAGTAGACCAAATTGTAACACCTTTAAATTGTTGTCTACAACTCAAGAAAACTCTTGTATTTACCATTTTTAAGGATATCAAATCATTGAGGCGTTCATAAGTAGCTACCCATTTCGATTACTTTTCTCAAACCTAAATTTGCTCTAATATGAATGTTAATAACATTATAGAATGCTTCTCTGTTCTCATTTGCGATAGAGATACGGGATGGTGTGATTTTCATTCAAAAACTAGAGCTCATACTTTCTACGATACTCTCGGAGAATGTCCAAATAGACGTGATATACGTGCAGATTATCCCATCCACTAGCCCTCATATTTCAGACACGGTCATGATAAAGAATACAAGCAACAAATGGTATCTTATTTCAAAGCGCTTGTGAACCCAAAATGTTGATGATAACTATAAGCCATCGTCTCTCCAAATCCTCACAATAACCAACTTCTCCCACCCAGCCTGCATCCCACTTGACCCTACCGACTCTGCCTTCCATCCACCCCACCCACGAATCCGTTCTTTAACATCCTCGGGATTATTTTGCTTGCAAAGCAAAACATAAGCCACACCAGTTGGCGACAAAACCCCCGGAATAGCATCAAGCAATCGATCCGTAGTCTCCATACCATCAGCACCACCAGCATAAGTCAACGACAGAAAGAAAGAATCACTGTCAAACTTGGCTGAACGAGACATAGCCGCCGTAGCAGTAGGATCATTATCAACAGCCGAAGGCAAGCGAGGCAAATCCTCCGTGGGAACATAAGGCGGATTGAATAGCAAGACATCAACACTCCCAGAACGAAGAGGTGCACACAGATCAGCCGTTAATGAAGAGACGTGAATAGTGCGAGGATGTGGCTGCTGCTCTGCGTTGATGGCATTTACTGCCGTCTCTCGTGTTGCCAAACACGCATTGCGATTCACGTCCGTTCCCAGCGTGAGGATATCGCGTCGACCGAAGATCTTTTCAGACTGTGCGGCTGCGAAGCCCAGAACCACACCTGAGCCTGTGCCTACTTCAACCACTAGTGGTGATGTATGCTTTGTTCTATCGAAGCGTTCAGAGAGCCATTTTGATTCGGATGCTGATGACAATGTGTCGAGGAAGAGGTACGAGTCCTCGGAAGGCTCATAGATTGTATCGAAGGATACATGTGATGTATCCGGTGTTGGCAGCATGATTTGAAATGTTCAATGAGTCGATATGCAGCAAATTCCAGTGATGTATCAAGTATGGCCGGTGTTAGCGACGCTGGTGGGGTGTCGCAATGATATTGAGAAGATGAAAAAAGAATGCCGCGATATTGTCTCAGCTCTGCACCTCACACACTAGCGTCTCAAATTCCACTTTAATTGCCTTCGAATATACAGCATCAAAAGCATCAAGCAACACAGGAAGAAAGAAAAAGCCTCCAAAGAGCCGAAAGTCATCCCGACCCGCTGATTCGCGCGTGCCGCTCGCCGCCTTTGACAGAAAACCCCCAGGAAATTATGTCATTCGACTTCAACATCCAGCTTCTCTCGAACATTTACGATGCGTGTCGCTCAGCGTTTACTCATGGCTACGCCGGCCTCGATTGGCTCGAAGGCTAGTCTCAGTGAGGCCCTTGCACTGCTCCCGCCGCTGCAGCTGTACCGCCGCATCCTGCGCGTTCATCGCAAGCTCGACCCGGAGATGCGTGTGCTGGGCGATTCTTATGTGAAGAATGAATTCCGCGCACACCGGACCGTGGAGAACCCATTGCATATTGTATGTTTATTCCTGATGGTGTTGGGACGGTTGTATTGAGGGAAGGGAGTTATCGAGGAAGCGGAGCTGCGGACAGACCGGGTGTTAAGAGTAGAGCTGTTGCTGACATTAATCGTGATAGATCGGCTTTTTAACCGAGTGGCAGCTATATGCGCAAAAGCTGGAGGGTGAGCAATGGGCTGGAGAGAAGCTGGACAAGTCCAAGTTTGACAAGATGAGTGGTATGTTGTTGTTCCTATCTCGATCATAAAAGTGAATGCTAACACCATTCTTTGTAATAGATCAACAACTTGGACAGTTGCTCGAGTTGATGCAGGCTATTCGCAATGACGAGGGCGAGAGCAAATGAGTCAAGATCCATCGAGACCAAACATCGAGGGCTCTGAAGCAATCCACAAGAAGCTTCGGAGAATGAAGTCTTGCCTTCCCCAAATGTAACACTGGGGGAAACTTGTGACATTTGGTGGAGACCTGGTCAAGTCATGCTGAGAGATGCTGGCATTTCTCATGTTCCCCCCAGCTCAACATACATAGAAAGCGAACAGACGTGGCTGTGAAGCCTCGTTGACTGTAAGATAGTGAATACAAGCTAGTGATGCCATTTTCTCTCCCCCAACCCTAAGTCCAGGCACAAAGCCGAGGCCTAGCCCACTCAACCCAATAGTCCCACCGAATACCCAATGCGACTCAATGCGCAAGACGATAAACCAACCTCGACTAGAAAGATCTCCAGATTTCAGTGGAGCCTGCGCCCTCCCAACGACAAGCTGAGTCATCCCTTGAAAGTGGGAGCCCCGAATGCCGGGGTATATCAAATTCTCAACTTCATTCATTCCCTCCAAAGTCAATTGAGAAAAAACCCGAAGAACAAATCGCCGAGTCTCTCAAAATGCCTGCTCTTCTGGAAGACCCCTCAACCCGCAATCCCCCACCAAATGCCCACATCGCAGCAGCGCCCACTCTGGAAGCGCGGCACATAACTCTCCCAAAAGATAAAAATGCCAAAATGACTCTATACCCGATAACCGAAGGACCTAAATCCCTTCCACAGGATCTAATCCGTTACCTGCACGAAGAGTTCAGCGCGGAGATTATCCGTGGTGGTACTTATCCCATGGAAGAGCCTCTGCCACTGGAGCAGTTTGCTGAATACTGGTTTGGGACCTTTGCCGTCCTCGCCATTCTAGACGATGTGAATGGCGGCGAGGGACTTCAAGAGGGAAGAGATTGGAAGACTGTCTGTCAAGGCACATTTTATATCAAGCCTAATTATCCTGGTATGTCTGATCTTATTTCCTTTTCTCTGTATCATCAAGTCCTTTGCTTATGGTCATACGACAGGTCGCTGCTCGCACATTTGCAATGCTGGATTTATTACTACCTCCGCAGCTCGGGGTAAAGGCGTTGGATACGCTATGGGAGAGGCCTATCTTGATTTTGCACCCAGACTGGTACGGACACCTTCCTGATATCATTTCAGCTCTGCCGAGCGCAGTTGTTTGTTGATCGAGCAACTGCTCCTTCAGTAGCTGGTTATGCACCACCATTGAAACAAGACTAATCTATCCGAATTAGGGCTACACGTATTCCGTCTTCAACCTGGTCTTCGCAAACAACCCAGCTTCAATCCGCATCTGGGAAAAGCTCGGGTTTAATGTGATTGGTCGCGTGCCCAAGGCTGCACGACTTGCGAATAGCGAGGAGTTGGTTGATGCTTTGATCTTCGGACGGGAGTTGGGGAACTAGGGTGCCAACTTGGTTTTCGTGTGCTGTATGCAAATAACTTGTCATTGTGTAATTAGTTTGTGCATAGGAATGCTATTTGAGAAGTCGTCATATAGAAGAATACAGTTTTCGTAAATATCACTCGATATCAAGTACATAACCACTCTCACAGATCGGGGACATACATAGACCAGAGAGAAAACACTCTCGACAAAACGTAATAAACTACAAATGCTGTTCACATGTAGCATAGAAGCAGGAGAAAACAGAATGTAATAAAAGGTTATAAAAAATACTACCCAAGAACAAAACAATAAAAACCGGAAAAAAAGTAGAAATGAACCCAACGCTCAAACCATACCATGCAAACAATAGGGATATCACGCAAAACCGGGCTTTCAAGATGACGTAGTAGCCCTCGTCCTCAAATCTAGGAGTCTGGCTTATGTATGCATATGTAAACCAATAACCCAATCAAATCTGGACGAGGGGTGTAATGCACAAGGTGGGGAAGATGAGATAACTTAGACAGAGTAGAAGTGAAGATGTTAGGACTGTTGGGTTGGAACAGTGTTGATGAAAAGGGAGATGAGGGTGGATAGAGATAGAGATGGAGAGAGAGGGAGGTACTATAGGAGGAGGGAGGCTATAGTACATGAAACACAACACATGCACAAGGATGCGGGTAATGATCAACGCCACGGAGGACGAGTATCAACCTTTTGAGCCGTAGACTTTTGATCCCGCGTAGGCAATGGGAGAAGACTAATCCGCCTATTGGTCGAATGGCCGAGAGATGTACCCGGCCGCGAGGACTTGCTAGGCGTCTCAGGTACATTTGGAGCATGTGAGACACTCCGGGTGAAAGTTGAGCTCACGCCTGCGTAGCTCTGGCGACTGCGGGGTGTGTTTGACATGACCGGCTGTCGGCGTAGTCGACTATATGGTGGTGGGTCCAGGAGTGAGGATCGCGGGGTTGGAGAGAGAAGGTTCCGCGAGGGACTTCTATCACCGAATTGAGAGGAGATGCGACTTGTTGATCTGTATGTGCCCGGTACTGGAGATGCTGATGTGTCTCGGTGGAATGAACTTGGGAATGGGATTGCTGACGAGGGCCGGGGCGTGCGAGAGATCGGGGCGGAAGATTTGCGGTATGTTGTATATCCAGTGTCTAGATCATTGGTGTTGGTACTTCCGTTCCACCGGGGACGGTTGGGGTTTGTGGATGGCGGCACTGGCGTGCGAGATGTGTAGCGGGAAGCCGGGGTCGGCGTGAAGAGACTTGTGGATCTTCTTGATGGAGTTGGAGATGTAAGGCCAGATGGTTGGGGGATGCTTGACTTTCGGCCTGTGTAGTTCGCTGTGGACTGCGGCAAGCCAGAGTAACGCCGGGTCTTGGGCAAGGCTGATCGAGTTGTGGTGCTTCCCGCTAAGCTCTCGCGCCGGCTTGAACCACCCAAGGGAGTTGAGGCGCCCTTGTAGCTGGGACCAGTTATGATAACCGACGAGGCAGGCGAGCTTCCTGGAGTATCGACGGCACTGCCTGTGAGTGGACTGTCCATGGTCAAGATGCTAGAGATTGAGTCTCGAAGCTGCTGGCCTTTGACAAAATGCACGTCTTCAAGAGAGGTATCCATGACCTTGGTGCTAGCCTTGAGAGCATCCGTGCGCGATGTCATATCAGACAAAAGACGTAGAATTTCACCATTGACAGTCAACCGGTCATTGACACCCTTCTGAATGATGGAAATCACACGCTCAATCGCTGGTACATAATGCATCTTCTTCGCCTCGTAGTTCTCAATGCGCTTCTGCAACGTGACCGGGTTGTTCAGCTGCATGCCACTTTCCAGCCCTTCTTGCAGCTTGCCAATGCTGCGCTCCACGGACTCAAACATCTTCTGTGCCTGACTTCCAGCATTGCGGAAAACCAGAATCCACTTATCCTCTCCCAGCTCCTTCCGTAGAGCTTCCGCATCTGTCTCAAGAACCTGATAGCTCTTCTCCAACCTGTTTCGTCGATCCTCAACCTCCTCACATGCACTCGGGAAGATAGCTTCAGCCCGTGCCTGGAACATGGATAATCGCATAGGCAAAAAGTCCAGTGAGGCACGGAGCGGCTGCATGCGCGCAAAGATGGCCATCAGATTCGAGTGACTCGTATCATCCTGCGGTGTTTTGATGACAGGGGTGCCAGCAGCCGAAGCCAGAAGAGGACCAATGCTCAGGCGTTGAGAGGCCGCGCGACTCTTAGTAGGAGACTCTTCCACGATTGTCTCCAGCTCGTTGATATCAAGACCACCAGTCGTCTCACCCGTATCCATCAAGGCCTGGTGCCGCTTCTCCTCCATCTCGAAGATCAACCCGCTGAGGTTATCAACTTCCATACCCACATCACCGAGAACATTTGACCAAAGCTCTTCCCACTCCATCGCCAATTCAACTTGCTCTTTCACACCTCGCAACTTATTTTTGATCTGTTTCCAGTTGTTGAGGATACTCTCCATCTGACTAACAATCGTTGTCAAACTCTCCACATCAACATTCGCAATATCATCCCGTAGCTGCACATTCTCAATGGCGCGCACGTACACATTAACCAAGCATTCAAACCGAGTAATGGCCTTATCAACCCCATCAAGACCCTCCCGTCCACCAGCAGCAGCCCATTCAACGTCATCCTCGGAGTCCAACCCACTCAGCACATCAGATGCTTTCTTAATCCAAATCTGGATCTGCTCTGCAGCTCCATTCAAAGCCCTGACAGCCGAAAGTGCCGTCGCAATCTTGGTAATGCTCGCCTCAAGCGAATCCGGCTGCGGGAGAGGAATGGACGTCAGCTGCGACAGCTGATTGCTAAATGAAGCGCGGGAGAAAGAGTATATTGATTCCGCGCGTTGGAGACCCATGGGGTTGAAATAGGACTGGGAATTGGATGATGAGCGCGAATGTGTGTATTCAGGCGGGGAATCCTTTGGCGGGGGATCAGGCGCGCTCTGCGCATCTTGATTTTCTTTGCGGGCCGTATCGTCAACGTATTTCTGGAAGTCGGTGCGATCGTCTTGGATAGGATTGCTAGGTAGGAGGGTCGGTTCGGGGTGTGTGCGCACCGGCGCCTGCGCTGGTTCCACGACGGACATTGGCGCTGGCAGACTGGCGAAGTCGGTTGTTGGAGGGAGCTCGTCCTGATGCTCAGGCTGGTGCTCGGGCTGGTGCTCGGGCTGGTGCTCGGACTGGTACTCAGGCTGGTACTGGGGCCAGTCCTGGTTGGGGCCGTCCTCGACCGCTTCGGTTGAGACAGCCTCCTCCTGTCCGTGTAACTCCTGTCGACGTGCGTCTGCAATCTCTTGGAGAATATCTTGTTGGGGGAGCTCGAGGTGGTTTGAAACGGTTCTGCGCGGGGGATCGTGGGCTTGACCGGGCGAGGTACCTGAACCGTTCCACGCTTGGCCCCTCCGCTCGACTTTGATTGACAAGTCCTGGTTGCGACTGTCCAGCTCCTTCAAGTGCTCTTCCGGGATTCGACCGACAGCATTTGGGTTTTTGGATTGTAAGGGAGACTTGTTACTGCCATCCAACAATTTAACGCGGGCTGCGAGGGCCGGGGAGAGTCGGCGGAGGATTGATTGCCGGGGACCGCTGTTTGGTCCGGTATTGGGCTCGACTGGAGAGCTTTCGTCTTCGTTGTTACTGCTCCCTAGACTCCACAGGGATGACTTGGACTTTAAACGACGGAGGGTGGAGGTGCCGGTGTCATTTGGGGAGACGGAGAGCGCGGGGGTGAGCGACGGAGGTGAGGCAGAGACTATGGAGGCGTTATAAGGATGCGCAAAGTCGGTCGCAGAAGTTGGACCGTCGACTGTGGCATGCATGGAGACAAGGCCCTTGAAGGGTGAGCAAAAGGACCAAAGGATGCGATCCAGACAGGGATAGCTGGAATGTTTCGTCTCTCGGCAAAGGTGTAAGTGTAACACCCTTCTATGAGAGGTGTGGAGTAGGTAGAATTGTCGAGAACAAGCTACATGTAGTCTGTCAGTTGTCCTATAGTTCAGGTGAAGACGAAGATATTGGGCAGCAAAGAGAGAAAGAGGGAAGTGTGGCCTGCCCTTTCAGCCCCGTAGATTTACTATGGGGCCCCGTTATGTCTCCTCGGTATGTGAGGGACGATGAAATCATGTCTTATATTCCTTTCTTGTTTCACTTAGAGTGTTTCTCATTGAGATCTCTGCAATTTGCATTTTATATCTCTTCCCTTTCCACGACTGAATTGACGCTCAGGAGTGTCCTGTACACGTCAATTGCATATGATGTTCAACGTCTCTGCAGATCAACACGGGCTACAATCCATGTTCGGGCCACAGGCAACTTATCCACTCTGGATGCATGTATGCGTCTATGGAGAGTACTAGTATTATAGGTACAATGGATGTAAAATTCCGAAAAAATATATATAATGAGAATTCAAATATAAGGGCAGAACAGTCGGCGACAATTCAGGGGTATCGTATCAAATGCCCAAAGAGAAAAGGAACAAGAACCGAGATGCAAACATGCACTTCCAACAATTAAATCAGCCCAGCACTTGGGGGTCGTCCGGGGTTGGCAGCTTGCCAGTCCCGTACCAACTCCTCGCGGACAGTTTTACACCAGGCCAGCAGTGCAGTGTCAAATTGCTTCCAGGCCTCGGCACCGCTGTTCTGTACAACACCCATCACATCAACATCCAAACGCAGCTCCCATCGGAGCTCTGCGGCTTTCACCCAGTACCGAAGGTTGTCAGCCTGCCGGTATGGCTTGGCAATGTCCTGGTGGTGCGCCGTGATTTCCCCGAAGTTGCGTTTGGACTTCTTGATCGCGAGGTTATGTAACTGGACCAATGCACGTCCATCCCGAAATTGATCCAGGAACCGGGTTGGCAAGGATTCGCTGGGTGTGTCTTCAACGGGTGTCCAGGTAGGCAAGGAATCACCGCCAGGCATCAAACTGCGCAGGAAGGACTCTTCGCGAGGGCGCTCTCGGCCTCTCCAGTCGCCAGCTGCCCAATCCCAATTTTGCCGCTCTTGAGCTTCGAGGTCTTCAAGGGCTTTCTCGCGGACGAGCATGGTGCGCACACCGGAGATCCACCCCTGAATTCGATCGCGCTCTCCCTCGCGCAGACCGCTAGCAAAATGCCGAGCAGCCCAGCGCTTCAACACCTCCAGCACGTCAAAGAGCTCCTTGCGAATCTCGCGCTCGCTTTTGATCGAAGCTAGACGTTCTGGGTGTTCATGAGCAGTGTAGTAGATCTTGGCCGCTCGGATCGCATTCGTCACATCATCCAAAATACACATGCCTTGTGCCTCTTCCTTGTTCTTCGGAGTGGGAGCCTCGCCAGCTTCCTCTATATGACTATCGGGGACATCCCCTGGAGAAAGACTGTTGCGGATAGGCTCACGCGGAGGAGGCTCAGCACCATTCTCAATAGCCTCGATATCGGTTTCCGCCTTGTCCAATGCGAGCATCAATCGCCGGCGCAAAGAGATCAAATCCGGCGGAGGAGGGATATGATGCGTTTTGATGCTGTACGTGCTGACAGTGGGTGGCAGCATCACCTCGGCATCCTCATCCTCATCCATTTCACCCTCGGCAGAGTCCGCCATATCCGTAGGGCTGGACACCAAATCGTCCATGTGTCGCTGATTAGGGGTGATCAACACCCGCGGCACGCTATCCTTCCCCTTCTTCTTGTCCTGGTCCCATTCCTTGCCCCGACCACCTTTTCCATCCAATAAGCCCGTCCGAGCAAAGTAATATTGTAAGTGGGCGATGCTGCCGAGGCTCATAACACTGTCGCGATGGCGGGCCGAATCCGCGAACTCGGCTCCCAATGCACGGATGTATCCATGACGCCGGGACGAGGTCGACACGGACGATCTGGCATCTGCGGAGGTGGCGGAGGAGGTGGAGCGGGAGGACTCGGAGGAGAATGTACGATCAGGGGAGGAGTATGACGAGATGGCAGGTGTAGCTGGGATAGAAGGCGAGGGTGAGGAAGCCCGCACAGCAGCCGGGAATGCCTCAGTGTCTGTTGAGCGTCGTGGCTCGTCCATTGGGAATTTGCTGTGGGTTTGACTTCAGGTTGGAATGTTGGATCGGGGTCGCGGCGTGGTCCCTGGGAATGTTCGTGAGTTGGACATGTGGCGGATTGTGTGCGACCAAGTCAATGCTCCCGAGGTTGAGCGGGCTATATAAGCAAATTAATGAAAGGACGGATATTTAATGAAACATGCAGGATCGACGGACGAGAATCTCTTTTTGGTCAAAAGGGGGGCTCTCGACTAACCGGGGCTAGTAGGGGGTTGCGGGTCAACGGCCGCCCACAAAGAGATGTATTCTTTGATCAAGGATGGATGGGATATCCCCTTACTTGATCGATGGATGAGGTTGCAACATTTTCGACATGGAGAGAGAGAACCAACATCCAAGCTGGGAATACACAGAGACCAGGAAGGGAAGTCCCGTGTTGGTGGATTGCCTGGTTAGGCTTAGCTGCCCCGCGTTCCATGGTTGAGTTCTTATGCTTAAGTATGGAAAGATCAAAGTTGAAGATGAATTAGGAATGCTTGAGAGGAGAATGCTATGGTATATGTCCCTAAACGCCATTTTGATGAAATTAGTTCTTCGCATTGAAGATGTCCTTCCGGTCCCACCCAGTGGGCCTAATATTGTCAATGCCTTTTGACGGATGGTCACGCGCAGGATCATAGTACTCAGTCTGGAACGGGTTTGGATCGAGAGCCTGGTTGAGGTTGCCGAGTGTATGGTTGACCTCGCGATGCTTGGCCTCATCGGCACGGACATACATCAGCAAGTCCCGCATCTTGCGCTGACCCTCTGGCATCTGCCAGTAGTGAACAGCAATCTCGGGTGCATTGAGATCATTCCACTCTGGAAGCTTGTTGGATTCCAGCTCCTCAATAGCACGGGTGTATGTAATAACAGCTTCCTCCTCGAGGTATCCCACAAATCGGTGGCAGATACGAGGCGAGACCAGGTAAGCTAGGAAGAAGCCATTGAAGAAAACGCCTTGGGCGCCGAGGACCATCAGGCGCATGAACCAGCCAGGCTCAGCCAGTTTCAAGAATGTGAGAAGGTGCATCCGTTCGTTGAAGGCTTCCTCGAGGAGGGTCTCGATCCTATTGACAAGACAAGTCAGTTACTGATCTCTCCATCGTGGATTCGTAGACTGATCACATACCATCCATTATCTCTCTTCATCTTGCGCAAACTGCGCAAATGACGCAGCATGCCACCCACCATTCCTGGGACACCCGCCACGCTCTCGAGGAAGATAAATCGAGTCAACCACTTTGACTCGGTCATCTTAAAGCTAGCAGGAAGTTCCTCGCCCGCCTTGGGGTGTCTGTACCCTGTGGCAATGTCCATGCCCCATCGGAAAACACGGACAGTGCCGAGGGCAACCCAGTCGGACCAATTTGAGGCCTCACGGTGTGCAATATGGATATCCTTCATTTGGGCTTCGGTATAGCTGGCAAAGGGTTAGCTTCTATCCGAGCGAGAAGAACACGGGTTACTCACACAGGGTGTACCCAAGCTGATTGTACCTCCTTCACATTGGGGGCTTTGGGAGGCGGGAAGAATTCCTTGATCTGGTTTTGGTGTGTAGATGAGATCAAGCGTTTGGTATGACTGAAGTTGCTGGTTCGTAAGGACGAGCTCAATGTTGTAACTGTCATGCCCGAGCACGTTTGAGCAGCCAGATGTAGGTAGTGTGGTCGTACTGCAACCCGCAAAGGGGCCGAAGTTATGAGGGAATTCATTTGATAGTTGATGAGAATGTGTGTAGATGGTAGGTATGAACTATGAGCAGAGCAAGAGAGCAAGGGTGCCTTAAATATCTACATCGGCCCTTGGAACAAAAACAGGCACCCGATCCCACGCGAGTAAAACTCAGCCCTTGACGGGTTCGTGACGGGATCCTGACGGGATCTCTGAGCTTCACAAACAAGAGCCTGAAAACGAGAGATGACAATTCGTATACTTCATTGGCTCCACCTTATTCAACCCCCCACATATCCTTATGCGTCCTGTATGAGCCTCCTGGCCTGATCGACTGGAGAGTTATCAAACTATGAATATCCCTGAACAAAAAGTAAATCCACCAGGCTTCCCATTATCTCTAGAGAATATTTTGTACTCGCTTTTTACTGTCTACTTCCCAACTTTTCCCACGCAAATTTGCGCAGGTGACCTCGGGATAGACCGGGCGAGAATGACTCAGCGCAGTGCAGAGAAGCCCGAGCCTTGCCCGTCTCGCCTTTCGTTAGTTCCGATCCCGAGATGTCATTTTCAAAGCCCGAGTCCAAAGAACCAATAGTGGTTTCCATATTTCCTCACCGGCGTCGAGGATGACAACAAATTTGTCTCCCGGATCCTGCCGAACAACTTTATCCTCTTGGTTTCCCCCATACACTGAATCATATACGCTATCGTCTCAAATCAATCGACGGTGTGAACCAACTACCCCGGATGTATGTAGCGAGCAAGACGGTCACCGTATCAGTCACGGTGATCGACGATTTAAATTGGATCTTGATGTCACGAGGGACTTCCATGAACAATCTGGAAAGATACCCAAAACAGCCTAGTTCCCCGATTCAAACATAGACTCCCCAGTCCGCATCACAGCAAAGTGATCCTCCCCATCTGTGACTTTCATATCTCGTTTCTCAAGCTTCACAACATGAGCCATACGGGGCCCCTTGCCGATCTGCTGGAAGAACTTTTTCATGATTTCATCGCTGCCCTGTGCCTCGCCTTCGACCTATACAAAACCGGCTGAGTAAGCTTACCATTCTAAGCTGTGCCTTTCACAGTGTATGAATGAAGTAGATACCCACCCGTCCGCATGTAGTGTTTCGGACCCAGCCCTTGAGATCATAGCTGGTGGCGCATTTCTGGGTGAAGTCTCTGTAGTTTGTGGCCACGGTCAGTCCCTCTGCTGGAGATGATGTCATCGCATGAGTTGCAGTGATTCTTACCGGAAGCCGACGCCTGTTATTCGAGTTAGTAGTGTTTGGGTGGATCAGGAGAGCTGTTGGGTAGCTGGGATGGAGAGGGACTCGCCTTGTACGGTGCCGTGGACTTTGAAGGCAACCTGAAGTAGATATCAGCATGCGGAGATCCCTTGGCTTTGGCTAAAAATGTAATGTAGCAAGGTAGAGGTGTCTGTGGTCACTAGAATAGCAGGGCCAATGCTCAACAGGAATACTCACTCGTTGCGTGGACATTGTGGTTGGAGAGTAGGATGAAAGGCTGGAAGAATCAACAAGCTGAGGTGGATGGCAAAATGGACAGCTGAGAAAGGCGGCTACATACATAATCGAGCATCAATCCTCGTATGCTTCTTTCCGCGCCAACTGTATTTCTACAAGTAAATATTACTCCAAACTAATAAAATTACCCCAGATTTAATCTTCCTGCATCACTCTGCGAAGTAAATGACAATGATCCACATGAGTCATCTACTGCAATCGCTGTACACAACTTGCAAAACGCTCTTCTACTGTGTGTTGATGCTGAATCAAGCACTTGGAACTCACGTCATATCCACCAAGTCTTTGTCTTCTGTAGAAACTCTTCCCAATTAACGAATCGAAGAGGACGATAAGCAAGCAGAAGCTTTGGCCTATGAAATGACTCAATGGACTGAAGCACGCCCTGCCAACGGCCCCGCATGTCCTTCGATGTGTCAGAGCCCTGGAAATTCTATAAAATCGTCAGCCCTTTTGTTTTCTCTTTCTCCTTGCCATACAAAAAACATCATGAATAATATTACCACTTTCGAGCTTCCCAAGGTACGACATTTCCAATTCTAGTTCTTGCTTCTATTAACACATCGTCAAGTGGATTGCATCCCAATCAGGGAATGTCTCTCTGGTACTGGCCGGCAGTGCGACTCCAGCTCTGTCCATCCAGGACATAATCCAGCTGTCCTCGGACAAGCAAACAACTGCCAGCAACCTATCCGTAGAGTCGATGAAACTGACTCTGGGTCCGAGTAACGGAAGTGAGAATCTTCGCCGGCAAATCGCTGGGTTGTACGATGATCAAGTCGCTGCAAAGCACATCATAGCTACGAATGGAGCATCAGGTGCCAACGCGCTCATATTTCAAAGCTTGCTTGGGCCTGAAGATCATGTCATCGCGATGTATCCTTCATACACACCTCTTCTGGCAATTCCGAAAGCGAAAGTCGGCGAGAATATCTCATATTGGTCTCTCGACGTGAAGAACCAAGGCCAGGGGGATCTCCAGCAATTGAAAGACATGATCAAGCCAGCCACGAAAATGATTGTCCTCAACAACCCGAACAACCCCCTCGGAACCATCCTGAACGTCGAAACCCAGCATGCAATTGTGGCTCTGGCCCGAGAACACGGGCTAATCATTGTTGTAGATGAAATCTTCCGCCCATTATTCCATACCTCGACAAGCCCGCCATCCTTCGTAGAGCTTTCCGACGAGAATGACAAGATCATTGTGACCAGCTCCGTGAGCAAGTCTTGGGGCCTGTCTGGTACCCGAGTTGGCTGGCTCGCCACAAAAAATCCCCAAATTCTCTCTCAATGCCTCAATATGTGTCTTTACACGATCATGGCGATTGGCTCAATTGATGATGCCATTGCTGCAGAGGCATTGAGTGACCGATGCCGCCCTCAAATCCTAGCAAAGCATCTCGAAATGGCACAAAAGAACCTCGCCATTTTGGAAGCCTTTGTCAACAAGCATGAGAGTGTTTCGTGGATTAAGCCGAGCTCGGGGGCGACAGCTTTTGTGCGGTTTTCTTCCAATGGTGTCCCCGTCGACGATCTTGAGTTCTGTCATCAACTGAAAGCACAGAAGGGCGTTCTCCTAGCTCCTGGCAGTCTTTGCTTTGGCTTGCCAGCTGCTCAGGATTTCCGTGGATTTGTTCGCATGCATATCACAGGCCCGCCGGAGAGATTGCAGGCTGGACTGGATGCCATCAGTGAATTCTTGAGCTGAGAGGAAATTCGTTTGCAAATAGATCACAGCAGTTTGGTTAGTCAGTAGAAAGTACAGGTTTTATGAAACACATCAATCAATGCGATGTTTTTCTCGATCAATTAGTCGCCACAAAGTGACTCATCTATGCATTCTACTCAACGTCTAATGAATAGTGTAAGAGTATGTTGGCAAATTGCACAGGAACTCACCATCGTTTCTAAATCTGTTTTATGTCTCTGGACTTATTCCGTTCTTCGACATTAATTTTCACACCCAGAAATTGTAGTAAAATCTACGAATTTACCCCGGATTTCATGAGCGGCTTTGTATAAGTTAGCCTGTTGAATCCCTCGATGTGATATTGGCGGGCGCTGATTGGATCTGCATGGATCTACAGGGATATAATCATTAACTTACAACGTCCTAACAAATAGCTGATCGAATAATTTTTCAATACTAGGGCCCTCTTTAGCGTATAACTTAACGTGAATATTCACATAGTTCAAGAATCGTAGTGGCCACCTAAGTGGCGGTGCCTCGGCCCCCTGAGTAAACATCGGAATTTCAACCACTCCGACTTCCACTTCGACACTTCCACATTCGCGCCGGCCATGCCACTGTTATAAAATGCCCTCTCTTTTCACATGGCTCCGGCGAGTTTACTCGCTGGACACCCTAGACACTCGCTTTACCTCCACCGCAACACCTGCTCACGACACGCGACCATCCTCGAAAGATGCCCGCGCCAACGCAATCGCCCAGGGCGCGCCGCCATCACTCTGGCGCACACCCGAGTTCTTTGTCTACTATCTTTTCTTCATCACACTCGTTCCATTGATGTTCAAGACCGTCATTGATGCCTCGAAGGGTTAGTGGATCACGCAAATCGCTGAGGGGTTGGAATACTGACCGGGTTGGACATTACAGAAAGCAACCCAATTTACCCCAAATACTCTGATCTCTTGTCACCAGGATGGATCCCTGGGCGCCTGGTCGTACGTACTTGTGTTCAGCGGAAGGTCATATATAAGCACGAAACTGACCTCACGCACGCAGGACAACTCCGATACGCAATATGCAAGCTTTCGCGACAACATCCCCCCTCTCCTCCTCCTTCTGATCCTCCATCCTCTTGTTCGCCGGGCTTACCAGTCATATTCGAACCGCTCGAAGATTGTAACAAAGCCATCGAGCAACTCTGTGGTTGGTGCGGGCGAGGCGCAACTCGAACAGCGAATGCGCTTCGACTTTTGGTTCGGACTGGTGTTTATCACTGTGCTCCATGGAGTCTCCGCTCTCAAAGTACTGTTGATTCTGTATATCAATTTCCGGATTGGAAAGGATGTTCCGCGTTCTTATATTCCGGCGGTGACTTGGACCTTTAACCTCTTCATCTTGTTTGCCAACGAGTTGTGCGGAGGATACCCCCTCGAGCGGATAGTGACACTATTCACCCCAGCATCTGGCACCACCGGAGAAAGCACTAGCATGCTGTTCCAATTTGCCCAGACTATTGACAGTTTTGGAGGACTCATGCCACGTTGGGAGGTCCTTTTCAAGGTGACTGTTTTGCGCCTCATCAGCTTCAATATGGATAACTATTGGAGTGTTGACTACCCTGCGGCAAGTCCAATTGAAGTGAGTTCTCGGTAGTAGTTTTCTTCCGACTGACATTTAACTGACCGGATTCCATAAGAAGAAGCAACTTGACCCAGCGTCCCTTTCTGACCGCGAAAGAGTCAAGATTCCTGCAGAGCCGTCTGCTTTCACTCTACGCAATTACATTGCCTACATTCTATACTCACCGTTGTATCTGGCTGGTCCAATCTTGACATTCAACGACTATGCCTCCCAGCAGCGCTACAAACCATCATCTGTAACTCGCAGCCGCACCGCACTCTACGGCATCCGATTCGGCCTCACGCTTCTCTGCATGGAACTCATCCTCCACTACATCTACGCAGTAGCAATCTCCAAATCCAACCCAGACTGGTCCGTCTTCACCCCAGGCCAACTGAGCATGTTAGCCTTTTTCAACCTCCATATCATCTGGCTCAAACTCCTTATCCCTTGGCGCTTCTTCCGCCTCTGGGCTTTAATGGACGGCATCGATCCACCAGAGAACATGGTCCGCTGCATGTCAAACAACTACTCCGCCTTCGCCTTCTGGCGCGGTTGGCACCGCTCCTACAACCGCTGGATCGTCCGCTACATCTACATTCCCCTTGGTGGCGGTGGCGGTGGACGACGCCCAGCCGGAGGCCCCAAGCCAGCCTCCCCACCCAAGTCCAATCTCATGAACAAGTTCCTCCAAATCCGCAACTTCCTCATGGTCTTCACTTTCGTGGCCCTGTGGCACGATATCAACCTCCGCTTGCTTATGTGGGGGTGGTTGGTTACGCTCTTCGTCCTGCCCGAAGTCCTCGGTGGTATGCTATTCCCCGCACACCGCTGGCGATCCCGTCCTACTACATACCGTGTTTTGTGTGGTATTGGATCCGTTGGAAATGTTCTCATGATGATGATCGCCAATCTGGTGGGCTTTGCGCTTGGTTTGGATGGACTCAAGGATCTCCTTGCTGGCTTGACTGGCTCGTACTCTGGCCTTGCTTATATGGTTTCCTGCTGTGTTGTCTTGTTCGTTGGTGTGCAGGTCATGTTTGAGGTTCGTGAGGATGAGCTGAGGGCTGGTATTAATCTGAAATGTTGATGCCATCAATGGGTATTGGTTGCATACATGGTCATTTATATGTACACTATGGCACTTGTGAAGTGTTGGGTTGACTTTGAAAATCCGTGATTCCAGACCTAGTGCAGCGTCACATTTAACGATGCAAATAACTCAATTTCTTCTTCCAAATTCTTCCATTATACAGGCAATTAAAATTAATCATTCCCCTACAAGATATCATACTATTTAACAGTGTTCAGCCTTGGGCTATGGACTGCCCTTATCAAAGATTGCTTGTGCCGTCTGTTGCGATGCCCAATGATATACTGACCTAGACTTTCAGGTCAGAACAAGTCTACAATTTCTAAATCCCGAAAGCAGCTACAATGTTCAGGGTTGCAATCAGAATAATGTTATTAAGAATGGAGGTAAGAATATCTTCACAAATAGCTTCAGAAAGCGAACATACAAAGAAACAAAAAGAGCCACCAACGTTCGAGTGGAATTTATGGATGCCTCACCCCACCTGCGAACAAGCCCTCGATCCTCTTTGCAGCTCTCTGCCAACTTGACTCTGCTAAACGGTCGGTGGAAACCTGGGTGCTAGGCTCCACAGGCCCCGTGTTCGTCCCGTCGAGGATGATCTCGACGGTATCTCCTTCGCCGTCATATCTGCATGGACGTAGATGGTCATAGTGTAATTTCAAAAATTAAATTTGCGTTGAGATACTATATGTATCTCACAGTCACTTCTCTCATGAATGCCGTAATATCGGCATGCCAAGGGCATTGGAGCATCAAACCCCAAAGAGCAGCCGCCATGCTCCTATACTTGGGCGACCTTGGCTAGCACCTCGGACACCAAAGCGAAATCTCGCTCCACGTCAACTCGCCAATTTGAAATTGCGATGCGGCAAGCTGGAGCACCATCCCAGCTGGTACCAGAGACAAACATGCGAGAGCTATCATTAATCTTCTGCGCCAAGCTACTGTTTAGTTCTTCGTCGTTAGCCCGGAACAGAACGGACATGAATGTTTGATCAAGCAATTCAGTCTTTGAGGATGCTTTCGGCAAAGCGGTATATCCAGCATGATCGAAGATCCAGCCATTGATCTTTCTCGCAAGCGCAATCTGGCGACCGAGCATTTCTTGGTAACCAGACTTGCCATAGGACAAGAGGGTGGCATAGACGGGCAATGCTCGGAAGCGACGAGAATTCTCGAGCCCAATGTTCAATGGCGAAGGGATAGAAGGGCCATCGGAGTTTCCGGCAGTCAAGTAGGCGGCGTTTGCATTTTGGAAGACTTGTGTTGCCACATCTGGATGCCGCGAGAAGAAAAAGCCACAATCATAGGGAACGTTGAGCAGTTTGTGGCCGTCACCGGTAATGGAGTCGACCAGTTCTATTCCTTCGCTGCCCCTTTTGATGGTTGCGAATTCAGGCTTGTCCTCCAGGACCCGAGCAAAGATACCAAAGGCGCCATCAGCATGCATCCAGGCTCCGTATCTGTCACAAAGCTGGCGAATCCGTCTTAGGTCTTCGCCACTCGTTGCAAAGCGGCCAGTATTGACCTCGCCGCATGAAATAGCGACAATGCTCACTTTATCTGGCCTCGCGAGCTCTTTCTCCAGTTTCTCGATATCAAAGCGAAGGGGATCATCAGTCCGGCAAATGTTGTGTACATTGGAACGGCCAATGCCCAAAATACCGGCTGCCTTGACTAGAGAAGAGTGCGGAAGGGTTGACAGGACTTGTACACCAGAAAGACCCAATGCATTCAACACCTCAAATAAGCCGTACTCCCCAACGCTCTGACGTTCAATCCCTTTCCTCTCAGCTGCCTTTTGCAGGACAAATTCGCGTCCACAGGCTAAGCCAAGGATGTTACTCCCCGTAGCGCCAGTGGTGAACGTTCCATTATGCCAGGAAGAGCGATCCAAACGGAAAAGATCTAATAGCAGACCGAGTGCATTGTACTCCACATCCGTGACAATAGAGTGGTTGGGAAGATGCACCTGAACGTTCTGGTCATAAGCAGACACAACATTGTCGGCAAACAGTGCTGCCGGCGTCGTTCCGCCGGTGATAAAGCCATAATAATTGGCGCTGAGGCTGCCTCCATTGAAAGCAGGTACAATCTCATCTATGATGTGTCGTTGGACAGACTCCAGGCTGGATCCAGTATCTGGAAGTGCGGTTGGAAGAGACGCTCTTGCTCGTGCTAGATTCTCTGCGCTGGGAAGAACGCCGGATTCCCATGGTCCCTGGGCGATTTTCCATAGATCTTGTTGCAATTGACTGTCCATTTTGTATAGATATTACTCAGGTTTGAAGAGGCTGAAGCTGTTTTATACAATGATCGGGATCTCTGTGACTCTCGGGATTTGGGAAGGATTCGGCTGGACCTCCCTAGAAGGGGTTAGTGGACCACCTCTGACTCTATCCGCTAAATATAAGTTACTAACTATAAGATGATAGTTGATAGAGAGGACTGGAGGTGATTGGACCAAGTCAAGTAGAGCAGAAATGAAAGGAAGAGCGACAAGTGCGAAAATCGCGAGTGGCACGGCACTCCGCACAGCGGCTCGGCCCAATTGATTTTAGCCCCATCAACTCCGCGATGGCCAAACTGATCGATCGTCGATTCCACAATGTCCCAGGTATGTCGGTTGAGGGAGCGTGAGATCGGAACTAAGAGACTCTGCAGACAAGCTTCGGGTTGCCGAGCTGTTCTTCGATGTCCCGGTGGACTACAGTAAGCCCGCCGCTGGCCAGCTGCGACTCTTTGCTCGCAGTGTCAGTCGGTTGAACAAACCGATTGAGCCCAAAGAGGAGGACAAAGAGAGTAAACTTCCTTGGTTGGTTTACCTTCAGGGCGGTCCTGGTTTTGGATGTGGTCCCCCGCAATCTTACCCCTGGCTCGATACGATGTTGAGCAAGGGCTATCAAGTAAGTTATGTGATGCAGATGAACTGACTGATCTACTTGGGCTTCATATGCGAGATCAGACATAACGGGAACTAATTTGAAATGGTTTAGGTGTTGTTCTTAGACCAGCGTGGTACTGGTTTGAGCTCGACTATCACTGCGGGAACTCTGGCCCGCCAGGGCGACGCTATCAAACAAGCTGAATACCTCAAGAGCTTCCGTGCGGACAATATTGTTCGTGATTGCGAGGCTATTCGCGGTCTCTTGACAGCGGAGTACCCGGAAGGAGAGCGTAAATGGAGTATCATCGGGCAAAGCTTTGGTGGCTTTTGCGCTCTGACTTATCTTTCCCAGTTGTATGTATTGACTGCATCAATGCCCTCATGTTCGGGATCGATCCCCACTAACATCATTTCTTATGACTATAGCCCAGCAGGGTTGAGAGAGGCTTTTGTCTGTGGTGGTATTCCTCCGCTGGTGGACGGACCTGATGCTGTCTACGCAAAGACTTACGGTAAGTCCATCTGTCTAAGTTCTCCTTGGATTTTTCGTACTAACAAATGAACAGAAAAGGTCCAGAAAAGAAATGAAGTCTATTACAAGAAGTTCCCTGAGGATGTAGAGCGTGTCAAGCAAATCATGCAATACCTATCCTCCAACACTGTTACCTTGCCATCAGGTGTGCTTACACCGGCTCGGTTCCAACAACTTGGTATCCTGTTTGGGTTCCACGGTGGAATCGATAGCTTGCACGGTAAGCCGAATCATTTCTTGGGGTTTGTTATAAGGCTAACAAGAGTCCTAGATATCGTTGTCCGAGTCTGCAATGACTTGGAGATGTTTGACTTCATTACTTTGCCCACTCTCTCTGTAATTGACGGCAATGGAGGAATGGACAAGAACATCATCTATGCTGTTCTTCATGAATCGATCTATTGCCAAGGGTAAACAAACAGTCCCTCATCACTGGATGATATATGACTAACAAATCGCACAGAAAAGCATCACTCTGGTCTGCAGACAGACTGCGTGCAAGCAACGCAAAGTTCCAGATCAACGATTCCGTGCCTGAAATTTACTTCACAGGTGAAATGGTACGTCGTACAATCGACCCAGAATTCACGTTCGATCAGAATCAACTAATGTGATCAATTCCTCAGGTGTTCAAAGACATGTTCGAGTCCTACACGGAACTCAAGGAGGTGAAAGAGGCGGCCGAAATCCTGGCTGAGACCGAGGACTGGCCTGCTCTTTACGACGAAGCTCAACTGGCCAAAAACGAGGTCCCTGTTTACAGCACAACCTACATGGAAGACATGTATGTGCACTTCGACCTGGTGCAAGCTACTGTTGCCAAGGTGCCCAACATCAAGCAGTTCATCGCAAACAACATGTACCATGATGCTTTGCGAAGCAAGCCGAGTGAGATCATGCGTCAGCTCTTTGCCTTGCGTGAGGACACGATTGATTAGATTAACATCAACCCTGGATTTTCATTTATATTCGAGGTACGGGGTGAATTTACGAGTGTATCCAATCATATCTATAGAAATGACTCCATATACGACTGGGTATTATTATTTTTAATCTTTAAAAAAAGGAACAAGGCCGAAAAGACCGGGCATTCTTGTTGTAAAACAAAAAAAGTGAGACGCCGAACGATGGACAACACTGGATTGGGTATAATTACTATAGAGATATGTACAGAGAATGTCGATCTGATCTCGAGAGACTTGTGGTGCATTATGCAATGTCAGAAGACCTGGTTATGATCGTCAGCTGTGTGGGTATGACATTGATTACAGGGGATAAACATACCGCACCGCCAATAATAAAGAGCCTCTCCTCCTCACGCTGCACCCACTGAGCAACCTTACTGGCGCTCTGAGCGAGTGAATTTCGATTCGTATTTGGTTCGGCAATGCAGTAGAATTCAAAAACCGCAGTCACCCAACCAAAAGAGCTCATAGATCGCGAAACGCAGTGGTGAACTTTAACGTGGGTGTTTTTGGTGTGAATGCTCGCGTGTAGGTTGTTGTACATTGACATCAGTCTGTAATCAGGGTCAGAATCGGTTATAGAAGTAGTTTTAGCAAAGCATGACTGACCGTCGCCGTCTAGTTAATGATGAGAATTCAGGCGAGTAAGATGACATTGTGAATTGTACGTTGGCACGAGACTTGTATAAGAAATGATGGAGGACAGTCGCAGAATCTATATCCGTAGTAGCGGGTCGGCCGTTGTCAATTGCTGTCTTGATCTCCTTGAGACTACCATTGTTCTCCATTTGCTACCACGCAATTAGCATCAAACATCAGGTTCGCACGGGATAAAAGTTTTACTTACCTCAACAAGAGCATCGCGCATTCCTTGCATTTCAAAGAAAGCTTCTTTGTCGGGACTGATAAGAATGATGGCTACAGACTCGTCCTTGGTGATTTCTGCGCTGTTCTCGATGTCGTCGCGTATATCAAGGAAGCTGACGTACATGTAAAGATAGCCGCTGCTGTTGAAGCCAGGAAGACAGACGGGAATCCAGCTCTCTCCGCCTCCGGCTTTGACGCCGTCGGCCTCAAATATCATGTTAAATAATAATTGCAAATCACCTGGATGTAGGGAGTGCTTCTTTGGGCGAACAACACTGACGAGTCGACCACCAGCCACCACTAAGCCATATAGAAGACTACTAGCCTTTGTTTTTAGAAGCGCGTTGCTGATGGTTTGACGATGTTGTTTGCGGATCTTGAGACATTCCAAAGCAGATAATAATGTAGATGGAGATCCTCGTGTAAAACTATCTGCCAAGGAAGACAGAAGAGACTCAGAACCTTGCAGAGGGCGTTTAAGGTCGGTAGACGGCCGAACCGAGAAGAGATGGGTGAGCGAAGGTAGTGTCAATGTAGATAAAATCTGCATGTACAATGCCTCTAGCTGAAGTTTAAGTTGATTGTCGCTTTCCATCATGCGACTGATTGCGACAAGGTGTAAAGATCCTCGGGTCAAGACAACGAACCGAGTGTCGCCTGCAGAGAAACCTCGGAGATGGTCGCCTGCCTCCTCATAGAAGGATATGATTGTCTGAATGACTCCGACATAGCCGGAAATGAGACCACTGTCTCCATGTCTTGTCCAAATTGGCTTGCCAGCAGCGGAGAGGATTATATAGTGTTTGCGCTTCGCCTTCCACCGTTGAAGAAGCAGCTCTAAGACAAATTAGCCACTTGACGAAACAAAACCACTAAATATCTCATACCTTCATTGTCACCTTCTTCATTCAGCTCGCCAACCGATTCGAATTCGCTCAAAATTCCGGTATCGTCTATATCATCGGCCGCAAATTCGGGGTAATTGAGCAGACCTGCTGCATCTTGTAGCTGGCCCCCGGGTGCTGTAGCAACAAAGTCTGTGAAGAGAGCTTCAACATCCCCATTCTCAGTATTCGGGATCGAACTGCGAATACTGGCAGAGTCCCCCGCTTCGCTGCCCCGCGCGCTGGCCAACTGGCTGAGACTCATCTTGGCCCTTGGGCTTCGGGGCAAGCCACGCAGAGCCAATGTAGACTGAGCACTTCCAGCATCTAATGATTGTGTCGCGATGTCCATTCGTGAGACGGCAGTTGTTGCCTCCGCTTGTAGAGTTGCCCTAGAGGCCGATTCATCGTTCAGCAGACTCAGTGTATTGGGCCGTGGGGGTAGAGGCGGTCGTTGCCCCTCTGGGCTCGGACTACGCCTGTCATGATCGATGTCTGGCGTCTTGGGACTGGAGGGTTGTTCGGATATCTCGACGGGCTCGTGGCCGTCGCTCCTGGGGTCGTGCGGTGATTTCATTCCCGCTGCGGGCATGCGCTGTTTCACGCGGTCGCTCGTCGCGGGTCAAAAGATCAGTAGATGCGCATTGTTAAGCCCAAGAGTCCGTGGCTTGAAGTGTGGGAGTTGAACCCTGACGTCGGCGAGTCGGAGCTCCAAGGCGGAACAAAACAATCGAACGTGGCCGCGTGCGTGGCTTTCTGGTCAACATTCAACCTTCAACTCTCTCGCCCACAGGGTCATTTGTGATGCCCTAAATATGACGGAGGCCAGTCTGAAGCTTCAACACCGATTCTACGTTCGTCATTGGCACCATGAGCCTTGATCCCAGTGCCTTTCCGAGGTCCAACTCCCCCGCAAGCTCCGAGAGCTCCTTGACGCGTTCTCGACTACAGGGCAGGGAAGGTATGCAACGACGACTGTTCGCTTTAGAGATCGAGACTCATTCTTCTGGTGCATTTAGGGTCCCTCAAGAAAGACAAACACTACCGCCGATATGCATCCAGCGTCGAGAGAGCACTTTCGCTGTTCGACAACGCTCTACAAGAGTGGGCCGACTACATCTCCTTTCTCAGTCGCTTGCTAAAGGTGAGAACACTTGAAACAAACGATATACGGAGCATATTGCTGATAATCCATTCCTAGGCACTTCAAAACCATCCTCCCGATCAACCAGTTGTCCCTCACAAAGTACTCGTCTCGAAGCGACTGGCCCAGTGCTTGAACCCATCACTGCCATCGGGCGTGCACCAGAAAGCCCTTGAAGTCTACACATACATATTTGGATTGATCAAGGTAGGAAAGACCACTGAAACAGCTATCGGGACATTGACTGATGTCTTAATCAACAGCTTGAGGGATTGTCGCACGACCTTCCTCTGTATCTGCCTGGTCTTGCGCCCACTTTGACTTTCGCTTCTCTAACCGTTCGCCCATTATTCCTATCCTTGGTTGAGGGATATATTGTTGACTTGGAGCCGTGGGCTATTCGACCAGCATTGAAAGCAATTATTCTAGCCCTACTTCCAGGACTAGAAGAGGAGACAAGTGATGACTTTGAACCAACATTACGAACTGTAAACAAGCTCCGTGATGCCGCTGGGCGTCTTGAGACCCAAAGAACCTCTGAAGCAGGGGCGTCTGGGCAGTACTTCTGGCAATGTTTGTTCTTAGCCTCCATCACTAACCCTAGTCGACGACTCGGCGTCCTCGCATATCTGAACCGCTATCTACCGAAGCTGGGCATCCCAGATCGTCGACCAAGCAGCGCTCATGGCATTGAGGCAAATGACATTCCACCCGAGATGCTCGCCGCAGCAGATGCCGTCATTTTGCCAGAACCTGGGCTCTTGATTCGTTGCGTTGCATCGGGTTTATCTGATGACCAGCTGCTTGTTCAGCGCAACTTCCTCGACCTTCTCGTGACCCATCTCCCACTCAACTCCCCCATTCTGCAAACCAAAATCGCAGACAGTGACTTGCGTACATTGGTTATTGCGGCAGTGGGTGTAGTCACTCGGCGAGACATGAGCTTGAACCGTCGGCTTTGGGCGTGGTTCCTTGGACCGGATGCAAACGATCAAACCTCGGCGGACGGTCGAAAGTTCTCAACAGACACTACTCGTTCAGCCTCTATTGATGGCAAGGAAGCCACCCAATCACAATACTTTAGTCGGGTGGGTTTGCAGCCCTTGGTCACTGGCCTCTTAGACATGATCAAGCATGCACCAGATATCCCGTCTGAGAGAACCAAGCCTTTCCGTATAGCGTTGTCACTTATGGATCGTTGGGAAATTGGCGGATACATCGTTCCTGCCGTATTCTTGCCCACGATACGCAGTGTTCAAGCATTCGAAGGCCAAGCCCCCAAAAATCACTTTGAAGAAGTCTTCCGCAGTGCGAGTGCCTTCTTTGATGGCGTTGAAAGTGGCGTAATCTTCTCTGAGATTTTGGGATTGGTTGATTACCGGACTGCTGACCTAGATACCAACCTTGATCAGATCTTGCGTGACTTGGATCTCGCCCGATTCATCCTCGAAAACTTCAATGTTCGTGAGGAAGATATGGTTCAAATCCACGTGCCCCTGTTAGCATTGTCGGTCCTTGTAAAGATGAGAGAGATTCCAGCTAAGCAGAGCACTGCCAACAAGCGATCGGTGTCTACCGCACTAAATACCGTTCTAAAGTCATTGACTGGACTTTTGACTGACCGGGTGTTTTCCAAGAAGGCAAGCTCTGAAAGGAATGCTGGCAACGACACCAAGAGCCACGGGACTGAGGTTTTGAAAACCGTCCACCTCTTCTACGAGCAAACCAAAAACACTTTGGAACTCCCTCCTCTTCCGTACCCAACGAAGCTTCTAGGTGATATGATTATTCGAGAAGCCAATGAGCTGGCCATTGCAGCCCTTGGGAATCGAGATGACACGGCTTCCCTTCATGAGAAGCTGGATATTCTTGTCAGTTTGCTGAAGAAGCTTCCCAAGTCCCGCGTCCTGAGGGACAGAAAGCTTTACGAAGCATTGTCTCAGCGATTGGGTAGTGGGGAGGAAAAACCAACAACTACATCTTTTGCGGTTATCTCCACTATTGCTTCGACTGTCACAAGCTTATTCTTCATCCATACACCTGGTTTCTATGTCAGTTATGAAGATGCGTGTGATCTCATCACTCCTCTCGTGAATCAGCTCTGGTGTTACCTATCACCGCTCAGTCCCAAGTTCCATGTGGAGGCCGTCCGTTGTTTATGGCTATTACATTCTATTTCATGGATTGACCACCTCGTCGAGGCATCTCTAACCTCCTTGATGATCAATGTGTCAACGACTGGGTCTCGACATTTGTCTTCTGAGGAACATGCGGAGCGATTCTATGTTCTGTGGAACCATAGCCATCACAATATCCACGAACAGCTACCAAAGCAGGTGCTAGAGGTTGGAGGAACCCTATTTTCTTACCAGTGCTCGATGCTGGAACGTCCGCTTTTCATTGTACTTGATCTTCTCTCCCGGGAGTCAGGCGATGGTTCTCAGTGTGTTCAGCTATGGCTTCAAGATCTACCGTCTATAAACAGGTAAGTTACATCTGGACCCGTCATGACCTAACAATATCTAACGACAAATTACCAGAGTTTTCCTTGTGGTGATCTCGAAGCTTGATGAACTTTGTGAGCGTGATGACCAGAGCCAGTCAAATCCAGACAACCAGTCGATTTCCCCAGATGACTACAAAGAGTGCGACTACCTGTTACAAACAGCTACAAATATCATCGCCACGTTGTCGCATAACGGATGGATCACACTTCTTACGCATATGCTCAGCAATGAAAAGCGCCCAAGCACCTCCAAATCTGAAGGTTAGTATACATTACCCTACATGAAAATGAAAGTGTCGCTAATAGAGTTTGTTTGTATAGATAATCCAGCATCAGAGTCAAAGAGTCTGCACTCGGCCATATTTGAGACCTCTCTGCGAATCGTTAGCACTCAATGCATGGACCCTACTCAAGTTAGCCTGGAGGGGGAAAGGTTACAGAAGAACGCTCTGCAACTCATGCGGCAGCTTCTTCTTGGACCCGGAGCTGAAGACCTGGTCGAGTCCGGGATTGACGATTTCCTTGTCGAGCGCCTTCTGGTTTCATCTGAAGTTGGCAGCATCGCGGTGCAGGGCGCACTGATCGATGCTCTCCTTGCAGCATTGAAGGTCCGATTCGCACAAGCTTACTTACCGCCACCACCGCCTCGGCCAAAGCATCTACGAGCTGGCTCTCGTGATCGTCTCACCAGTCCTTCAATTTTGTCTTTCACCAGTGACAAGGGAGACCGAAGACCTTCGCTACCACAGCTTCCCCAGCCGCCTGATCGTCTCTTAGACTGTCTTCTCAAAGGAATTAGTTCACCAAAGTCTCGAGAGATTGTGGACAAGTGGATTGTATTGCTTTGCGAGGTCCTCCCTCTTTACTCTGGCTCTATATTCCAAATCCTTTTGATGCTGGTAGAATGTTTCTGCAGGGAAATCCGAGCGTCCTTTGGAAGGCTACAGTTATGTTTCCAGCAGACAGAAGACTGGCCACAGGACCGCTCTGAGCAAGTCACAATTGCTCTCCTCACTGGTCTTGAGACCTGTATCGCAAACGCCCATGAACGCCTCGTTGTGGAGGAAGCCAACGTTCCAGCAGTCAAGAGCCCCGACCAAGCTCAAGGCTTCTTCGGGAACATGGTATCGGGAGTATTCAACTCAGAAGGAGGTCAAGGTCGCCCCAATACCGCTAATGATCGCCTGACTGTTCTTCTCTGTTTCCAAGACGCCGTTCGATTATGTTTCTCTATCTGGGCGTGGGGTGCAGGAGACGGAGCTGGAGCTCCTCCGGATTCTGAATCTATGGCCTCATTCCAGTATACCTCTTTGCGGATGCGAAATCGCTCGCGGCGATTCTTAGAGCACTTCTTCACAGCAGAAGCACTCGAATGCCTTGAAACTTTAGTGGAAATGTGGACAAAGTCCGACACGGAGACAGCGTCGTTGATCTTCAATCTTCTTCATACCCTTGACGGGTCAAGTCCGAAAATCACCATTCCTGCCATCTTCAATGCAATCTACACTCGCACGAACCCTAGCGCGTTGGACCCCAGCAGGAAGTCATCCCTGACATCAAGTCTTTCCGAGTCGGAGCTCGCCAGCTTCTTGGTCACTTATGCTCGCTCATTAGACGATGACGTTCTTGATGAAATTTGGACAGACTGCACAACTTTCCTGCGTGATGTTCTCAGCAATCCGTTCCCGCACCGACTGATTCTTCCGCGTTTGATTGAATTTGCGGCTATCCTGGGAGTGAAATTGGAGAATACAACCTTTGGTGAAGACCGCCGTATGCGAAAAGAACTCGGGGTATGTATATACACGTTTGATACTTGTATGGTCACTAACAACTGGATAGGATGTTCTACTGCGTCTCCTCACTGCAGTCTTCACGAGCAAACCCTTGGGTCTCAATCAAGACACCGGACCTATGGCAAGATCATCAGTGGATTATGACCGGACCTCAGTCTCCCACACTGGACCTGATGATATGTTAAGCATTCTCGCCGTCTCCATGCCATCGTTCATCACGACCCTGGGTGATTCAGATCGCATCAACACCGCCATTACTGGCGTCTCAACAAACGTGGTCGGCCCTCTCATTCGGTCACGCCTCTTCCCGAACAACCTCAACCGCAATGTCATGGTTCTCTTGCAGCAAATGACAAAGGTTCCAGCTGCCGCAAAACTGTGGAAGAAGGATATTTCCGATGCGTTCCATGACCCCCGTTTCTTTGGATTGCAGGTGGATTTGGTCAAGAACAATTGGATGGATCTGTTACGACAATGGGTTCTCGCCGACAAGGAACGGCTATTTGAAATTCTTGTCCGCATTCCTCCACCCAGTGCAGCAGGTATCATGTTCGGTGTAGGAGCATCCGCAGCCCGACTGGAAGCCGATCGCAAAGCACAGCTCAACCTGAGGCGAATCGCGCTGCTTGTTCTATCTGCCAATGACGACTATTTCGTTGGCGAGCTACCGGCATTGCTTCAGAAGCTCGAGGATCTTCTTGCCGCTACCAGCGCTTCATCGCCTTCGTCTGCCACTCGAGCGGAGATTTTCATGCTTCTCCGTGCTCTCGCGCTTAAGACTTCTGCTTCTGCCATGGCGCCTTTCTGGCCTTTGGTCAACACAGAGCTTCAAGGGGCTGTCTCTTCCGTACCACAAAGCCCTCATTCCGAGCTCTATAATTCTTACTCGCTGCTGCAAGCCTGTAAGCTACTCGATGTCCTGCTTGTGCTCGCGCCGGATGACTTCCAGCTACTAGAATGGCTCTTCGTAACCGACACTATTGACGCGGTCTATCCTCCCGACCGCTGGGAACCAATTGCTTTGGCCGACGAGGTCTCTCAGAGCTTCGGCCCACGAGGCGCAGCATCACCAATTGTTCCTACCGACACAAACGAGCCTCAAGCTCGCAGTGGCCTCAAGCGACCATGGCTTATTTCAGACTGGATTCGAGAAACCGCCAAGGACGAAATCGTCGAGCGGGTCTTGCGACCATTCTTTGCTCGATTGAGTATCTTCGTGTTTGAAAGCACGTACGGCATGGACAACGTAGATCTGGGAGTATGCCGAAACGACCTCTTGGCAGATCTCTTCAACGAGAGCACAATGGCCAATTAAGATCACTTAGCTTGTACTCTTAGATATTTTGAATAAGAATAATAACACGATGGCAAATGCAAGTGTCTTCATTGGGCGGGCTATAACTATATCCTCTTGTATTGGAGTGGCATGTTCCGAGGCCGCCCGGATCTCCGCAATTCATCAACGTCACTCCCCAGCTCTCACTCCCCTCACCAACCAACTTCTCCAAAGACACAAATCACCCAATTTTCCGAGCTATCTTGAATGGTCGATATCCTCTCATCATGACCGTTCACTCAAAGATCCTTCTGCCTTTGCGTGGACGCGTCGGCATCCGCTCCTTCTCTACGTCACGCGCCCGCTTCCAGACTGCGCCTCTACCGACCAGCAAGCCTGTTGGAGCTTTCCGCGGAGGGTGAGCTCAATTACCCCTATAGCTAAATTTATGCAGCGCCTACATGCTGCCATGTCAAGCTTCTTTACTGATTCTGCGACAGTGTCTTCGGGTTCCTGGCTGGATCTGTTGCCGCCGGCGCGTCGGTGTACTATTACGTTCTAGGAGAGTACCGACTTTCCAATGAAATGTTGTCTGATGACATTTCGGTATGTGCACAGCTTTCCTGTTGTTTCAGGGGAATGCTCCACCCTCTGTTTCTGCCTGACGCTTGCTAATTGTCTCGTGTTTACTGGTTCAGGCCCTCCAGTCCGCTACCATCAAGCTCCAGTCATACATTACCGAGTTGGAGTCCAAAGTTGATCAGTTGCACAAGAAAAAATGAGTGACGGGTCTGATTGATATATGTACTTATTTATCCTTGGTGTTGGGTGTGTCTTTTTGTTTCCTATGCATTGAAGGCTGTCATTCCAGCATGGAAATTCGTTGAAATGCCGGGACTCTTTCTATTGAAGTTACATTCTGTTAGTTTCTGTTGAATATCATTTGTTTTCCGATCAAAACCTGTCCTAAATATCAAGTGCCAACGCCAACAAGGTAACTGGTTCCTATTCCGCGTACTCCGATCTCCAGCTGCCATGCAAACCATGCAAACATCTTATCAGCTCCCCAAACTTCCCCGGCACTATCAACTCTCCAACTTTCCATCTCCATCCTCAAACAGCCCACAAAATGTTCCGCGTCGAACTCCTTCAGGATACATCAACGGCCATGCCGGGCTGGTCCTACGCCCCAACGCGAGGCTTCGACCCAACCCAAGCGATGGCCCCAACCCTGGGCCGAAAACGCGGCATCCGCGACGCGGGCAAGGGCGGCGATATCAGCTCGCGGCAAGCAAACGCAATAGCTCGCCACATCGCCGAACTAGACCGCGAAAACCAACGCGACGTCGCGATCCCAGTCCCAGTCCGTCAAGCACGCGAGGTCGCCGCGCGCGGCAACCGATCAAAAACAACCTCCAACGTCCGCCGCATTCTCCAATCCCAAAAGACCTTCCGCAACCACCTGGATGATGAAGAAGCAGCCATAGCACTAGGAACAGGGGGCGGAGCCGTCGCACATAGCTCCACCGCCGCTGCAATCGCCGCTCGGGGCGCCAAAGCGCGCAGTTCCACGCCTGCCAGTGTAGCAGGCAAGAAGCGGCCTTCTGGAGCTATTACAGGTACATCTACTGCTACGACAACTGCTGCGTCAACTCCTACACCAACAATGGCAGAGACGGGGGCAGATGAGGAGGTCCCAGCGCGCAAGCCCAAACTCATCAAATCGGAATACGATCAGGATCCGTTGTTGCGCTCATATGCGCCGCCTGTGCCTTCTGAACGACTTATGGCACGGTTGTTGTCTGAGCCACCGCTTTCTTATAATGCTTCTCGGGCGAGGCCGCCTTCTTCTGCGAGACCTGCACGGCTTTTTTGTTGTTTGTGTGGATATTGGGGGAAGATTCGGTGCAGGATTTGTCATTTGAGGACTTGTAGCTTGGACTGTTACAAGGTACATGAGGATTCGAGGTGTGGTGCTTTCTTTTGAGGTTTCCTTGGGGTGGGGTGGCGGACTTAGTGTCTGTGTATACTATTTCGGGTTGTCCTACTAGGTCGATCTGTTTTTCCTTAATGACTTTATGAATCTGATACTCAATGTACATTATTGACTTTGTATTCTACAATGCAGCTCTTCTAGTAGCGCTCATAGTTGATTCGAGAAATCCGCGTGCAAGTGTGAGCCATACTTCTAGTGAAAAAACTCAGTCTCCTTCCAAATTTTTCAATAAGAAGGTCATTTGAGTGAGTTTCTCTTATTATTTCGTGGGTTGTTGGCTATTACGAAAGTAAAAGGGGCGGAAGGTTGGTGGAATTCATGTGTATATATATCCCTGCATCGCGCTGGCAGATAAATGCGTTTTGAAATTTCATTGATATAGCATCAAATTTGTGCGTACGGACCCATTTTAAGACCTGGATGTACAAGTTATCGCCTTTGACGGGATTGATTAACCATAAAAGTATATAGTTTATATAATAAACGTGAGATATGCCATGTAGCTGTCTTGTTGCATCTAATTCGGGGGTTCAACTCAAACCTAGACCTCCCATGCCAAGACATTGTATAACCTTAATCTTAACGTCAAGCCACATCCATGTCCAGGTGGAGGTATAATGCGTTAACTTAGCTCTTGAAAAGCTTTTGGCCTAGAAGCCTGTTTGTAAACATGACTCACGACATACTTGAACTTGCTCTGACATCTTGTTCATCCACTTTCAGTCTACTCTTCGCACAATTCATCAAACAAGTCTACAAATCCTATTCCTTACGGCAGCCTCCAAGATGCTCGGCCGTGTTCTTATCCCCCTGTATGAGAAACTCGACCCTATCGTCCAAAAGTATGGCGACTTTGATACTTTGCAAAGGTTCCGGCTTTCGGTCATGGATTACTACAGCAAACACGACCCAAGACTCAAAGATTTCAAATTGGACGCCACTCTCATGAGAATATTGATGCATGAACAGTTGATGAGACACTTGTTCCAGAGAGAGGCGCAACTACGACAGACATATGAGTCACTCAAGAAAATGCAGGCGAAAAAGGAAACACTTGACGAATACCTCAATGTGATAAACAAATTCATTACAAACCGTTGGTTTCTAGGACAAGAGCTACACAAAATAAAATCTTTGATTCCAGCCGGGCCATTCAGCAGAGCCCACGAGGCATGGAGATCTAATTCAAAATGGTATCTCCACCCAGACCTCGTAAAAGAGTGCGCGGGAAGAGGGGGCTGCTGCAGCCGCCAGTATGGATGCTGTGAAAAACGTGAGCCAGTTGACGGAGATCGATTGAGTGTGGGACACTGTACTGTACGATGTGGTTGCTGTACTACGGCCCGTGGGTTTGACTTTGATTATGCGGCTGCTCTAAGCGACATCAATACGTTTTACGCCTTTTTGGGACATCCTTCCAGCAAGACGTATCGCTGTCGATACCTTCGAGCATACTTTGTTGGTATCAGATCTGACATATACCAAGCAACAAAGAAAAAGAGCAAAGGAAAAATCATGGGTGAATCTTGTGTACCTCAGCTTAGCTTTACTCCACTTGTGCTGTAATTCATTTGATATTGGCTGTCTCGATAATACTTCCTGCCCTCCAGTGAGCCGCACGAGTTATATTCTAGATCTAAATATACTAATACAAGTATATCACGCGATTATGGAGTAGTTACATGCAAGATTCAAAGCAAGAATCCCATTTCATACATTGCGGTTGCCTCAGTCCAGCCTTTCTCTTTCAGCTCTTTCACTTCTTCCCAACACCCTCGACCAAAACAAACGTCTTCATTCTGCGCACTTGATCTCTCCATCATTTTCAGTTTGATTCCTTGATTCTTTTAAATGGACTGAAATTGAGGTTGATTCATGTCACCTGCCGAGTATGAACATGCCAATGATAATAGATCACGAGAGATCAGCCATCGCATTCTGAGACTTCTGGTTGGCGTTTGATTTACAAAATTAAAGACTAGGTATTGAATTGATATGTATTTTCAGTCTGGTCATTAATTTGAGATGATTGATCTTACCTGACGTCGTCGGATCTGGATCAATATCAAGCCGTATTTGAGTCCTAGGGCTTTTAGTCCACCAATTCTGGCTGTTTTGAAGAACTGAATTGGTTTCGACCCATTGAACAAAACAGAAGCACACTGTCGGTACTGCTAATTCATTAAGCGAGACTAAGCGAGCTCCTACCTGTATTCAATAGAGTTTGTGATCTTGGGTCCTGCCTGCGTAGACTTAAAAGCAGGCTCGTAGCCAACCCCCCGCGTGTGAGTTTCTTGAACCAAAACACAGTTTCAAAATGGGCTGGAAAATTGCTGTCAGTGTTGTGGTGGCCGTGGTCGCTGTTATCTTTGCTTATATGAAGTACTCGTAAGTCTTCACGTTGGATTACTCAGAGCCTACTCCCTGTGTATCCCCTTCTGTGTTGACTTGACCCTCACTTCTGTGTTGACTTTCACCTCTTATATGAACTCACTCCCCTGTCAGTATGATATATCCTGTGCTCTCGGCTCATGAAAACTTCCCCGGCATCGTTTTTCAGATGAAGATTGTCTGGGTCGAATACTAACAAGTTTGCTTATAGTCGCCCTCCTTCCCAGTTCTGGAACGGAAAAAGCGCAGCTGAAGTCTCCCTCGGCCTTCGGAATTGGTACCGCACCCGCCACTGTAAGACCATTCTTCAGAACTTGATATTAGGAAGAGTACTGACATATTTGATGCAGCTTGGTTCCGCAAACCAGCGGACTAAGAGGCCCTCACCCTCCTGGTCCAACATGACCCCGAAAACCAGTATCTGTCCGCCACCGTGGAGCCCCCAGTGGCCGCCGCGATGACAGATCACTGCACTCCCTCTCAACAGCCTGAGGCAACCGACGCACAGGCTACCAACCGCTTGGTCGACAATACGACACTAACCCCGTCTAGTCGGATTTCATCCCCGACAGACGGCTCCGAGCCGAGTAACAATACAAACTCGACTTCCCTGCCAGCCGCCGCTGCGACGCCACAGGGACCAGCGGACTTGCCACCGCGGGAAACACTCATACCCGGTGGCCAGAGCACATATCCAGTCCGTCTGTTGCACTTCTTCCCCGGAGAACACGTTCTCAACAACACAGTGACGACGGAATCCGCGGCCCCTACCACTCCGGGGGTTGCGGCCAACCCTGGATATGTGTCGGTTTGGCGGAGGGTTGCTGAGGGGTTCGGGGGGATCATGGGGGTGTTCAACCGCGGGTGAGGTACCAATCCGGAGGTTTGGGGGGGAACTGAGGCTGCGCCATTCCGGTCCAAATTGTGGAGGAGGGCCCTGTTATGATTATAAATGTATTTATTATACCCCTATTCTTATCAATAATTATTCTTATAAAGAACCTGAGCATGGTAGTCACCGTGTCCTCTGAGAGACTCCCTGAAGAGACAAAAGTAGAGACGAAAGTAAGACATCAAAGAAGAGGCGGGAAGAGAGATGAGAGAAAAGAACCCCAGGTAAAGCAGAAACAATTCACTAAGCGCTGCACTCACTTAGAAGCTTTCATATAGTGTCTAATGCTTTATCAATGGTAGTACACAGGTTGTATACATACTTCGGATCTGAATGGACATAAAACACATATAATTTTTAGCATCTCTATGAAGAACCTAACGGCGACGACCAGCTCCTCCCGCATTATCAGTGCGATCGGAAATGCTGACAACCTCACCAATGCCCGCTGCCTCTTGCTCATCCTCCAGAGCCATGATCTCCTCTCTGCTATCCCACCATTTCTCCTCAGCCATGGAGAACGCCGCCTTACGCAGTTCCTTGATGGTCTTCTCACTGGCCTCATCTCTCGCTTTGGCAATTTCCATCATGATGTTCTGCCAATCCTCAGATGTACGACTGAAGAACTCACGCAAGCTCTCGAACGGACGGGGCAGAGGTCTGCTGTCATTGACATTAGGCTCTTCAGACTCCTCGACTTCGAGCTGCTCCATGTCCTTGGTGACAGATGACGCTTCCACGTCTTCTGGAGCAGGTGAAGCATCAAGAGACATCTCCTCGGCCTTTTCTTCGTCTTCGTCCATTTCATCATCGTCCTCTTCATCATCCATTTCTTCGTCACTGTCTTCTTCCTTCAACAAGTTCCAGTTCTCTGGCTCCTTGTAGAAGACCTCCTTGACACCATCCAACTTGACCAGGTCAATGGAATACATATCATCGAAAGTGAACTCTCGGTCACCCTTCTCAAAAGTACCACCAAAAATAAAAAGTGTATCGTCTTGCACAGCCAACTGGGCATTGAACCGCCTGTGAGGCATCTCAAAGCGAACAACCGAGGGCTTAGCTGGTTCCACAGGCTCTTCAGGCTGAGGCGTAGACATTTCCTCGTCCTCATCATCATCACCACGAACTCCAACCTTAGCCTCCAAAGCCTTGAGATTCGCCAAAAGCTCCTCTTCATCCGCCTTGCCTCGGTTCTTAGACTTGGCAGCCTGATTTGCCTGCTGCTTCTTACCAGGCGCACGAGGACGGCGCAGAGTCAGAGGGAAGAAACGGTTTCGGTCAGTGTTCCAGGCGAAAAGTGTATCAAAGAACTCGCTGTCAATTCCCTCCTCGGTCAATTCCACGTCATGCACACCACCAAACATGATACCACGGCCCTTGTGGTATGCCATGGTGGTTCCCACACGCGGCGGGTTGGGCGTGTTAGCGGGCTTCTTTCGTCGCTCCCATCTGATTGTGGGGCCTGTTGATGCTGGTGCCTCGGAGGCGGGAGGAATGATTCTCAAGAACCAGGTATCCTGGTGGACCATAGGTCGGAGAGCCATCTTCTGGGGACCCTTGCCTTGCTTGCCGCCAGCTGCTGATGCCTTCACACGCGAATAACCGCCGTAGAGAACAGCGCCGGTATCGTGTGGGAGCAGAGAGAATGATGAGCGGGGGTCTGGCTTTTGAGAAGTGGTTAAGGTAGGGTTAGACCACGTGTACTGCTGGCAATCATAGATCCACAGGTCCTGTAGATACTTGGTCTGTTGGGAAGTATCTTGGAATCCACCGAACAGAATAATATAGTTCTAATCGATCATTAGCTTAGTTCTCCCCGACTCCAATCTTAGGATTTAGGCTGATTCATACCTTGAAGTAAGTCATGCGATGACCACTTCTAGCAGGGGGTCCTTTGCCCTTGGTCTCAAGACGAGTCCATTCTCTCGTGGCCGTATCCAAATGCCAGAAATCATTGTAGTGGTAAAAGGTGCCCTGTTTAGGGGACGAGAACTCTCCTGTTTCAAGTCAGAAACCAGACAACATAGATCTCCCACTCGAAACATGGCTGGATAAGCGTACCTCCGAACATATAGATACCTCCGGTGTTTCCACCACGACACCATGCATGTCCACTGCGAGGAAGAGGACTGTTGGGACTGTTCACTTCTCTCCATTCACCACGATCAATCAAATAGATGAACAGATTGTTGAAGAACGAGGCATGGGTGCCGTCGAAGAATTCTCCACCAAAAAGCAGGATCTCATTGCGGTTAGACGGCGATGCCAGTATAGTCGAAGATGACCGGGGAACAGGAGGCTCAGATGCTACTTCAGTGACCTTCAAGAACTTGGCCTGTTCCTCGGCGTACTGGGCCAGAATGGCATCGAGATCTGCGTCTTCGGCATCGCTGTCTGCATCTTTGCCCTTGGCCTTGGATCTCTTTTCTTTCTTGTCGCCTTTCTTTGTTTGCTTGGCAGCAACACGCGCCTTGTGCTCGGCAGACTTCTTATCCTTTTTCCCCATGTTGGATGTATGTCGAATGCCGTGAAAATTCGCCGTGGGGCAGAAATTATGCGCTTTTTTCCCCACACTGGATTGCCCCTCCGATCTATACCAGTTGGAGGCAACTGGAGTTGTTTTACACCAGGTTGAGCCCCGTAGGTGAGACAGTATCTACTGAACAGAATCCTACAATTTCTATTGTCTTGTTATTATTTGCTCTGGTTGGCAACTGGTCGGAGATCGAATTTGCCTGACCGCTCACGTGCCGACGCGTCTATGGGTTCGCGATTGCTCATCTCGAAAAACATCAACGACGGCGATGAGAGTAACACGCCCCTATGACGAAGAATAACTTGGCCGCTCATCTTAAATGGCTGTTGAAGCAAGCTCCACCTACATGTCCTGCTCTTGTCAGCTTGCCTGAACGCAACGCATCGCAATCGGTTCCCCGCGCAGACGAATCAACGACCCTCCATGATATTCCGGAACATGTGGACAGCGACGCGGACGAAGAAATGGCCAGGCTTCTATTCGCACCACAGTCTGCGAGCAAGCCTCGTATGTTGAGTCGTCGCGACACGACCTCTGCCAACACGCCATCAACGAAACAGCGCTCTTCCCCGAAGCCAAGCGCTCGAGGTGCGTGACCAAGTATGAGCAATCATTTAGGGACAATTGTGCTGACACAAGCTATTTCCAAGCGGACAATTTACGCGACCCTCCGGCGTCATCACACAAGACTCCTCGACCAAAGCTCGATCCGCTACGATCAAATAATTCCGGCAGCTCTAAACACGACGCCATTGAAGCCATTGATCTGACAGGAGTGCTTGGCCAGTCAATCTTGTCGTCAAGCACATCGGGGACTGTACGATTTGGAGAACCGCGCGGGTTATGGACCGAAGAAGTTACACCACGCGAAAAACGCGGCAAGAAGCGCAAGAGTGACGAGTATACATCCGATCTTCTTTCGCCATCGAAACATGCGACCAAAATGCGAAGTCCCTCGAAGGCTGCTCGGCATCCAGCCACTAGAGAGGAAGCAGCTCTAGACTACCCCGAAGCATCACTTCAGACGGCCCAGAAGATTCCTTCGAACGCAGTGAAGCGATCTGAATATAATTCTCCGGTGGCTCCTCGCAGCCATCGAAAGCAGGTGATTGCAGACTCGGATGATGATGATGAGGATATATTCGACGACTGGGTCGGCGATGATACCCATGTTGATGATATGGTACTAGATACCGAGGAATCATTGTACCCGATACTTCCTGAAATTAGTCCAGCTGGTGACGGGAAAAGAAGTGATAACTGGGATTCACGGTCTGATATGACACCAAAAGCACCAGTACCGCCTATGCAACCTCCGAATCGATCGAAACAAAAAACGCCTTCGCAAGACCCTACCCCGTCGACGCCATGGTCAAAACCAGCTAACTCACAAGAGAAGGAGCCGGGTCTTTTTAAGCTCCTATCTCTTGGTTATAACTCTTTCCCACATGCAATCACCAAGCTCAGGGCTACTCTACAGAGGAACTCGGAGATTGTATACCAGCAGGTCATGGAAGGCCAAATCGACCAAGAACTTGTCGCCGAGAACAAGAATATTGTTGCTCAAGTTGGGATGATTGAAGAGCTTCAGAAACACCAAGCAGCGCACAAGACTTGCATTTCCCGGAAGCAAGCCTTGAAGCAGAACCTGATACAAGCGATCTCCCAAGGTCTAGATCCAACCACTATGCCCGAAGAGCTTGCACAGAGTCGAGCGGTCGAGGCTGAGTTGGAAAAAATCGAAACCAAGATTTCTGAGCTGCTTCCACAGGCCAAGATCCTCGACCTGGTGGATGACTGCCCTCTTGTACCGGAACCATCGTCTGTGGATAGCATTGAATCGTCATTTGAGACTCGCACGACAGCACAGGAGCCACCCTTATCTTCGTGGGCCAATGCTCCCCAAGAAGTTCAACCAAGCCGTCATGTGCCTGTCATGAGCCCTAAAAGACCACAAGAAACACAGCGTCACAAATTCAATGATCAATCTGTTACTCGGAATATGGGGTCCCCACCGCTTACTTCAATGGATTTTGATGACTTTGACTGGAATGCCAGTGACGATGAGATGCTAGAAGTGACCGGGAGCTTTGATCAAGGTCACCCAAGCTCTATGCCAGAAAAGGCTAGCCAGAACCGTAAGGTATTTGCAGAGACATCTGGAAATACCCAGAAGGCACCTGCTCCAAAGAAGTCACCTGGGCGTAGCGCCTTCTGGTCGAATCATCCCTGGTCTCACGAGGTGAGGACGGTTCTTAAAGATCGATTTCACCTTCGTGGGTTCCGACCCAATCAGCTGGAGGCTATTGATGCAACACTTGCCGGAAAAGACACTTTCGTTCTCATGCCCACTGGTGGAGGAAAGTCTTTGTGTTATCAGTTGCCTTCAATTGTGACTGGCGGCCACACTCGCGGTGTGACTATCGTGGTATCCCCTTTGCTGAGCTTGATGGAGGACCAGGTGTCACACCTGCACAAGTTGAACGTCAAGGCCTTTATGATGAACGGTGACACTGAGAGAGAACAGCGATCGTGGATTTTAAGCCAACTCTCCTATGCCGATGGAGAAGACGTGGAGGTGCTGTATATCACCCCTGAAATGATTAACAAAAATCAAACTTTGGTCAATGCCCTGGAGAAGCTCAACCAGAAAAAAAGACTGGCCCGTCTTGTCATTGATGAGGCTCACTGTGTTAGTCAATGGGGTCATGATTTCCGCCCTGACTACAAAGAGCTGGGAGAAGTCCGAAGCCGGTTGCCCGGTGTACCTCTCATGGCCCTCACAGCCACAGCCACAGAAAATGTAAAAGTGGACGTCATGCATAACCTCAAGATGTCCGGATGTGAGGTATTCTTGCAGAGTTTCAACCGTCCAAACCTTACATACGAAGTGCGGCCAAAAGGGAAAAACGATGAAGTGTTGGCCAGCATGGCAGAAACCATCACAAGTTCCTATCGAAACCAGTGTGGAATCATCTATTGCCTCTCTCGAGCAACTTGTGAGAAGGTTGCCGAAGATCTACACAAGAAGTATCGCCTCAAAGCGGCTCATTATCATGCCAAATTGACACCACCACAAAAATCAAAGGTGCAGTCCCAATGGCAGGCGGGTCAGCTGCACATCATTGTGGCAACTATTGCCTTTGGAATGGGAATTGATAAGCCTGATGTACGATTTGTCATGCACCACAGCATCCCAAAGAGTCTCGAGGGGTACTACCAAGAGACTGGGCGGGCTGGTCGAGATGGCAAGCGTTCTGGTTGTTATCTCTACTACGGCTACAGAGACAGCGCAACTTTGAAACGCATGATTGACTCGGGAGATGGTAGCTATCAACAAAAGGCACGCCAGAAGCAAATGTTGCGGAATGTGGTCCAATTCTGTGAGAACCGCAGCGATTGCAGACGCGTGCAAGTCCTCGCATACTTCAATGAGTACTTCCGACGGGACGATTGTAACAACACCTGCGATAATTGTAAGTCTGATTTGGTGTTTGAAGTCCATGACTTCACGGAGCAGGCCTCATGGGCAATCAAGATTGTGCGACACCTACAGACGGAGAAAGCAAAAGTAACTGTTCTTTATTGTGTGGACATACTTCGGGGAGCTTGCAAAACAGCGAAGGATCCATCGCACCGCAAAATGGCAGGGTATGGAAAAGGTGCAAACCTCGACCGAGGAGAAGCTGAACGTTTATTTTACCGGTTGCTTGGCGAAGACGCACTGGCTGAAGACAACGTCATCAACAAGAAGGACTTCGCGGTTCAGTACATCATTCTCGGTCGCCGTGCAGCTGAGTATGAGTCTGGCAAGCGGCGAATGGAGCTAGAAGTCCGCGCTTCTCCGAATAGCAAGGCAGCCAAGGCTAAGGCCAAAAGCAAGGTGGCTGGACAGAAATCAAAACCTGGTACTCAGGGTGCTCCTCATTCCACCATGGTCTCATCGCCAGTGATCGCTGCTCAAGATCGTCGCACGGAGCGCTTCCAATACACGTCCGCCCCAGTTCGTCCTCCGGCCTATGATGACAGTGACGATGGATTCGAACCAATTCGAACCAACAGCCAGCCTCGTCGTGGGAACACACATCAGCCGGGGCCCCCGATCACCTGCGATCAACGTCTAGAGAACCTTGATCATCTGCATCGTGCAGTCGTGGAAGGCTTCGAGGTAAATGCCAAAGACTATCTTCAAAAGGTGAGCTTGCCGTTCCATCAATACACCACAAGGAAACTGACATTTTTTGCCTAGCTCGTTGTGGAAAAGAACCTTCGTTCCCAGCCATTCTCTGATCAGATGTTGCGTGAAATGGGAATTTCATTCCCCCGAGGTCAGTGCTAACCTTCAAGACCATTGAAACTCCAAAGCTTACACTACAATAGGTCTTGAGGGGCTTGCCAGAATCCCGAACATTGACCAGGACAAAGTGAAGCGCTATGGTCGAGGGATACTCAAACTCATTGGGCACGCAAAGCGGCGATATGATGAAATGACACAAGAGGCAGAAACTGACGGAGTTGTTCCGGACCCCAATCACCATAATGTCATCAATCTCAGCAGCAGCGACGAGTACAGCGACGATGACCTATTCATAGATGACATGAATGGCTTCGCACTGGACAATCCTGTTCAACCCGCACCTATCAATGTCACGGACAACATCACAAGCTGCTATTTCCCACCACCATCTCCAGGGTTTGACTCTGGAAATGACTACGACGACGGCCAGTCCGCTGCTGGCTCCAAAGGTCGCAAACGCGCGCCTGGAAAACGAGCACCCCGACGAAAGTATGGCTCAACTGGCAGCTTCAAAGGAAAAGGCTCGCGATCGAAAGCTAAGTCAGGGGACCGACCTCCGAGCCAGTCTGGATCACGAAAAAATGCTAGATCCAAAACCCCAAAACCCACGATTGGAATGATGCCTATCTGATTTCTTTTTTTGTTGTTCGGGAAATTCACTATCATTTGGGCGTTTCCGCATAAAGCATCGCTAGGTGTTTCTGTTTATGGTTTATGATCGGTGTATGGCACAAACTCTGATACTTAGGTGAGGTTCATATTTGGGACTATTACAAAGGACTAGGATATATGATACACCTTAATCACATCATTTGTTCCTCAATTTGCACCTTCAGTTTCCTAGTGAGCGACCAAAATCAATCAATCGAAGTCGTCGTGCATCCCGAGGGTGGAACTGAGCAACCTTGGCCCTGACAAGGAACCTTGAGGATGCCGAATCACGCTTCAAATTGACATACGATGCATTTGCATCCAACAGATCATCAAGAAGCTGATGAATCTCCTTTGCGGCAGATTCCCTCTTGTTCCGAGAGGTCTCATCCCCACTGCGCTGCATGAATTGATCAATGCGCTTCTGCGAACCATCTTCCTCTTCAACAGGCTGCTTCTGCTTCTTGGGCTTGCCATGAGCCGTATACCCAGCCTTTAGCGTAGCATCTGACACATCAAGCTCATCACCGACGGTAGGACCACCCAAATCCTCAGCAGCAAGCATCGGAGCAAGAGTATCATCGATGAACTTGTCCAGATCAACCTTCAGACGCGCAGAGGTACGATCCAGGTCTTTATTCTGCCCCTTCTGCTGAGCAATATGCTCACGTGCAAGCTGGGAGGGAGTCTGGTCGCTTTTCCTTGAGTGCACATTGCGGATAAACTGGATACGCTCTCGGAGTCCACTGGCTATTGTCTGAGAATCGCGGAGATTGGCGTCTTCCACACGAAGACGCTCCCGGTCTGAGGATAGTTGCTCAGCTGTCAGTTTGACGGATGTTTTATTGTCCTTGATGAGCTGGGCTGTTTCTTCCAGTGCGAGAAGTGAGGGCAGCACTGAATCTGTTGCTGGAAGTTCATGGTCAGACTTGAGAACTGAGTCGTATGCTTTCTTGGCTCGTCGGGCCTGCGAAACGCGGGCCCAAATATCTGTGCCCGGTTCTGGGAGCTCAATGGAGTTCAGCTCTCGTAGCTTGGATCATAGTTAGCTAGGATGTTCTCAGTATCGGAGCTTTCGTGATGCACCTTGTTCAGATCTTCTTCTTGGCGTTTAAATTGCTCTTGGAGAGCTTTCAGGGTTGCATCCAACCGTCTTGTGTAGGCATGTAATGCAGTGTCACTCAGAGGCTCTTGTGCAGATTCGTGCTCAGCTGCTCGGCCGTTCTCTGCGAATCTCTCGATCTTCTGTACAGTTTGGTCGGAGATATCCATGTTCTGTTTGACAGCGTGATCTGAATTGCCAGGGTTGTAAAGTACGCTAAGTTGGATCAAACAAGCCCTCAATTGAACGTTTGTCAGTCCTGTTTGCGCAAAGTAAACAAATGAGACTCTCGATGTTGCACCCATGATCGCCTTCACGTGACCGAGCTCTTCCCTCGACTTCCCACTTGTCACCTCACCTCACCCCTAACCATCTGCCATCTTCCCCCTTCCCTCACCAATTCTTCGTGGATTTGACTTATCAAGTTCATTGTCAGCTTGTCATTGATACAGCTACTCCCAGTGTAGCCCCTTGACCTCAGATTCGGACGTTATCGGTGGTACAACACGCAACGGTTTCTGGCCCTTGATATTATTTCTCCTGCCTGGTTTCATATTTCCCATCGCATCCACCTCAGGCCCCTTTTTACATCTTCCTCGCTACCATACCCTTCTCGAGCATCTCGGCCCTTCCGTGAAGCTTCCCCGGTTGAAACTGCAAAGCCCTCTCATCACCACCTGAGCCCGCACTTCCTCCCGTCGGCATCCCTTCAACTTCCATCCTCCACAGCCTCCCAATCTTCTTTTTAAAGCACCAGTCTCCCCTTTCGATCGTCCTCACCAGCACCAGCACCTTTCGTGGGAACCCCTGGTGTACATAGTCGATCATTAAAGAAGACAGAAGATTTCATTCTTGACACCTTTGCGATCATTCACTCGTAAGTGAAGAAAACAGCAGCACAGACTATCCAAAATGTCCGCTTCTCCTTCCAACCTGCAATCGACCAAGCGTCCTCTTGAAGACCCATCGTCGCCTTCCGGTCCCAATGACCAACCCGAGGCCAAGCGCCCAGCTCTCGACAAAGTAGTCAAGGACGAGGCTGAGGCCGAGACCGATGTATCGAGCGCCCAGATTCCTACCGACGATGTCGCCAAGGATGTTCAGGGAGACACAGTTGTTCCCGATGCCCCCAATGGCAAGGGACTCCCTGTCGATACTCAGCCTATCCAATCAACAGCTTCCCAGGGTGACCGAGCCAGCGCTGATCAGCAGCCCCAGGACGAGTCGAGCTGGGTTCACATCCGTGCTGTGATCTCTAGCCCCGAGGCAGCCACTGTTATTGGAAAGGGAGGTGAGAATGTTTCTCAAATCCGTCGTCTGTCAGGTGCCAAATGCACTGTCAGCGACTACTCTCGGGGTGCCGTGGAGCGTATCCTGACCGTCAGCGGCCCCCAAGATGCTACTGCCAAGGTGAGTCTTCTTCGATTATAATATGGGATCTTTGATTGCTAATCATATTCATCAGGCATTTGGTTTAATCATTCGTACTCTGAACAACGAGCCCCTCGAAGCTCCCTCCACTGCCCAGTCCAAGACGTACCCTTTGCGTTTGCTAATCCCCCACATTCTCATCGGCTCCATCATCGGAAAGGGTGGTAGCCGTATTCGTGAGATCCAGGAGGCCTCCGGTGCCCGTCTGAACGCTTCCGACGCCTGCCTTCCCTTGTCCACCGAGCGTTCCCTCGTCATCCTCGGTGTCGCCGACGCCGTGCACATCGCTACTTACTACGTTGCTGTCACACTCGTTGAGCAACTTTCCGAGCGTTACGGCGGACCCGCTGCCTCCGCCTACGCCACTCGCAGCGGTGGTCCTGCCGGTGCTGTCCCCGGTGGCATGCAGGTCGTTCCCTATGTCCCTCAGCCCGCTGGCGGCCAATACGGACACCCCGATACTTTTAAGCGTCACCACCCTCACCCTAACCGCGCTGGTGGCGGTGCTTATGGCGTTCCTTACCTGCACGGCCAGCCCGCCCCTGCCCCAGTTGCTCAGCCCCCCATGCACTTCGGCGCTGCTCCCCAAACCCCTTACGGTGGCGCTGGACCTCACCAGCCCGCTGCCCCATACGTTGCCGGTCCCCAGCCCACTCCTGCTGCCCGCGGACCCCCAACTGCCCCCGCCCCTGTTGGCGGTGCTATGCCTGGCCAGCCACTAACTCAACAGATCTACATTCCCAATGATATGGTCGGTGCCATCATCGGAAAGGGAGGCGCCAAGATCAACGAGATCCGTCACCTCAGTGGCAGTGTTATCAAGATCAACGAGCCCCAGGAAAGCAGCAACGAGCGTCTCGTCACCATCACAGGCACTGCAGAGTGCAACCAGATGGCCCTTTACATGCTTTATTCTCGACTTGGTTCGTTTCCCCTCCATTCGCACCCTGACTTCACCCTCTCCTTGGCTATAGTATCGGCGGCTGAACTAACACTCTTTGATACAGAAAGCGAGAAGCACCGAATTTAAACAAAGCAGCCGTTGCTATGCTTTCCATGAGAAATCCCATTGCGGTGTTCTGCCCAAAAGTTCACGGTGGTTTATGATAACTCTCTCTTTGCCTTCTTTATCGAGGCGTTTTTCCTTTTCACTTTGATTTCTTGCTGTATCTTATTCCGGGGCGTGTGTGTGACCTCTCTTCTTTGCCTTGCCTAATAACAATTCCCACTATTATCCCTCAAGCCAAGTAGCCCTTTTCCTTTCCATTGCCTCTCTAATTACCACCGACATCCCATCCACGCCTCGGAACACAATTACATACACACAGCACTTCAACTATCCAAATCAGCCCACAGCGCCATTCCCTTTCTGTCTTGCTTTCTTTTATATCTTTCTTCGGTCTTTTTAACCAAATATTCCATTCTCTGTCGACCATTAAATTATCTGAAAACTAACATGTTTCATCTCCAACCCAGGAATAGGAGACAACATCTTCTCCCTCAGAGGCTGAATAGCCTCGGCAAAGTTCTCCGTCTCCTTCGCTCTCAAATGCGCATCGACACTATCCCATCCAACAGCAAAGAAGTGCACAACAGCCTTTCCATCAGGACTTTTTGGATGCGGCAACTTACTGGGCCGGTCAACATGACCCATAGCCCACGACTTCGGTCCAGCCTGCTGTGGCAGCTGCTCGACCAGTGCTCTGCGAAAATTGATCATATCCAAGCTGAGCTGTCGACTTTCTGGCACGGAGATTTCACCCGCAACTGGGAGGGTGAAGAGCTCTGTTACCGGGTTTTTGGTCAGGGTAGCTGTACAGCTCACCGGTGGACTTAGAGTTACGTAGAATGAAGTTGGGGGTTGGAGGTTCGATGGGTCGAGGAAAGGAGATAATTGGTTTGTATCAGTTGAGCAGCGGGCATCGGTCCAGTCTGTCCGGGGAAGCTTCGTTAGTTGGTTGCTCTTGTGGTTTGTATTGTGAAACCGTCGAACAGTCACTGGTAAAGCAGGCTACACTGAACTTACCTACGACCCAGACGATCGTGTTTGGATCCTCGAGTGTGCGGCCCCACGCGGAGCTTTGATGGCCGCTTTGATGTTTGGCTGTACGAAGGACCTCCATGAAAGTATAGCCTTCCTCGTTCGACGGGTCTTCGGGTTTCATCGACGGCTTGACCCGGAAGAAGATGAATTGGCAGATAGATTGAGACATCGTGGTGATACAGGTGTGTTTACAGCTTACACAAAGCCAGAAGGGATTGTTCTACGTGGATTGATGTCACAGGAAATGATGTCATTGCTGGAATTGGGCAGCAGCAGATGGGATATGCCCCATTGAAGCCCTAGATCGTACATAGCAAATTCCAAACGCCCAAGTTCATGTCAAAATTAGAATCAGCAATCGTCAACGCTCCGCACCTTGATCTTCTTCCCTTCGATGGCGTTTTTGAGGTTCTGCACCAAATGCTGCCGACGAGCTGACTTGGTCTTCCAGCGGGTGGCTTCTTCTTGTCCCGCCGCGTCCTGTTGACCTGCTCCTTCCACGCTACGAAGGCGGCTCTGCTTTGCTGAGCCCATCACGCTGGCTCGGAAATTGAGACCGCGGGTTGCGGACTCTGGAGTGTGGTAGGCACTCCCATCGAAAGAACCACGTGAGCCGGGTGTCATAGGTGCACGGCCGGCCGTCTTTCGGGGTGTGGTAAAGGGTGATCCTTCCCGGCTAGGGGATGCACCGTTGGTAGGTTCAACACCAAGTCGGCGCATCTGCGATTCAATGACATCTACATCGGTTCGCTTGCTCTCCGTCATGGCCATCATGGTGTTGAGGGTCTTGATAACAGCCTCCACCGTGGGGCGATTACCACTGGCTCCATTGGCCCGGGGAACATCGGCAATCTGAGCACGTAGAAGAGAGACAGCCTGCTCGATATCAGCCAGCTTGGCCTGGATATCCGTGAATGCAGTTCTGAGGTCAAGTTGCAGTGTAGATTGCTCGGCGGAAAGTGGCGCTTCAAGGATGGCGCCAAAATCGGTGTGGGCATCCAATGTCTTGCGAATTCCAGCGAACTGGCTTCGCAAGGTGATGACTTGCTTGGTGAGCAAGTCGCGGCATTCCTGTAGCTTCTCCTCTACCCCTTGCACACGCTGGGATTCTAGCGAGCGAGAGATGGTAGCAACCATCTTGTGGAACTTTTCGATGTCCTTGAAGAACAACTTGACATCAAGGATGTCATTAGGGTGTTCACTTTGAAGAATGGAATCCCACTTAGAATCATCGGACTCCTGCGCGGGCTGGTGATAGGCAAGATAGGCCTTCACTGACCGGGCATTGATACCAGCGGTATCAACCATCGCATTCGAGTCGCGGTAGAGTAGCTCAATCTGTCCAGGAATACCTGGCTTTGCAGTCTCGCCCATGTAGTTTTGGTGAGGTAGGAATGGATCAAGGGTATCAGTAGGTTCGATGGGTTGAGCAAGTTCATTGCGGAGTCGCTCATCCTCATCGTCGTCAGATAGAGCAAGTTCTTCCTCTTCCAGTGCCTGGCGCTGCGCAGCAGCGTGGGCTCGTTCTTGCTCTTCACGAGCAATGTCACTGGCCTTCCTCAAGTGTCCCTCACGCTCCGCAAGCTGTGTAAGAGAAGTCTTCCGAGAGTGTAGCGCACTGGTCGGTGCCTTGCGAGTTTGTGGTCTCTCTGAGAACATCACTTCCTTGCGAGGGCCGCCCCGAGTTGGGCTAGGCGACCGGTGAGGTTCGCGATTACCCTGAGCAGCGAGCCCGGGAGGGGGGAGAAGAGGCTGCTTGGGAATTTCACCAAAGAGCTGTCTTGGTAACGATTCCTTGCCCTGTGCGGATTTGGTGGCCCCACTGAAGAGTCCTCCGGTAAAGCTTTTTTCAGACGGAGCACCGAACGAGCTTTCCACAGAAGGCTTAGGACTCGGTGCCTTTGTCTCCTCGTGGGTAATCTCCTCGCCGCTGTCACTGAAATCGGACTCATCTGCATCGGAGTCTGCATCAGGCACTGGCACCGCCTCTTCGGCAGATTCAGTCTTGGGCTTTGAATGACCAAAGGCCGGTGGCAACGGCGCATCTTCAGGAATAACAGGGGCAGAAGACTTCTGAGGCTTGCTCATAAAGTCGGGGGGCAGAGGAGCATCATCCTCTTGGGGTACAGACTTCTTTTTGGGCATTGGGTCAGGAGGCAGTGGTGCATCAGTGGATTCTTTGGGAGATGCATTTTTCTTGAAAGGGTCTGGAGGAAGAGGGGCGTCCTCTACCGAGCTCTTTGACACATTGGAGGAAGCCGAGGTGTCTCCCGGGGCGTAACTGTCCCGGCTAGTAGGATCAGGGGGGCAATGGAGCCTCTGGCTGATCTTTCTTTGGTGTCTCGGTCTTATCTGAAGGCGCTGAAAGGGGACTTGTCACCTGGTTCTGGGAGGCGGGGCTGCCAAATGAGAAAGAAGAGGTCTTCTGGGTTTCTGTTGAAGTGGTGATCTTAGAAGAAGAATCTTTCTTAGAACCGAACAGCGAAGTAGGAGGTGCCCCAGTGAGTTTGGGTCCACCGAAAATAGAGAATGGCTCGTTGCTTGTAGGCGGAGCCTCGTCCGAGTCATCGTCCATATCCTCACTATCGGAGTTCTCCTCTTTAGGTGTCGACACCATGTCATCCAAGGATTCACCAAATGAGAATGCCCCAGAAGAAGGCTTGTCTGACTTTGGAAGATCATTGGCAGCCGAGCCATCACCCTTGAAATTGGATTTCAGCTGGAATCCACCTGACTCGGCCCCGAAAGGATTCCCTCCATTCGCAGAAGGTGTTTCAGACTTGGGCTTGTCAAACGCTGACACAGATCCCTTGGAGAAAGAACTCTCTCCGAACGCAGTCTTACCAAACGGTGACTCGGCTGGCTTGCTCGCGCCGAAAGCACTGGACCCAGGCTTAGCAAAGGGTGATTCAGTTGGCTTGCTCGCACCGAAAGCACTCGATCCAAAAGCACTCGATGCAGGCTTAGCAAATGGTGACTCAGTTGGCTTGCTCGCACCAAAAGCACTCTGTCCAGGCTTACCAAATGGTGAGTCGTCTGGCTTGGCCGCACCAAAAGGATTAACCGAGGCAGGAGGCTTAGATAACGGCGACTCGTTTGACTTAGCCGTAGCAAGAGCAGTGTCTCCAGAGACAGGCTTAGAAAACGGCGACTCTGTTTTGGCTGAAGCAAAGCTACTAAAGCCACCTCCACTTGCAAACTGACCGAAACCTCCCCCAGTAGAGGCACCACTAGCACCAAATGGATTTTTAGGTGGGCTGGGTTGGCTAAGACTGGGTTTTCCAAAGCCCGACTGTCCAAAGCCGGACTGTCCAAACTGAACACCGGACTGGGATGGGGTGGTTGGGGCAAGGGATGAGGTTGCTCCGAATGCTGGCGCTGGGGTTCCACTGCCAAAGGACGTCTTGCCAAAGGCAGTCGCACCCATTGTCGATGCACCTAGGGGCGACGGACTACCAAAAGCAGAAGGGCCGCCAGATGGCTGCCCGAAACCGCTTGAGCCGAAAGAAGGCTGGGCAGAGGCTGCCGGTGCAAAGAAGGATTGGGCTGCGCCTGCTGGGGCTGCTGCGGTCGTTGCAGGCTGAGCCTGTGCTTGTGCCTGTGGTACCTGGCCAGCAGAGACCAGTCCAGAGTACGGTGTGTTCTGACGAATGGCTTCTGAATATAGAAGCCACCATGACGAGAGAATTCCATCGTTATTAAGGAGGAACAGTCCAGGAAGAGGGCCTGAGCTCTCCGAGATGTCTGAGCCTGGGAGCGGGTCCGATACAGGTTCTGTGGCGGAGAGGTTTGGTGCCAGACCAATGACTGAGGTCTCATCGACGGAATCTTTCAAAGGAACACTGGCACGCTTTGTATCATCCGAAACCTCAGTGGTCATGAACTGTCCGACATGGAACTTTGTTCTCTCGTCATTCGCTAGAGGCTGATCTGATCGAGTGATCAGCCCAACATCAGTGGACACAGTCGAAGAAACAATTAGGACGTCCTTCAAGTGAGGCTTGTAGTCTCTAATCCTAGTAATGAATTGGTATGCAGGCGAACGCTTTAAGGTGAAGCCCATAGTCGAGCAAATCTCCGGCAACTTCTGGATCAAGAATGGCGCTTGCTTGCGTCGAGTAATGATGTAGTAAGATGATGCTGGGTTCATTCCCATCTCATCTTCTATGGTATTGGGTGTGTATACCATGAAAAAGACGTCATTTTCCAGCCATGCGACGGATGAAACTAAATAAATGATTGTCAGTAAACTCGCACTTCAGGTTCCGATAAATGGTTAGAGACATACCATGGCATTCGCCTTCAAGATCAGAGGGCCGAGGAATTTCATCTTTCATCGTGCCATCTGGGGTCATCTGGTATCCAGTGCCATCGGCCAATCCAGCCACAAGCTGCTTGCCTTTGTTGCTCCATGAAACACAGCTCACACCAGTCTTCAATACCGGACCATTGGCACCCTGCATTGTAGTTCCAGCTTGGACATCACCAATGAGTAGATCACCATTAACGGTGACCAACGCGACAAGCGTGGAATTGGGATCGGGGTTCGGCACGAGAGCGCGAAGCGATACACCATTCGTAGGGATCTGCAACGCGGGTTGCGCATTGCCCTGGGTGAGACTTGAGGTGTCAAAAATTGAAATGGAAGCACCATTCTCTGTGGCTAGAATCAAAGAATGGTCGCCCGGGCTGAACGCGATATGGGTAGGGCGTGCGGGCAGAGGGATGGTGGCATGAGGCTGGAAGGCCTTGGTCTTCTCCATATCTTCTCCAGCAGGCGCTTCAATAGCCTTGCGGACAGCATCATTTGTGCTGATTGCAAGCGCATCCGGACCAGCGCCAACAATGAGGCCTTTGGTATGCGCGACGGCTAGAAGGGAAGAGGTGGGAGCTGGAAGGGCGTCGTCCGGCCAGGCGGACGGGAGGAATCGAACGTTGGCGTCGCCTGAGATACCCTTGAAACCGATCTCCTACAGAAATGTCAGATCAGAGCCGGCAAGGTCAATGAAAGCTTCGGGATGGACCTACATCGGTAAAGACATCAGGCAGCTCAGAACCAAGCTCCGCGCCGCCTCCAGCGGAAGTGGACGCAGCGAAGCCAAAAGACATCTTGTATTTTTCAAAGTCTGCAGAGACAGAACGAGTAGTCTCACCTAGTGGTGAAGTGGTCCTGAAAGCATTGGCAGAGGGAGAGGTGGGAGATGTAGGAGAGAAAGAGCGTCGGTGGAGCGATTGGGGACTCCGGTTGAACAGGTGAAGGGTGCGCGTAAAAATCTTGAGAGCGCGACTTCTCGCAATCGAGAAGGAAAGCAAATGAAGCAAAGTTACCCCTCAGAGATGAAGAGTGGTAAGAAGGCAGGGACAAGCCAAAGTCCAGCTGAAGCCGAAAATAATGACCGGCAAAAACACCTTGGTTCTGCCTGACGATTCAGGCCAGTAGGCTGCGGGAGCTTCGTCACTCCAAACAGCTCACTTCCTCTTCTCCCATCTTCAGCCTGCTCCTCCCCCATTCTTCAATCTACCATTCACGACCTTTCCTGTATCGGATTTCTACTCTTTGATACACATTTGATTTCCCATCCTCTTCTCGGATATCCTGTTTCGCTGGTCGCGCACCCAGCGTTAGTTCACGATGCCAGGCTTCGACTTCTCCAACTACAACCGCAATGCGGCGCTTCACGCCAAGGGCGTCCCCCTCCCCAAGGCCACCAGCACTGGTACAACAATCGTCGGATGTATCTATGATAAGGGTGTTGTGGTACGGTACCCCATAATTCGAGGGATTAGGGAAGCTCTTCGATCCAGGAGCTGACATTCACCGTGATTGCAGATTGCAGCAGACACCCGAGCCACCAGCGGTCCTATCGTAGCAGACAAGGTAAGTGACCAGCAGCTTTCTCTGACTACCGACTTGGGCACTGTCTGACATACACTCTCAATAGAACTGTGAGAAACTACACTACATCGCACCGAAGATCTGGTGTGCCGGTGCTGGTACCGCAGCCGATACCGAATTCACCACTGCCCTCATCAGCTCCAACGTCGAACTGCACTCTCTATCAACAGGCCGCGAACCCCGTGTGATCACCTGCATGACGATGCTGAAGCAACACCTGTTCCGCTACCAGGGCCACATCGGAGCGTATTTGGTGGTTGCAGGTGTTGACCCGACCGGCACGGGTCTGTACACTGTGCATGCACACGGATCCACAGACAAGCTGCCATATGTGACGATGGGATCTGGATCTCTGGCTGCGATGTCGGTGTTCGAGTCTATGTGGCAACCTGACCTGGACCGCCAGGGCGCTATCGACATCTGTGCCGAGGCGATCAAGGCTGGTATCTTCAACGATCTGGGATCCGGTAGTAATGTCGATGTGTGTGTTATTGAGCACGAAAAGCCTACGCAGTTGCTCCGTAACTACATGACGCCTAATGATCGTGGACAGAAGGAGCGCAACTACCGCTTCCCCCGTGGTACAACTGCTTGGTTGAACCAGAAGGTCATCAGCAAGGAGGATATGAAGAAATATGTTACCATTGAGACTTTGTCTGGTGATGATAAGCTCGCTACCGGGGAGAGCATGGAGGTCGATAGTTAGATCTTTTTCTTGATACACAGGCTAGTGGCCTTGAATTGATTTAATGCACGCACGGGTTTCTTCTGTTTCATCCTTTTACTGTACAATTGTACGGATCTAACATGCATGGCGTACAATCTTTGCTACCGACTTAGAATACACTGCCAGGAATGGAGAGGTCTAAACGCCTGACATGTAAATGCCTTGTAGAATTCAAGCTCTCATCAAGCTAAGTAGGTATGGGTATCTCTGATTTATAATACAAAATCTCACGCGATCAAAAACGACCAGCACATATATGCATGGATGGCAATCAAAAATCATCATCATCAAAGGCCATCGACTCCCTAATGGCACCATAGGAACTGAGCTGCTTGGCAATCTCGGGTCCTTCGAACTTGCTGATGATCCACAAGATATACTCATACCGAGTAGCCGAAACGTGACCAGTATCTCGACGGTACCGAGTCACACCAGCATGATACAGGGCCCGGCAAAACTCTGGATCGACGGGGCCACTATGCCTGCGGAGGAAGTCATAAAGCCAATGTACCATGTGGAAGGCCTGGCACGGAGACAATGATTCGCAGCAGGAGATTGCAATTGCTAATTTGTTAATTAGGTCAACTGCAGCGTGGGGCTCGGGGTATTTGGTCTGAGGCGGGTGGTAGCGGACGACGACTTTCTCGTCCGGGTGTGGAATAGGGATCCAAGCTTTGGTGAGAGAAAGCTTGAATGCGGTGTTGTTGTTTATTATTCTAAGGACAGACCAGATGCAGTCTGAATTTCCTGTTCTAGCCACATGCACGAATTCATCCACCGTTGCTGGGCTGGTGAGATTCATGCGGTGGAACATTTCTTCAAATGAGCCATGGAATAGTTGTTGGACGCCCTTGTAGATGGCCGGGTTCGTCCATACTTCGGCTAGGGAGATCTGGGCGGTCTCCAATCGCCACAGAGTATCGCGGGTGGTTTTGGTGATGGCATTTTTGCCCTTTGTGTTGAGAGCTAGCGGCAAGAGACTGTTGCATGGAAGATCGAGAGCATGGATTTCCCGCATCAAGTCTGTGAAGAAGGACCCGTCAGTGGTTTGGGCCACGAGTTCGAAGACATTGAGTAACGAGGAGATTGGTCGATCTGTTGTGCGGGAAACTTTGCTGTACATCGGTCCCATAGATCGGCTGATATTGCGCAAAAGCCAGAGTCGCAAGACGATCTGACGTTGTGTTGAAAGGTTCAGAGGAGTCTGTTCCTGCGATGTTTGAACCAATGGAAGAGGGAAATCGAACCAGGCATGTGACTCTGCGACAGTCCACACAGCTGTAATTCTCGAAAGGCAATCTTTCCACCGTTGGATCATGCGGTTTCTGGAGGTCCTATTTGCTGGAGAAGATAATAATGACTCGGTCACACGAATGACAGTGTCCGCTGCACAATCCACATCCACTTGAGTAAAGATTTTGTCGGGATAGGGCAGATCAATGTTCGATTCAGCCTCTCCCATAGCTTCCAGCCAAGTTTTAACCAGAAGGGAAGGCCACTGAGTGCGAGAGCCTGCATCATGCGTTTCAATAATGACTTCTTCGGCAAATTCGAAGCCGCGGATACTGAGAAGCTCGCCAAGCCAAGTATCGACAATTGTTTTGTCCAGGTCATGATATCCGAGGATATTGCAAGACCCGATAGCTTTCCACATAGCCTGGTAATGCTTCAATAACTTGTTCTGGTCCCCCGATGCCAAAGTCAGATTCCGTGCAATCGCGATTTTTGGCAGAGCAGCGATGATTATGCATATCTCATCGGTCGATATCAAACCCAATTCCAGCGCACGGTTGATCGCATTTAGGATGGCGGTTCGCCTTGCGACCTTTTCTTGCCCCCGGACAAAGAATTCGACTGCCGCAACATAATTCCCAGAGCCCCGGGTATTCAAAAACGGATCGTCGAGGAAGGCAATTGCTTCTGTGAGGTTCGGGTCCGAACGCGCTAGTAACCGTTCGAATATCTGTCGACTGTATTGTGGTTCCCGTTGAAGATCAATCCTCAATCGACGAGTAAGATCTCGGGCATCATCAATTCCCCAGTTGCTGCCACTTAAGAATTCCTCTAGTACCTCCTCCATAGTTCCATGATTTGCTTTGACGTGGTCCGAAGGAATATTGGGAACAGGTAATTCGCTAGGTTCGATCACGGGATTTTGATCAGAGAAAGGAAATGGAGTATCAGAGCCTAGAGAACGATCGGCCAAGCCTATCACAGCGATCAGTCAGTCAAGATACCCAATTACCAGCCAATTGCAAAAACATACCCTGAGTCTCAAACTGAGCCCTCTGCCACGGATGATCCGTCCACTTCATATGTTCCCGTCCATATCTCCCAAACAGACACGAGATATCCTCGGCGGGATTTGCCCCAAATCCAGCTAGAGCAGTATTCCGTCTTTTTGCAAGACGTCTTCGTGCCTCGAGAGGTCCGGGGACACAGCTCCCATGACGCCGCTGGCCGTTCGCGAACCGACGGAACGTGGATGCGAGTAGGTCATCGCTGATCCACAGGTGGTCGAGAGTCGGTGCTGCAGGTGGTTTCAATGCATGCCGGTAGGCATGTCTACCGAAAGGCATGAGCTCTGCTGTGGTATGGGGAAGCCAATTGCGTTTGGGCTTGTCGCATGCACTCCGAACCAACTTTCAAACTAGCTGACAACTTTTTCTTGGCGGATGACTAAACATCACGATACTCAACCAATCTGCGCACTGCGTTTATCAGCGTTTACTGTATAGAGCTGGAAACCGTGGTGGTTTGCGTTACTATTTTTGCTTCTAAGTAAAATCTTGCTCTATTATCCTGAGTGCTCGTATCCGGGATAGATGAGTACATACCATCTCTCCCAAAGGGCAAAAGCACATCATCAGAGTTGGGGACCGGTCTACTTGGAGGTCAAAAGCAGCGCTTGATAACTGCCCACGCTCTAGTGCGTAAGGCACAAGTTCTAATCCATGGTGTAGTCACTTCTAGTCTTAAATTTGCTGGTGCGGAGACTGTCCGACGGACTATGCAGGAGCGGCGGCCGCGCGTGGTGGACTGTTATCATCAACAGACACATCCAGGAGATGGTTGGGACTGCGGATTATGTTGTTGTTCGTGACAATGGTGTCGTTGTTGAGAATTTATCATACGGGATTTTCGAAGCCAGTCGGAAGTAAATCGTACGAATTGCTCTACAATCGTCTATTAGCTTAAGTTTCAACTATATCTTTCGTTGCTACAGTTACTCCAAATTTCTATAGTATCCATTCAAGTGAATAATAATGATTGAAAGCAGATGATTTGGACATGCTCAGATTTATACAACCATGATGAACGAGAAAAAAAGTATGCATAGAGCAGGATGAGATGAAAATTGAACGTAAAACCGGTAACACCAAAGAAATGCATCCATAATTTTGCCCACCAGTGGTATCACATGCTTATAATTTAAAACAAGACATAATCAAACGATGTGGTAAAACGAAAGATTCACAAAAAAGCGAGAAGAGGGAGAAGAGGGAGAAGAGGAAGAAAAGGAAGAAAAGGAAGAAAAGGAAGAAAAGGAAGAAGAAGAAGAAGAAGAAGAGAAGAGGAAATCAAGAAGCTTCACCTTCCCCATCAAGGCGTTTTCTCCCTGTGACAACATAGTAATTCATGTAGGCATGGACATTCCGATCCTGTATACTCTTCCTAACATCGACCAGGAAGACCTCGATCTCCGGTTTGGACCAGCCAAGAGCAAGGAAGGGTTTGTATGACCACCCCGACAAGGCTTCCAGCCAATTTCTCTCATTCCACGCACCGAGCGTCTTCAACTTTTCATCCTGTGGCCAGGTATTTGTTGGTATCTTGACGACACGCTGTTCGACATCCACAAAGCCGATCTCTTTCATCCACCGATCGATTCGGTGTGCAATGCGGAATTGCCGTGCTGGGTCCGAATCTCGGCCCGAACGCGAGCTCATATCTACCCAGTCGTGCAACGCAAATGCGCTGAAGCCACCATCAGGGTTTTCGGGTGGCATGGTGTTATCGTCACATTGAGGTTTCGGGTCCAGCTCGTGACATTCCAACGAAGCGCCCGGCTTGAGGTGTTTGTATGCCTGCCGTAAAATGCGCTTGAATGACGGCATGGCGCCTGTCATGTGGCCGATATGGATGAAGTCAAAATGGCTGGCGTTCCAGAGCCACTCCTCCTCTGTAGCATCGTCTACGAGGAAGTGCACGTTTGGTGGTACCTCTGTGGGCTGCACGGGCGACAGATCTGTCCCTGTGATTTCGGCATTTGGAAACAAAGCCGCTGCATACAGGTAATGATGTGAGACAAGAATCTTGAACGGTGGGAGTGGGAACTCGTACCCATCTCGATTGGCCATATCCCTGAGCCGGTGCCAATGTCGAGGATCTTTTTGGGATCTTGGAGTGGAACATGGAACAGTTTTCCATCCATGGCCATCTTGAACATGTGATGCTGCATGTCTAGCCGATCTAGCTCTTGCTCATCGTTGGGATAGACATAAGCTGGAGATGAGGTTAGACTTTTTTTTTCTTTTGACAAAGACGACCGGAACTGCCAACAAACCTCCCTCGTGGTACCTGTGATACCGTCTTCCATTCTCAATAGGATAGTCGGTCACGCTTTCGGTTAGTGACTGCGTGTCACTGTGATATGGTTAGTGATCTTGGTGCCGGAGTGTGGCAAAGACACGGTCAATGACCAGGAAAAAACTTACTCATATGCGCGAGATACCTGCATGATCTCAGATTAGCATCCAGAGGCTTCAAAATTAATTCGACCGCACGCAATAGTCCAGTCAATTGGCAAGGGGCAGAATTTGGGAATTGGTGTGAAATCTTACAGGTCTTCCCCCCATGATCTCTGGTCCCGGCCAAGCGGCGAACAATATTAAGCAGCCCTAACGAGGGCAAAGAGGGGGGAGCAGTGAGCACCAGATCGAAATTCACGGCTCACACAAGCGAACTAGGCCGGCAACTTGTAGGGAAATCCAGTCAAATGGCTATACTCCGGGGACGAGCTAGAAAGATAAAATATAATTTCAACCATTCCAGAAAACCCTTCAGACCGATGCAAACCCCGACATGATTGGCATGAGCCCGACAGGTTGGGTAAAGTTGTAAACTGGCAGGGCGGGAAGACGATCTGGACAACTATAAATCACCGCCGATCCGGAAGACAGTGGAGTTTGTATTGTGTCGGACGTCAGAAAGGGGGGTTTCGGGCGTGAAGGGAATGAAAGTGGTAATCGGTCTGTAATTCCCAGGTGGAGGGGGAATGATTGGAGAGAGGATGATGTTATTTCTCCAAGTGGGAAGAGTGGGAATCCACCGTGCAAAGGTAAAAGCGTCAAATCCCTGATTTCAGCCATTTGCTACCCAATTTCTCGGAACCAACTTGCTCAACTCGAACACCTACATTGTCAATCCTGCCCCTTTTCCAACCAATCGTAGCCCTTGCCATTCAGCCGGGAATTTGCATCCGGTCCACGGGCCGCTTCCTCTCTGCTGGGATTTGACCAGATTGGGGAGATTGGTGGCCATGAATGTTCGACAACTACAGAGTACAAGCATGTCCACCTTCCTGTCTTCAATCTACCCTGACCCTCGAATCTACCCTGACACTCGGTAACAGAGGCAAAGGCAAAGGCCACAGAGCTCGGCTAAACTCACAAAATCCCTGGGCCCCGCTGACGTGGAGCTGTCAGGATGCCCAGGTGCCCCTTATGTTCCGATATTAATTCCAGTGTAGATCGGCCATTTGCGTGTCCTGTGTGTGGTTGGGTCTTGATTTTTTCGAATCATTCCCGATATGGCTGACCTTCGGAAGATTAACTTCCACGTAGAGTACTGTAACTGACTTTTTTTTGTCACTTTCCAACGGCATACTGGCATACTGGCACACTGGCACACTGTACTGGCATACTTAGGCTCCTACCAGATCGGGTCCTGGCGGTGGAAGGTGTGGTGATCTGTCAGAACTAGTGTCTTCGACCAGGGAGCCTAGGCTTCCCCAAGCATGCCGAGACGATATAGAAGTGCGCCATTGGTTCCTCCAATTTGGAGAAATGCACCGGAAGCATTTTTCCAACCAATTTGATCAACTGGAACATGCAGTACGGAATATGCGAAAGAGGTTCCGGGAGCCTGGGTGCCCTAATTCAACGATCCTCTCAGTACTACTGTACTATCATCGTACTTCGTATTTTGTTCGACCACCTCACGTTCAAAACTTCCGATTGAAATATGCAATCGGCTGGCTCAAACCCCGATCTGTACCCACCAGTCAATTCCACACTCAGCCGTGATGCACGGAAATTGAACCTCCCCCACGCAGAGAAATCTACGGTATCACAGTATATATAAACAAATTTCCATGTATCTCCATGCGGCCCGTATTCGGATAGCTCCGAAAATACAGTCCAAAAAAAGCAAGGCAAAAAACCTCAATGATTTAGACGTAACAGATGTTGCATGACCAATGCATTGAGCAACCTTGCATATATCCCACATCCCACATCCCAAACATGCCCCTGCAGACCATTCCAAAAAAACAGCCGACCGCCCATGGAGTCGGGATTACAAGGGGAGCCGCCGGGGCTTTATTCCGAATTGGACGAGTCATAACAGTTCACCCGGACCCGACGACGGGGAAAGAAACGGATTGTCCCAACGTGTCGGTAACGCCTGGTCCCAGGACCCGATTTGGGAACTATATGCTTGACCCCTAAGCGATCGGTTCTTTTTTGGTCTGCGGTGGCCAGGCACAGGGAGTTGTTGTGATTTCTCGCTTGGGATCTACAGTGTTTTCCAAGAGCTCCCTTTTGGGACATGCACATACACGGCTCGGTGAACACCGAAGCATGCATCGTCTCTTTGTTACGGAGATGCTCGGTGGTGAGATGGGTTTCCCGGAGTGTCGTGTCTTCGTTGAGATCCTTGCTTAGGCTCACATTAGGCTCCGGGTTCATTTCAGACCCTTGGTAACGACCAGGGGGGAGGGAGGGGGGACCGGTTCGAAATTGAAATAGGAGCCTATCACAGACTCGGCGTCGGCTCCGAAGATGAGCCACAAGGCGTGTTGAGCAAGATCGTAAGATCGTAATATCGCGATATGAGACTATGCCATTTGACCCGAGCCACAGAGGCTGAAATGACCCTGAACCGTGATATTCTTGCATCCGTCAATGTGCGATTGGGTGTGAGGTATCCCGGAAAAGTCAGCCAAGCCTAATCGATTGGATTCGGGCAAGGAGGCAGCGCATATTGACCGGTAGGCTGAGGGAATGTGCAGGGAAAATCACTCTAGTGCTGCACCTTACTGGTAAAGCACTGTATACTGTATAATCTTGCACCTTGCTATTTTGACAACTCACCGAATTGTCAGTTTGTGCGGCCCCAAGAGACCATCGTCTCAAGTAAGACATGCAGCTAACATCCCCTCGTAATCCGTCGGGGCTTTTCGGTGCACTACGTGTCTTGCATACAGGATAGAAAAGCTGCAGGCCGTAAACCGCTTGGGGATTTGACAAATACTGTGTTCCCCGCCGGTGTCAGTAAGTACTATTGGCTAGAGATCTCGAGGTCCATACGCAATCTTGACTACTTGGCGACCTAATATCAAGTTCCAGGGTGAATACGAAGAATAAATCGGAGAAACAAGTTCCCACGGAAATATCTTTCAACCCATTGGGCGTATTGGGCCCAATGGTTCATTTTACCCTGTGAGTGCGGGGGCGAACTACTTACTGTACAGTACAGGATCATCGAGTCCCAAGCACTGCACTCACCGGCTAAACGACCAGCACGTTCCCATCAGCAGACCATTGGGGCTAAAGGGCAAAGGACAAAGACCCATACGTGTCGCTTAACCCAACTGAAAGTAAAGATTTGGAATAGCTGCAAAAAGGGAATTTCAAGGGACTGTGGAGAGCGGGCGAGTTGCCCAATCAGGTCTACTGGGCGAGAGCGGCACACAATTTCTGTCAGATGCAAGCGAAAAGTAGATCATGCAGTCTAGAGTGTCCAAGCTTGGGCTGGAGCGTGAATATCATATTACCCGCCAATGATATTCGCGTATCACTCTACAGAGGACTTCCCCCCCTACGAGAGCCCCGCGAGGCTCATAAGCGGGTGTGGCTTCACGGTGACATGGAACATCTGAATGGCGGCTTTTGAAGGGGTTTGTCAATCGTGAAAGTCAAAAACATGAACGTTATATCCACCTTGGGTCCTCGTTATGATTCCGCCGCGGAGATTTCACATTTACGGCACCATGGAACAAAATCTTCCGACAAGCAAGCATGAGATTTGTGGACCTGTGAATTAGCTGCATTTGAATTGAACACTCTCTGTCGAGACCTAGAGAGTCTCTCTGATTTGCAACTATATACAGTACTATTGACAGTACTATTTTACAGAGTTTCAAGCATTAACGTTACAGTAGGCACAAACAAGAGCTGAAGCGTGCAGTGGTGATCACTTGTTTGGTTATAAGTACTGTAGACACCGGTCAGAATTTATTGCCCCTTGCAGATTCATGTTTAGACAGATCTGATTGACCTCAATTTCGTATGACAACTTTGGCCTTACTGGATGCATACTCTGTGATACGTATGTATCAGATCTCATATCGTTAAATGGAGCTGTGGATGTTCTGACTTGTTTCTCTTTGCTCATTTATGTGAAGACTATTAGATTCGGATATCTATGAAGGTTGCGAGCAATATTTCAATGAGACATAGGCTGGTATGAGTGTAAGTAGGAACAAGCGACATACTGAAGAATTATAGTGGATGATCTCTTGTTCAACGAAGGGCTGAGAGATAAGTATTAGACTATAATGTTACTTGGAATTTGGCATGCGACAAGATATAAAAGGAGCTTTGGATCCAATTAAACCTGGAATATGGCACTGTAACGTCAGGTTCATCCCTGGCTCAAAGCCATAATTATAACTATCCAGGCCAAGATAGCAAGGGAGCTTGCGATATATATTTCTCAGATTATCATGATGTTCACTTAATTTCAAGGACATCCAAGGCCACTGACTATTAAAATCATGTTTCAAGTGTTCAATCGTATTGATGATTTCCTAGATAGCATAATAAGTCAGAAGTTCCGTCTTTTGGGGTATCAATGCATCCGAAAACACACTTCCCAAACGGGTTATATTGCACACACGTCGGCACGGATAAACTAACATCCGATATGACGCACCTCCTCAGCCAAGGACATAAAATATAGCGATTCAACAAATGCTTAAGGTAAACAGTTATTTTTATGCCTTGAGTATGCTGCAACAATAGAGATCATACAGCTGATACTATTGAGTAAATGGGCTTGGTTACATCATCGGGGAAGGCAGGGCTTTCATCACCTTCGCGCTGACGCGCGACGCGCGCAGCTTGGCCAGACAAAAAGCTCCTGGGAGCCGCTCAATCCCCTTGAAAGCTCACAAAAAGCACCAAAATGTCGCGACAGGCTCCAGATAGGTCTTCAAGAACCCGCGCACCACGCGTTGGACAGTCTGACCGCAAGCGACCAGGCGATGAGGATGTCCCAGACGTTTATCAAGAAATGCTAGATGAAGCTGAAGCCCGAGATCCCGGTCATTTCAACAGCGAAAGACCAATCAAAAGGCGAAAGGTTGGGGACATGAAAGCCATTCCCGTCGAAAGCGAGCAGAAACACCCAGAGATGAACAAACATGAGACCCAAGCAGTGCAAACTGTCTACGATTCGTCGTCAGAAGAAGAGTCAGATGTTGAGTGGGAAGATGTTGAGTTTCAGCAACCGTCTGATTCATTATTCAGCGGAAATGCTGCATCTCGGGGCGATGATGAAGTGCTTGAGATTACCTTGGAACAAGAACCCGACAAACGAAAACGGGCCATTTCAAAACGAAAGCCTCTAACTAGAGCCGAGAAGCAAGTGCGACTGGATGTACACAAGGCCCATATTCTTTGTCTCCTTGGCCACTTGGATATACGCAATTCGTGGTGCAATGACGAGGATACACAGGTATGCAATATATGCCAAAGCATTTGTACGATTGATATCTAATGAACCTAAGAATTTTTTGAAGAAAATGTTACCGAAAAAGGTCATTGCTCTTTTGCACCCTGATGAAGATAAACCTAGCTACAACAGATCCACCACTATCATGGATGGTCTCAATCAAGCTGCAGATGCATTTGCTCGCAGATTCAGAGTCACGAAGCCGGGAATCAAGCGGGCTCACTGGTCTGATAGTCAAGATCAGTTAAAGCAGAAGATGGTATCTCTTAGCAATTTTCCTCTCTTGAGTATTCGTTGATGATTAGCTAGGAATCCATCATGTTGGACGCAGAGGTCTTTCTATCCAAGGGAGACTTCCGAACCCAAGCCAAAACGCTGCAAGGCTCTCGCGACTTTGGCGCCCAGCTGTTCTGTACTTTGCTACGGGGCGTAGCCATCGAGACTAGGCTTGTCTGTTCATTGCAAACATTGCCGTTTTCTGGAACCGTCAAGGACATGACGCCACCCAAACCAAAACCTCAATACATTGTAATATCTTCAGATGATCCTGGCTCCTCGACAGATGAACGATCGAGGACCGAAAAATCGCCCACAGCTCCAAGATCTCGGCGGATTGGACAGCCGAAATTTGCACCATCGCGTCCTCCTCAGCCACCCATGCGCCTAGGTAAGTGTCTCGAAGGCCGTAATTGCATAGTTCATTGAGTTAACGGCGATAGGCACTCTTCCACAATCCCGAGAATCATCACACCCGGTGACTTGGGTGGAAGCTTTCAACGAAGCTGCTCAAAAATGGATCGCGATTGATCCAGTCGTAACAAAGTCTCTCGCAAAAACATCCAAGTTTGAACCACCTGCGAGTGATCCGTTCAATCTGATGAGTTACGTCGTAGCCTTTGAAGATGACAGGTCTGCAAGAGATGTCACTCGTCGCTATGCAAAGGCATTTAATGCAAAGACGCGAAAGCTGCGAGTGGAGTCTACACGCAATGGAGAGAAATGGTGGGAAAAAGCACTGCTTTATTATGAGAAACCCTTCCTCGAGGATCGAGATGAAGCCGAGATCAGCGAGCTTACCTCTAAATCAGCGGCAGAGCCAATGCCACGCAACATCCAAGACTTCAAAAACCACCCCGTCTATGCTTTGGAACGGCACGTTCATCGGAATGAAGTTATTCACCCTAAACGAGTCATTGGACACGTTGGTTTGGGAAAGACTGCAACGAGAACCGAGACAACTGAACCCGTCTACCGCCGCTCCGACTTGCATGTCGTACGAAGCGCTGATAAGTGGTACCGCCTGGGACGGGATGTCAAGGTTGGAGAACAACCTCTGAAGCGTGTCCCTGCAAGCCGCAACAAAGTCGCAATCTCCAGTGACGACGAAGCTGAAAATGAACCCGAAGAGACGACATTATATGCCGAGTCTCAGACGGAAGTCTACAAACCACCACCCGTGATTGATGGAAGAATCCCCAAAAACGTTTACGGAAACCTGGATGTTTATGTACCCAGCATGGTTCCGCTTGGTGGTGTTCATATCAACCGACCAGAGGCAATTCGAGCCGCCCGAATCCTCGGCATTGACTATGCAGATGCAGTCACTGGGTTTGAATTCAGAGGTCGCCGTGGAACAGCTGTAGTAAAGGGCATTGTCATTGCAACTGAATACCAGGAGGCGCTTGAGGAGGTTTTGTCTGGCCTTGAAGACCAGAGGCGGCTTGCTGCGCTTGAAGCAAGAACTGCGGAAGCTCTTCGATTTTGGCGACTTTTCTTGGCGAAGCTAAGAATTGCAGAAAGAGTGAAGGGGTATGCAGCCGAGGACGAAGAACAAGTTGATGAAGATGATATTGCAGAGGAAATGAGTGTTGAGGAAGGCGGAGGCGGCTTCTTCCCAGAACCAGGCCAGCCTGTGAATAGCCCACCACTGAATGCCTTAGAAACCCACTTACCTTACGAGGGTCATGCAGGGGATGAACCTGGATCATACAGCGAGGACGAAGAAGATTTTGGAGGCGGATTCATACCCGAAGAGCCAACTGGAGATGATTTAAACTCGGTAGCAGCTCCAGCTCCAACCCTAGAGCCCGAACCAGCCCCAGAGCCCTTGGCCTCACGCCCGATATCAAATCCTCGATGGACCTCGAAGCAAAAAACATCAAATGCACCCCGTTACTCATTGACGGTCGTTCCAAATCACGGCCCAGGCACATTATCTCATGAACGGCGAGAATCTCCAGAACCAAGCTCCTCCAAAGCCCCCGAGGGATCTTCCCAGTATGCCCCTATTGCAGTGGATTCATCTAACAATGCTGGATCTAAATCAGCAAGCATGGTCACTATTTCTCGACCACCATCGCCAATCCAGGAACTATCAGCGCGGAAGTATGATTCTGATAGCGAATTGGAGAAGGGATCTTTGCTGTCTGAGGATCCCGACGACGAGGATGCAATTCCTGACTGGCTCATGTCTGATGAAGACTAGCTTTTCAGATTTATCGCATTTATGAAATATACGAATATATAAACAATCATAGAATTGAAGTTGTATGTACAGGAGTGACTTTACTATACATAAAGTGCACGGACCAAGTCGATATTAGCGACGCGTCGACGCGCCCTGCCTCAGGCAACGGTTGCCTAACGTCATGAGCAACTTTTGCGGATAGCCACAGTCCAATGTTTGCCTCGAAACCCTTAGTTGAGCTGCAATGAAAGAAAAGCACCGACCAAGCAAACCATCAGAGAACCACCAGAACCAGTTCCGTACTTCCAGAAGGCCCAGTCCGCCTGGTTCTTCAATAACGAAGTCAAAGAGCACCACCGCGAAACGAGAACGATCGCCAGAATCCTCGGAGTCCTCAAAAGCCCATAAACGAACCTCACTACCGAGCCTGCGAGCTCAACCTACTCTTACACAGATCGACTTTGTGACGCAGGCCACAGCGTCAGATGACGATCAGCTCGACTATCTTGATGAACACCGTGAAAACACAATCAACCAACCACAAATAGAGGATGGATCTGACAAGGATGCCGACTTTCTACCACCACAACAGGTCCGTTCCGCTCGACGTACAAAATTCAAAGTGAATGAACGGGAACACATGTCAAGCGAACGCCCACAAAAACGAAGGATCTCTGCGATGGGAACCCGAGACATAGAACAAAGGCCTGCGCCGAGGAGGAGTGTAACGCCAAGGGTCAGCATCGGCCGTAAAGGCGGTCGAAAATCCTTGGAGAAGTCCACAGGGAAGAGGGACAAGACCTTGACTCAGATGGATTTCGTGCGCCGTTTCATTCCTATCGACGACGATGACGACGATGTGAGTATGGGGTATATCCAGCCTACCACAGACAACAAGTCTGTCATCGGGAAACAAGAAGCAAATTCTACGGAGGCGAAAAAACCACAACCTACGAAGCTTCTCAACTCGGCCAAGCGAAGCCGCAGAGTGTTCGAAGAGGAGCTGGACCTCTCGACAGGGGAGCCAATATCTCAACCTAAGGATGCTCAATATTCCAATTTTGGAGCTGATAATGCGAGTCACCGGGTATCTGCAGCACCTTTGACGCCAAAAAACCCCCGAAGACGTGAGATTCCTTCATCGCAATCTCCCGAGAGCCCTGGTTTAATGATGATAACATCTTCTCAATTCCGAGGGGCCACCCACTCGCCTTCCAAACAGAAGCTCTTGGCCTCAATTCAGCCCATAAAAGCCATCAAGGAGGAACCCCCGAATCTCGGCTGGTTCAGAACTCCCAAGATCCCAAAGATGATTTAAGAACAACGACGAACTCCTCGAACACCCAGAACCATTTAAAAATGCACATACCTCCACCAGCTGAACATTATTCTTCATCTGCACCTCCAACTGAATCCGTATCGGACTACCAACTCTCCGAAGCAAACGAGCCCCCTAATGACAGAGCTCGAAAAACAGAACGGACAGTCGTTTATGAAACGGATGCAGATACAGACTACGGAGAGTCCGACAATGAATATTCAAACAGAGACTCTTTGACACCATCCCCGGAGAAACAAGTTCAAGCAATCGGTACGCAGAAGATACATAATGTCCAGGGGTCGCCCGAAGATGATTCACAGGTGCTACCGCTGCCAGATGTACCGTCTAGCTCTGGCTTGAAATATCTCCCTAGCGATGACGCTCCTCCATCCGAGCCCCCGATGTCTGATGCGTCGGCGTACTATCATAGAATGCATGCAGCGACACAGTTTCCGCACGAGCCAATTCCATCTCTCAGTACACAGAAACTGGCCGAACTCTTTCCCCAGGAGGACAGCCCACAGTCCGCCAAGCTGGAACCATGCAAAACTTCTTCTCAAATTCCACGGTCGGGCCCATTCCACCAAACGCAAACACAAAGTCAGGGAGATAAAGAATCAACTGAAATGGTTCCCGAGTCATCTCCCACTCGAGAAAGGGAGTCTCAGACCGAAGCAAGTGAGCCTCTATTCCAACGACCTCGCGCTCCAGACTCGGTAGTTCAAGTGGAATCATCTCAAGCGGTGGATCGCAAGTGGCCAGGACGGGTTCTATCTCGAAGCCAGCTTCTCACGTCGAGTGTAATGGAGAGTGTACCGCTACCGACCTTTTGGATGAACAGCCAGGACAGTGTCGGAGAGCCATATAGTTTACCTGAAAGTTGACCTGAAGGGCGATATCAATACCTAACGAATTATGAACATGTATTCCTAACGACCAAGTGAAGTTCACTGAACAATGATGTCGAAGAAGTATAGCGCCAAGCCCGGAAGTAGTCTAAATGTTTTAATGTTTTGCAATGTTGATCGCAAGCGGGGCGGTGGACGAACGCGGAGATACTGCAACCTTGACTTCGAACTTCACTTCTTGCTTCTTGCTCTTTACAACCAACAACCATGGATATCGCCTACGATCACATCCAAGAAGAAGCCTTCTCCAACAAAGAAGAATCCTCCACCGACTCTCAACCCCAGGAGCCCGGCGTCAACCTCAACGACGAGCTACAGGAAACGTTCCGCGCTTTCTCCGCCAGCCCGTGGGGTTCCCGAATCGGCGGACTTTGGGACAATGTACGCAAGCAGGGCGAAACATACTATGAAGGTGCTCGCCAGGAGTACGCAGCTGCCAGTGAGGAAGCCGTGAAGGGATTCTCAGACCTCAAGGAAACTATCGTCGACCGAACAAAGGGGCTGTCTCTTAGCACAGCTGCCCTGACAGGCAGTGGCGAGGGACAAACCGATGAGACCGTCACACCCAAGGCTGCGACAGATGGAGAATCTCAGGATCGGGGAGCCGAAGGCGCAGGCGCCAGCGGAGAGGGCTTTATCTCCCGATTCAAAGCCGAAGCCGCCCGACGGTTGAAAGAGATCGAGAAAGCCGAGGAGGCAGCCGATGAAGCGATCCTGCGATTCGGTATGAATATCAGCCAGAAACTGCGCGAAGCAGTCAGCATTGTTCCTCCCGAAACCGATGAGTCAGGCAAGCTTCTTTTCGAGAGCAAGGATGCCGAAGGCAAGCGGGTCATTCACGCCACCCGATTTGAAGCCCAACTACATGTCATCCACTCCAACCTGGAAAGCTTCACCAAAGACCCGGTCAGTGACGAGTGGCCCACTTTCAAGAAGGAATTCAATGTCGAGAGCAAGACCGATGATATCGCCGCCGACTTGGAGAAATACCCCGAGCTTCGTTCCGCTATGGAGAAGCTTGTGCCGGAGCAGGTGGAATACTCTGAGTTCTGGGTTCGCTACTACTTCTTGCGTCTCGTCGTTGAAACCGAGGAGAAAAAGCGCAAGGAACTTCTAAAAGGTATTTTGGCTTCATGATTGTCCCATATGTTGTATAATACTAATGACCGACTTGTCCACAGGCGCCAACGCGGAAGATGAGGAGGAAGTTGGCTGGGATGATGATTCCGACTCCGAATCCCAGTCTCCCTCTACTCCCCAGGTCCGCCCCGATAACCAGAATCTCACCCCAAAGGCGGACACCCCGAAAGCCGAGCCTCGCCGGTCAAACGACCAAAACTCCCAGGCCGATAGCGAATCAAGCTATGATGTAGTCAGCGGTGCCGCTAGCCGGACCCCCGGAAGCCCCAAGGAAAAGAGCGCCACCGATGCGAAGGCAGAGGAGAGCGACGAGGACTGGGAGTAAATTCAGCAAGAGCACACGACTTAGTCTCACGGGACGCTTGTCTATATCATATAGCCCCGAGCCCATTCTTGCTACCAGTCGACTTGAACACTGCTAGTTACTTGCTCATCGAATTCTGCTTTGTTCGGAGTTTAGGAATGTCGGCTCTTCATTTTCTTCTTTTGTATTGGCGTTTCGGACTCTTCTCTTCTATTCCCAACTCCGTTATTCGTGACTTGCCTTCAGCGATTGTTCTCTGGAAATGCACATCGTTCTTCGTTGTAACAATATCACGACAACTGACTAAGGTCACTCTTCGTAATGTATGCTCTCGAAGGAAGCTTTTGTCAACTTCTCTTTCGAGAGGACTGAACATGAAGTTCAACGTACTTCTACTTCTTCTCCGGACTTGAATGAATAGGAAAGTCCTCTTTTCTTACCCAAGTGCTAAATTTGACCTTGCAGAACCAGCTTCTTCTAAAAAAGAAGCCTAACTTTCGTCGAGAATATTTGTGTACCCTTAGATCAGTGTTGTGAAGTCCGTCGACTTGCTTGAGTTGCAGCTGATACACTGGCAGGAATTTCTACTTTGAAAAGTGGCTGCATAGATGTCTCATGCATAAGACCTCGATTGGCAAACCAGCTGAGCTCCCAGCCCCTTTTGGTCACCGCTCTTCCTCTCTTGTCCTTTGGCAAGTTGGTTTCCTTCTCCCGATAGCTCTCTTACTGAATTTACTCTATTTTCAAACATTTCGAACGCAGAACCACGGCTACCAGCGGTATGAATTACGACGTCGAACAAGAAATTGTCGCATTCTTCGGAAAGACTACGACGACTCGCTCAGCCTGCGACAACTATGCGAGTGAGCATCTTGGCAATGTCATTCCAGTCGACGTGCAAGGCGTGTGTAGCTACACCGTCTATGCTGGTCCTAACGCCGAATTCGTCGTGCAGTATCGTCTGAAGTCGCTAGCGCTGAACATAGACATTATGAATCTCGCCAAAGCTATTTACGGCAACTTGACACCCCGGATCTCCTTTGAAGGACAAATTGGGGAAGATCATGAGAGCAAAGAGCCTCTTTACATCTATGTGATGAACCGATTGCCAGGAATCTCTCACCTGGATTTCATCCTAGCCCATAACGATGATATATCTGAAAACTCGCTCGAGTTCTCTCGCTGGCGCCAAAATCTTGTGACCGATAACGCGAAGTATATAATTCTTTTCTACGTGGTATACATTACTAATTATTATATAGATTCTTTGCCATATCTTGGAAAGGCCCTCAGAATGTTGATCAGGCGTACTGCGAGAGCCTAAATCATCAGTACGAACGAGATCTAAATTTATTACTTGGTTCTCTCCCAATTCGATTCCATCCACTAATCAAGAAATCGATTGATTCTTTACCGGCTATTTTTTCACTTCCCATGGTGCTACTACACAATGATTTTGGCACCTTCAACATATTAGTGGATCAGAAGACTTGCAATCTGCTCGGTGTGATTGATTGGGCCGAAGCTGAGATTGCCCCATTCGGCATCAATCTTTATGCTCATGATCGTTTGATAAGTAAGATCCACTTCAAACATGGCTGGTCTAGGTATGATGATTATCTTCTTTTAGATGAGATATTCTGGCGTACATTCAGTCAAGAAACCGGAGTGAACGATGAAACGATCAAAATTATCAAAGCCGCAAGGATTACTGGAGTACTGTTATGGCTTGGCTTCACAAGTCGTCTTCCAAATGAGCCGAAGCCAGTACCGATTTCTAATGATGAAAATGGAGCATATAGAATGCGTGATTTAGACGGGCTTTTGATTGGCAAAGCTACGAGGTTCACGGACTTGTATGATTAGAATGAAAGAGAGAAAAGAGAATGTGAACAAGAAATCCAGGTCCCACTCTAGACAGGTCGGGAAGAGGCCCATCTTGTAACTCGTACGCGCACAAGCCGTCCTGAGTGAGGGCGAAAATATGCCCATGGACACGGAAAGGGTGGATGACTCTGCTGTTGGCGACTCTCATCTATCTAAGAGAGTTGATCTCGAAATTGGTTCCAAGCATGACGGTGTCCTCGGGAATTTTGAAGTGGCCGTGGTGGAAAGACGGCCGTTTCTGGCGCTAAAAGCCGCCATTTTCGGCGTCGATTTCACAGGTCCTCATATTCTAGTTGTAATCTTGATGATAATACATTTCTCTCTTATTCCATCATAATCACGACATGTACTTGGTACAGGGGGGAATATCAAGTGGCTCTTACTTCGTACAGTACAAACATCAATCATTCTGCAGTTCCAGACCCCAGACCACCATCCTTTGGCGTTCCCTTCTTTCCAAGAGGAGACTGAGAATATGCTGGCATCATACCACGCAAACCACTGGGACGAGGCCCAGGCGAGCCCTTTCGCACAGGAGTCTCTGGTGTGCCCTCTCTAGAACGGAGGTGGAAACCTTGCCCTCTGCCAGGAGAGTACGGGTCACCTCCCTCACGGGCGTGGCCGTATGGACTGCCGGCCTCCCAGCCATACTGATAATCTTCACCGCGGTGCTTGACGGGGCTTTCGTTGTAGGGATCCCAGCCAACACGGCGGCGGGCTTCATTTCGAAGGCGTTGGCGATGCTGTTCGTCGCCTCCGGCTCCTGTTGTGGATGATTCTTCCAGGAAGAAATTGAGGAGTTCATCGCTGATTGAGAGATGGGACTGTTGCTGAAATTGCTGGAGAGAGGTTAAGCGGAGAAGAGTTTCTAGTAGGGATAGGGAGGTGCGAATGTTTTCGAAATGGGGATTGGTGACCGTAGTTGTTCCTGTATTTGATGGGGATGCGTATCTTTGGTGGGAGGGAGATGGCGACGAGGAGTTCTGCTCATTGATTGATAGCTTAGCCATCATGATTGGATCGATCGAAGACTCATTCGTGGGGCCGTTGTTCTCAGTTTCTGATTCCGAATCTGAAGATTCGTCTTCATTGTAGACTTCGAATGCGATCCATTCTGGATCCAACCCAGGCGGCAGACGCCATTCTTCGGGAATGGAGTCTTGGTGGAGAGAGCTGAAGTTGTCGTGTGCTGAGCCACTTTCTCCATTTAACTGGGCATCAATTTGGGCCTGCTCCTCGTCTTCTGGTTCTTCATCAGAATCTGCTGGAGGGTACTCGTCCTCTATCTCCTCCCGTTCCATCATGCGCCGCGGTGGAAGAGCATTCAAATCACGCTTCAGAAGAAGTATGGGATTGTTGGTCTCGCCTTCCGTGCTGATATTGAGAATTCTGCCAGTATCGGCATAGAAGATCTTGGAGATTTGATGGATAGGTATAATTTCCCGGATTCCTGCCTGGGAGACGCCCTCATACTTTTGGGGCTGTGGATCATTTTCGTCAAATGAGTGCACTCTGCCGTCCTCAAGGTCTTCAATTATGAGTACTTGATATGTGTATTCGTCAGCTCCAGCCGGTCCAGGGAGCTTTGACTGTTTGCGTTCATCTGGTGATTGTAATGAGTCTATCGGAACACGCCGCAGTTTCAGTCGTGCCTTGTGCATGACTTCTTTCCACGTTGCTTCACGGACAGATTCTTCGTCGTGGGGTCTCAAATGGCTGGCAAACAGCATGTACATAGATAGGGTAAATGTTGGTCCCACTTGTACTGCCTGCGACGGAGATATCGAGTATTGGGTGTCACCTGCCGTGAGAAATGTGCTTGCCTGAAGAAGCCGGGACGGTGAAACTGTTGCCGGTAAGTTTGTCGAAAGCTTGGCCCCGGATGTGGTGATTGCCAAATTCATGAGGGGCACCGCATCTTCAATGCGAGCTAACAGCTTCTTGATGTCCTTGATAATGAACTTGATTTCGGCTTCGCTTTGTGCACGATCTTTTGGCTTCGCTCCTTTTCGAATCAATTCTTCCGATGCGGCAGCCTTTGCTAGACGCTGCCCCAGAGCTTGAATATCCCATCGCAGAGACTTTGTGAGCGCAACCGCAGATTCCAGTGAAGTATTTCCTCGGGCAGCACTAGACATCTTGTGAGCTTTCTGACGACATGGAATAGCGTTGGGTGACCCACATCAACTCAATCATGTCGATAGATGGAGAAATAACCTGGTATAAGTTTAGCGTAGATCTTTTGGCCTTTCCATGGGGTGTAATAGATACCTGTATTTTGCTCTCTAATCGCTGCTGCAACGAAACGAGCTCATCTCGGTCTTCGCTACTGATATTCTAACCAAGCAAAAGCGATTAGCGAACCTTTCCACAGAACGAACAACAGCGTTTACCTTTAGCAAGCGGGATGACTGGCGCATCGCATAGCTCGCTGTTATCGCAATTCCCGAACTGCATGGACCTTGTCAGAATTGGAAGCATACTCATTATGAGACTCCATACCGAATCGCATAATTCATTGCCTGCCGGGTAAGCTGGAGTGTATGAATCAGCTGTCTGTCCGCAATCGATTGAGCAGGGGTTGACGCACCCCGGTGAGGAATGTATCCATCTTGCGTCACTTGGAAGCCCAACCCCGAGGATTGTATGAGGCTGAGTAGTTGGAGGGGTTGCTTTCAATGTTATCGATAAGATAGTTGAAGGCCCAAAGAAAGAAGATGAGCCTAAACTCCACAATGACGAAAGATTAAAGAGTCATGGCTGACTTGGGCATTCAGGCAATGACTCAAAGAAAGATAAAACCCCAGCACTTGCACTGACTGTTCTTCCTTCCGGAGAAAAGACAACTTGATAGAAGCATATCACGTGGAAACATCGCGGGGTCTTAGTCAGCCGTGCAAAATCAAAAGGCCGTGGACCCCTCAGTCTTGATTGACCCAACCTATTTCTAACCCGTTTTGGTTGCGTTTTTTCGTGTTTCTGATTCTACACCGAGTCCTACACGATGTCAAACCAAACCCCCGAATCCTGGGAGGATGACCTCGCCAGACAGGCCGAGGGCGTCAACCTGAACGCACAATCTCGCCCTCAAGCTCAAGCGCCCTCGTTCCAGCCCGGCGCTGCCTCTTTCACCCCCGGAGCCTCTTCCTTTGTTCCTGGCCAGCAGTACCAGCAGTACGGTGGATACCCATATGGCCAGTATGGTCAACAGCAGGCCTATGGCGGTTACCCCCAACAGCAGCAGCAACAGCAGGCCTACGGACAGTACAACGCCTATGCTCAACAGCCCGGAGGATTCAATCAGTATAACAATGGCCAGCAGCAATATGGTGGCTATCAGCAGCAGCCTCGCCAGGCTCCTGTAGCCCAGCAGCAACCCCAGCAGGCCGCCGCTCCTGCCCCCAAGCCTGCATCCGCCGCCCCTCCCAAGGCCAAGGTCCTCTCCATTGGTGCCACCTCCTCCAGTGCCGCCCCTAAGACCAAGGTTCTTTCCATCGGAACTCCTACTCCTGCCAAGCCCGCCGCCGAAACCAAGGGCGACACCAAGGGTCCTGCAGCTGCTGAAGCAGGCGCAAAGGTCGCCGCCACCAAGTCCCTCGATAAGTCCGATAAGGCTGCTGCTACCAGCGGCAAGTCCTCTCCTGTACCCTCTTCTGGCCGCTCCAGCCCTGGGCGTTCCAGCCCGGCCCGTGGCGAGTCTGCCAAGCAGGCTCGTGAGGCTAACGCTGTTGCCAAGTCCCAACAGGCTGATGTCGATGAGGCTACCCTGAAGGAAATTTACGGTGAGAAGAGAGAGCATGTCAACGTTGTGTTCATTGGTCACGTCGATGCCGGCAAGTCCACTCTGGGAGGTTCACTTCTGGCTGCTACCGGCATGGTTGACGAGCGTACGCTGGAGAAATACAAGAGGGAGGCTAAGGAGGCTGGTCGTGAGACCTGGTACCTCTCGTGGGCTTTGGATCTGACCAACGAAGAGCGTGCAAAGGGTAAGACCGTTGAGGTCGGCCGCGCTTTCTTCAAGGTTTCCATTCCCTCCGACGATGGCCCCGTTGAGCGTCAATTCTCTATTCTCGATGCCCCCGGTCACAAGTCTTATGTCCCTCACATGATTGGTGGAGCTTCTCAAGCTGATCTTGGCTGTCTGGTTATCTCGGCCCGTAAGGGTGAGTACGAGACCGGTTTCGAAAAGGGAGGTCAGACCCGCGAGCACGCTCTCCTTGCTCGTAACACAGGTGTTGAGAAGCTTGTTATTGTGGTAAACAAGAGTACGTCTTATTCTTTGCCCTTTTAAGTTATTCCAGATATACTAACAACAATGATAGTGGACGACCCCAGTGTCGAATGGCGCAAGGAGCGTTTCGATGAGTGCACAGTTAAAGTCATGAAGTTCTTGGAAGCCCTTGGCTACAAGAAGTCCGACATTTTCTGCATGCCTATCTCTGCTCAGCGCACCCTTGGCATCAAGGACCGCATCCCTAAGGATGTCTGTTCCTGGTACGATGGACCTTCTCTCCTCGAATTTTTGATTGATTTCAAGCTTCCCGAGCGTAAGATCAACGCTCCCTTCATGATGCCTATCAGCGCAAAGTACCGTGACATGGGTACTATGGCTGAGGGCCGTATTGAATCCGGTATTATTAAGAAGAGCGGCAACTACCTCATGATGCCTAACCGCGAGGAGGTCTACGTTACCGCTCTCTATGGTGAGACCGAAGAAGAAATTCCCACTGCCAAGGTTGGTGACCAGGTTCGCCTTCGCCTCCGTGGTATTGAAGAAGAAGATTTCTTCCCTGGATTCGTGCTCTGCTCTCCCAAGCGCCCCGTGCACTGTGTATCTGCTTTCGAGGCCAAGATTCGTATTCTGGACTTGAAGAGCATTCTCACCGCCGGTTTCAACTGTGTGCTTCACGTGCACTCTGCTGTTGAGGAGGTTACCTTCGCTGCTCTCCTCCACAAGCTCGAGCCTGGTACCGGCCGCAAGAGCAAGCGTCCTCCTCAGTTCGCCAACAAGGGCCAGACTATTATCGCTCGCCTTGAGATTACCAGCTCAGCTGGTGCAGTTTGCGTGGAGCCTTTCAGCGATTACCCCCAGCTGGGACGTTTCACCTTGCGTGACCAGGTATGTATTCTACTTTCTCCCTTGAAAATAAAGAAGGGAAAATGAAACCAACCGCATGAACCTTAACTAACAATCTATCAGGGTCAAACCATTGCTATTGGTATGATCACCAAGCTTATCACCGCCGAGACGGACGCCGCCGATGCTGCCGCTGCCGCCGATGCTGCTGCTGCCGCCGAGTAATGGCTTTCTACCGAGAACGCCTGCATTTCCATATTTCTAAAAAAAAGTTTAGCGAGCACCCAAACAACCGATACGGTGTTGTGCTTGCAAGGAACTCTGAACAGGGAGGCACGGGTGGGCAGAGGTCGCAATGATACCACAGACAGTCCACCTCAACTGACGATGATGAACATTTTCTTTCCAAATTACGCCATAGATTTCGGTTTCTCTAATGAGTCCAAGCGGTTGAACCGAGTATGGATCGAGGATAAACTTGTAACATCTACTACTAGGGATGTAGTCCACACAAGCACACTGTATGACAAACAGTCATGGTTCATCGATGCATCTATCTAAAGTAAAAGGAAGCATCATCCTATGAGGGTTTCTCTCAGGACTAAAAAAAGAATCAAGAAATATGTGCACATCCAGTCAAAGGCCTTATTTTACCGCCTCTTTCCAACAACCTTCGTAAACCCATCATCATCAATCTCAGGCTCAACCCTCTCCCTAGGAGCCCGCACCAAAGAAGGCGCATCATCCATATCAACATCCTCCTCACTGTCATCCCCATCAGTCTCCTGATCCTCATCCTCAACCTTCTGGAATTGCCCATCAGCAGGCTTGGACTGACTCTTCTTCTGCCAAGCCTCCCACATATGTTGAATAGGAGCGAAATCGCCGCGATCCGTGTGCATCTTCAATTCCATAATCTGGTCCGCAACATTTCCAGCACTCTCATCATCAACCACGACGTCGAACTCGTCATTCATGACCTGAATCAGGATGTCCTCGAGATCAATGGCGTCTGTCTCGGGTCGCTCGGTGAACATCTCTGAGATTGCGCCGCATAGCCAGTCCCGCTTGTCGCCTGAGGTTGGGCCACCCCAGTTTGATTGCACGGCTAGTGAGAGGGCGGGCCAGTTGTGGAGGGAGAGAGTGATAGCGAGATCAAGGTAGGAGGCGGCATCGGTAGCCGGGGGTGCTGCTGATGTGTCATCCATTATAGATGGTGTTTTGTGGTTGTTTGAGCCTGATGTGGCTTTGCGATTTCTTTTTTGGGGGGATTGCGATTGATACCCCGCGGTCGTGGTGGAGGGGACACTTTTTAATCTAGTTCCACAAACAAGGATTGTGTAAAACGAGGTTCAAAATTGGAATATCGAGGTTTCAATCCTCCACGCTTGAAATTCGGATTGGAATGTAATTGAGGTATTGCTTGCAGGAGTTCTGCTGATGCTAGGAAATTTTTATGTTGCGATTAGATATGATAAGGTCAGGTGACCGGGGTGTCGGGATAGTTTCTACCTTCGGGGCAGCGGACTGCATTATTGTGAACGAATTCGATCAAGCTTGATGGCTATTGTACGCACCACTCTATTCATTGAAATGCGATTATATTGATATAAAAATATGCAACCCTAGAGGATAAATAAATCGACAAAAAAGAAACTCCGATAGGGGGAATCGAACCCCCGGCTGTCGTGTGAGAGACGACGATGTTAGCCACTACACCATATCGGATGTTGTATGCATAATTTTCAGATACGTAATATTCTGAGCCAGAAAGAAACAAACTGCCGCGCGTACTACCCGGGACCCCCTCAGCTATATATATGCCCCTGGACCCCTGCCCTTCCCTTCCAATTAACAATCTCGAAGTATTTTTTTGCCTTAATTCTCCCGACGCCATACAGATGAGGTATTTTTTGCCATGTACCCTGGCTAGCTCCTATGCTCCGCCACCCCCTTTTCCCCATGCGCGTCGGCGTTTCTGCGATCCCGCGATGGCAATTTAAGCTGCTCCTCTCGCCGAGCCCTCCATCGGGATCTAGCTGAGCGGGATCCAGACGAAAGTTGAACGGGACCCGGAAGTTCCCAGGACCTTTACACACTAGCTCTTTCATCTAAAGAAGCAAATATAGAAATGAGACAGAAGTTTTGAATGGAACTCCGTATAACAGCTTGCATGTGTAGACCAGGATTTTGGAGACTATGATTGGATATATTCTATGTTGTCCACGTTTCTAGCCTGAAGGGGATCGATTAAATGAAGCGTGACTGGGCTTAAGTAAGTCGCTTCCACGTAGGCTAGCTTAAAGGATAACGCTGATCAAGAGCCTATCTATTCCGTTGTATATTTGTTACCAGACTTTTTAGTTGAATGATTGCTTTACTCACCCATAATAATACGCGTTATTTTCTAGAAAGTCGACCTCGTCCCAAAATGCACAGAAAGTCCCGGTAGCTTCTACATATCTAACACAACGCTCCGCCATCGACGCTTCTAGAGTCTCTCATTTATTTGCCTTAGCTCTGGACGGACATGGCGTCCCGTGACGACTACTCAGTTGGGTGGGTTTGCACGCTGCCAATAGAGCTCGCCGCAGCGGAAGCAGCACTTGATCGCGTCCATGACAATCTACCTCCAAATCGGAACTTAGACGGCAACAATAACTACATTCTGGGGAGTCTCCAAGGCCACAATGTCGTTGTGGCGTGTCCAAATTCCTGGGTGTGTGGTAAATCATCGGTAGCCGACGTGGTCACACAGTTGCACGCAAGCTACACATCTGTCCGGTTCAGCCTCATGGTCGGCATTGCGGGAGGAGTGCCAGACACGAAAGAGGATATTCGTCTTGGTGATGTTGTTGTCAGCAAGTCGCTAGCTGGTTGGCCAGGTGTCATTCAGTATGGCATGAACGGGGAGCGAACGGAAGATCACTTTGTTCGCGGCAGAGCGTTAGATCAGCCGACACCATTGCTTCTCACAGCTATGGGGAAGGCCGAGACAGCCGCTGTCTTTGACGAAAGTAAGATAACCCAGTACATCTCCGAACTCGTGCAGAAAGACCCCGTCACCTTTGCCCGCCCTGGCCCAGAACAAGACGTCCTCTTCGAGCCGAATTATGATCATGCAACCATCGAATCCGAGCAAAGCGGATGCAGTCATTGCGACCAGAAGAAGATCCGATTTCGGCAGCCTCGGGAGGTTCAGGACCCCATAGTTCATTATGGCCTGATTGCTTCCAGCCATCATTTAACGCGCCACGGAGCGACCCGGGACGAGATTGCACAAAAGCATGGCATTCTCTGTTTTGAGACGGAGGCAACCGGGCTAAGGGATACCGCCCAGTACTTGGTCATCCGAGGAATTTGTGATTACGCAGATTCGCATAGGTCGGAGCTCTGGCACGCCTACGCCGCAGCGGCTGCCACGGCATACGCAAAAGAGGTTCTCTCTTTCATACCCACGGTGTCTCAGACGACACTTCTGGCCACAAACACAAACACGTATGCAGAGGTCGCGCCTGTTCTTGACGCTCTGCTTCTGACAAGACCCGAGGTTGATCGGAAGTCCCTTATTGCATTGAAAGGGCGTAGAGTTGACGGCACCTGCGAATGGCTTATACAGCATTCCCATTATCAAGAGTGGCTGGCAGATGCGAATCACCCGCTCCTCTGGATCTCAGGTGGTCCTGGAAAAGGGAAGACCATGCTAGCGATTTATATCACCGAGGTACTACAGCCAATGGTTGACGCCGCCGATGATGTTCTTCTCTACTACTTCTGCAGTAACCGTGACAAGAATCGGAACACCGCTTTGACCATCATGAGAGGCATTCTGCATCAATGGATCGACCTCTATCCGCATTTGGCCAAAGAGATTAAGAGCTACTTCGAGGGGACGGAAACTACTAAATATACCATTTCCAGTTTTGTCTCGCTATGGAAGGTTTTCCTGACCTTACTTCAACAGAGCACGTCTTCCCAAGTATTCTGTGTTCTGGACGGCCTGGATGAATGCGAAAAAGAATCAGTCAGTCAGCTTCTCGATGCCGTTGGGAACTACTTGTCGAAGTCTGGGGAAAAGGCAAGGCCACGACTGAAACTCGTTATCCTCTCCCGACCTCACCCGGTTGTTTTGGAGAGAAAACTCGGTCACTATAAGCAAATCCAGTTAGACACCTCCGACACGGAAATTTCGCGTGATGTCGAGCGATACATCTTCGCTAAAGTTGCCGAACTGGCATCCGAGCAAAACTTTTCCGAAGAGATGGTCGCGCAGGTTCAGCAGACCTTGCTGGCTGGCGCTGATGGGACCTTTCTGTGGGTTGGATTCGTTGCCAATGAGCTTCAGGGCAGGAGTTGGAGCAAAATCAATGAAGTTCTCCGCCATGTTCCTAAGGGCCTGGGTGGGATTTACCAGCGGCTTCTTCAACAGATCGGCGATAAGGAAGCGTTGGTCCCTATTCTTCAATGGGTCGTTCTTGCTGCCCGGCCCCTCACACTGGAAGAATTGACCGTGGCCGCAGGCATCAAAACGGCTGGTAATCTCACAGCAACGCAAGTAACCCAGAATCGGCTCAAGTTTGGCGGGTTACTAGTGAAGGTTGAAGGAGATGTCGTCAACTTGGTTCACCAATCGGCGAAGGAGTTCTTTCAGAGCGATCAAGTCAAGATCAAAGGGATCAACATGTTCCACATGAGCCAGGATACCCACAGGACTCTCATGCAGACTTGTTTAGCACACGTCGAACGCAGATATGGATATCCCGGAAGGGGTCCCCAAATTTCTGACAGCGATCCTTTCTTAACTTATGCCAGCCAGTGCTGGCCGGTGCATTTCCACCACGCCATTCATGTGATCGATACACCGTCCGAGTTCTCACGTCAGTTCTTCCGAGTCGACTCTCCGATCCGGGACGAATGGTGGAAAGTCTACTGGGAACAGGAGAACAACGGCGGAAGCCCGCCCTCCTTCACGCTCTTGCATCTCGCGGCATACTTTGGTAACGTACCCTGGGCCAAGTTGTTGATCAGCAAGCATAACCGACTCATTTCGCGAAAGGACAACTACGGTCGGACGCCGCTGTCCTGGGCCGTCAACCAAGGCCACCGAGAAATGGTGGAATTGCTGCTTGACCATGGTGCGCGTGTCAATTTCAAAGATCGAAGCATGTTGACGGCACTCCATATCGCGGTCACCGGACAGTACAGGGACGTCGTGTCTGTGCTGCTCGAGCACGGCGCCCATCTCGAGGCCAAGGCGGAGCATGGCGACACGGATACGCCGTTGATGCGAGCTATTCTGGCCAATTCGAGAGAAATGACACAGGAATTACTTGAGCACGGAGCGCGTGTGGACAAATTGCCAAGTCTTCTGGGAGTTGCTTCACTGAGGGGACCTACAGATCCGGTGAACGAACGGGTGAAAGAACTACTTGGGCTCCAGGAGCAGGTCCTCCTCGCACGCTTCAAGCGTTCGTCGCGATTTGTCGACCTGGTCATGAAAGGGCTGGGCCTTTCCATCCGCTTTCCTCTCTTTCTCGAATTCATGTCCCTCTATCTCAAGTTTATGGCGTTGAATCGCTGGGACAGTCTGTCTGTACTGCAAGAGCTCGTCCAAGACAATAAAACGGAAGAATTGCGAGAATGGGCGAAACTGTACCATGTGTTCTTCTTGGGCCTAGTTGTTGCCCGGATTCCGAGAAGGCTAAAGGCCATGGGCGACCTGTCGACGCAGATCTTGCAGAAGGCCGCGCCCAGAGATCTTCAGGCACTACTGGCCATCACGGTCTTCACCGGCATGGAAACAAAACTCGCGGCTGTTCAACACGGATGGAGAGAAGGAGATGCCATCACAGCTGTAGCAATTTCAGATTGGGCTGCCATAGCCTGCGACAGGAACGCGTTGGAGTTTTTCCACTTCGGTGTTCGCGAGTTTTTGAGCGACTTCGATGGCTGTGTTCGGAATGGGAATCGGGAAGAGAACGTACTTCGGACGGCCCTACTCATGACGGGCCACTTCGCCATGATCAACAAGCAGGAACCTAGGCCGATCGAGTATTTCTCCCGGGTCATCGCGGAGTTCTTCCAAGGATACATCGGCAGCAGTTTCGAGGTTGAATTGTTCAGCGATATGAATCAGGCGTGCGCTAATGAGCTATTCGTCATTAGTGAAAGTCGCGACTCTGCCAGATTACGTCTATTTCTGACCAGT